CCTGGAAGCTCCTATAGGACCCTTGTAATGGTTCCTTTGAGGCATATGTATGAAGGCGATTGCTGAGTTATAAAGAATGCTGAAAATTTTTTTGTTTTGTTTTACTAAATGATACCAAATTGCTCTACAGAAGGTATTTAGCAGTTTAAATTCTCATCAGCAGTGCATGAGGATTCCCATTTCCCCAAATCTTTGCCAGTACTGGGGATTATCTTTCTGACTTTTGCCAGGTTGATGGGTAAATAGTGGTGTGTTGGAGTTGACTCATGAGAGCTGACTGAGCACATTTCTTCCCAATTTCTTGTTCGGTGACTTCACACTGGTAGCTTGAAATCAGCAGGGGTGAGAGTATCTGTACCATGGAAACTGACAAACACTACAAATTAGGACTCTCCCTCAACTCCCAGCTGTTTTTAAGATATATACCAGCAAACCAGTGGCTATCAGCAGTATCACACTGTCTGTCTTTCCTTTCTCCCATTACTAGTGAGTTTGAGCATCTCTTCTGTGTGCTTGCTATCCTGGCTTTCCCTTCTGTGAATCACCTATTCCTATCCTTTTCTCACTTTTATATTGGATTCTCTGACTTCTTTTTGTTGATTTGCAAAAGTTACTTACATATTTTAGATATGAATCCCTAGCTGCTTTTGAATATCTATCTTCTTCCAATTTGTCGGCTGCCTGTTGATTTTTTCCATGGTATTTTTCATTGAAGGGAAACCTTCACTGTGATATAGTCAAATCACCTAGTCTTTTGTTTTAAGGTTTGCACTTTTGCCGTCTTGTTTTATGAAGTAAATCCCTACCCCTTATTCATACAGATTTTCTCCTACATTCTACCTACTTTTCAAATGTAGATCTTTAATCAATCTGGAGTTCACTTTGAATATGGTAGACATGGGGCATCCAACTCTATTTTTTCTTCTTAAACTAATCTAGTTTCCCCCAAACCATCTTCTAAATAATTTATATTTTTCTCATTGATTTGCAGCCCCACATTTACGTATATTGAGGTCCCAGGGGTCTGCTTCTGAGTGTTCTATTCTGTGTGGCTGTTCCATTTGTTTCTGTACTAGTAGCCTACTATTTTTATCACTATGTAGTAATGACGTAATATCTGGCAGGGTAGGTTTCCTCTCTCTGCTCTTGTTTTTCAAAATTGATTTAACTATTTAAAATTTTATTTTTCCTTATCTATTTTGTAACTTTACTTAAGTTCCTTAAAATTTGAGTTCCTGATGGAATTTTGGTTGGTGTAACATTAAATTTAGAGATTAAATGGATATTTTTACACTGTAAAGTCATCCTATCCATAGTATATCTTCTTTTTATTCAATCTTCTTTTATGTCCTTAAATAGAACTTTAAAATTTTCTCCATAAAGTTCTTGCAAGTTGCTAGGTTAATTCTTGAATATTGTGCTTTAGAGTTTTATTGATATTGTGAATGGTCTCTTACAATCTATTATATTTCCTGGGTGCTTACTGATGAAGTGGAGGAAATGACTGATTTTTAGAAATTGATCTTGTATTTGGCAACCTTGCTGTACTCGCAGATAACGTCTAACAGTTGATTCTGTTGGGGTTTTATGGCGATGATTATATCATCTGCAAGCATGACAGGAAGATTTTGGGGTTCTACCCAGTGCTCTGATAGTCCATACTTAACTACCTCTGCTAGTTGGTCTCCAATCTGGCACCCCAATTCTAACAGCTGGATGTCTCCTGTACACTCACATTCTGGAAACAAGCCCTTGTATTCCTCCCCCGTGAATCATATCCTGCCCAATACCTCAGTCCATGTACCAGCAGTGACACTGTCTTCTTTTGATTTTTTTCCCCCTAACCATTTTCTCATGGACTGTGGTCCTGTTAGCCCCTGACAGACCTTCCTGATGCTGACATTCTGATTGGCTATATGAATTTCTCAATGATCCCTGCTGCTCAACGCAGCATTTCTGTGTCCTGAATGCCCCAAAGTACACCCTGTGTAGATAATACAAAATTGTGGATCAACACAGGCCTTCATGATAGACAGACTAGGGTTTGAATCCTATTTCTGCCCCAGGGTACAGTGAGCAAGTTCCACAGCCTCCTGGAGTCTGATTCTTCATTGGTAAAGTGAAGGCAAGTAAGATCCCATAGGTAGGAATCAAACTGTGGTCAGTCAGTAATGTCCCCTTCTCCACATGGATGCTGACCACTGAGGCTGGTCACCTCCTGGGACTGTGGTTGATTGCTACATCGTCCAGGAACCTTGTTGTGCCTTCAGATAGAACTGAATCTCAGCAGCTGCAGCTGGACCATTTCCCCCTGTGCCTTCCCATCCCAGTGGACATTTCACGTGCCAAGTTCTGGCCCCATATCATTACCCAGTCCAACTCCTGGTCTGAGGATTGTATAACCCATGGAGTGTTCCAAGAAGCATGACTCCAATCAGTGCTTGCCTTCTTGATGATGGTCTAGGGAGTAACTTCAGTTTTTTCAGTAAATGTAAGCCGGTGAGTGGGAGATTCTCTCTCTAATGGCTTGGTATCCTGGGAATTTGCCAAGGCACTGTATAGTGTTTGGGTGTAGCAGAAAAAGCTAGTGGCCTGGCTGGTTCTCACGGAGACTTTCATTATAGTGAAAAGCAACTCAGCCAGCCACAGCCTGTCAACCACTAACAGTGGTTTCTCAGAGGGATAATTTAAATCAGCAATAAAGTGAACTGTGGAAAGTTTGCCAACAGCACCTTCTGTTACACATCGATCTTTATGAATTTCTGTGGCTTCCTGACAATAGGGCTTATTTACAGTTGCTTCAAGTCAACCAAGGGCAGATTATTTTCCTTCTTTTAACCAGTTAAAGAGGTGGGTGGGGTCAGATGAGAACTGGGTGTGATGAGTGCAGAGAGAGGGAGGCGGAACCCCCGAAGGGAGGAGGAAGTATCTGTGTCACATCATCATCCCTGAGAGCGCATAAGGTGCTGAACCTGCAGGGACAGAGAAACTGGCAGCTGACCAGGGACTGTGGGATGGTCATGGTGTTTAAACGTTGCATAAGCACTATGAATTTTAGTTGACAGTATATTCCACCCGATTCCACAATGGGATGTGACTGTCGCAAATGAGTATTTCGATACTGTGAGCTATGCTAATAGAAGCATAGGGCCAAGAAACAGGTGGCAGTCTCTCTCCTCTCTGCACTCAACAGGACACCCCATTCGTTCCTGAGCGTCACATTTAAGAGAGCTCTAGACAAGCCGGGATGCACCATAAAGAGACCCTTAAAATGCTGGTGAGTGGAATCTTAAGCATGTCTTATAAGGAGCAGCCTAAAGGACTGAGAATGCTTTCCCTGGATTCCTTGGAGTTGGACATGATCTGGAGTCTTCAGGGTAGAAATAGAACCCAATAAGGAGGAGATGCAGGGAACTGTATTTTAGCTTCCAAGGTAGGAAGAACTTTTCAACAAGGCTGGTCAAAGATAAAATGGCTGCTTTCAAAGGAAGTGAATTCCTGGTTACTGGAGGTGCTCAACTATGGCAACTTGGTGGGAGGATATCGTAAGGAGGACTCAAGCAAATGGAGGGGGGTCTTTTCCAGGGTCTGGAATCAATTATTCTAACAGGAAAAGATGCTCTAGAGTGCCCGAGCACTTACCTCTGCGCTTGAAGAGTCGTGGCAGACATTAATTTGTTCAGCATTTGCTCTTGCCAGGCACTGCATTTGGTGAACGTGGAAGTACTGTGTAGTAGTTGGTATATCAGAGCCAGAACAAAAAGGCCTCAGAGAAAGCTGTTACAGGGGAACACTACTGGCTCCGTGTTACAAACTTCAGTCATGGGGAAACAATGGACTCATTAAGTGTCAAGTAACACCTTTCCTTCCACAGGCCAGGATGTCAGCATTCATCACCACTTTCTGATTCTTGGGGGATGGAGAAGGGGACCAGGAGAGAAGGGGGTGAGAAGGGAGCAAAGCATCAGGGGAAATAAACTTCTGGGACGACTACTCATGCATCCTTTTCTGCCTCTACACTGACACCCTTGGGTGTAATCATTCAACTTGGCTATTGCCTTGACTAGGCTTTTTACAGCAAGACCTGCAAACAGGTAATTGACTGATGGCCCTATTCTGGGCCATGCACGGGGCTAGATACTGGGGAGCCTAAAAAGGGTAAGACGTGGTGCCTGCCCCTAAGAAGGTGTTGGAGTGCTTCCAGCCCAGGGATGTGAGACTGGGAGGCCAGTCAGACTGGTCTAGCTAAGGGCTTTGACGGAGGAGCGTCTGTTCAGCGTGCCATGGGCTGTTTCCCCAAGCATGGCCTAAGGCCAGGCGGGGTTCCGCCGAGAGCCTGCCTCGGCTGCGGTGGAAATACCACAGTGGCGCCCCATCCTCGCAGGGTTGACGCCCGAAGCCCACCAGACCTTTCTAACCTCGAGCCTCAACCGTCGCTCTGCGGAGAGGGCTCCGGGGTCGAAGGCAGAAGGCGGCGAGCTCAGGCGCGCGCTCCCCGCCTGTCTCCCCTCCCCGGCGCGTGCGCGGGTCTGGGCCGAAGCCTGCGCGCCGCCGGGACGCCTGCACTGCGCGCGCGCGCGCGCCGACCGCGCGTGGGGCCCGGCTTCGGCGCGCGCGGCGCGGAGGCGGCAGGCGGGAGGGGCCGGACGAGGTCGCGGAGCTGCGCTGCGCGGCGTGGCGCGGCGGGAGGCCTCGCGGCCGGCTACCGGAGACCGGTGCGGGGAGGAGAAGCGCGCCTCTTAGCCTTCTCTCCGCGCCCCTGCGTTCCCCGTCGGCCGCCCGGAGAGAACCGGAGGAGGCAGGTGGGGCGGGACGGCGCGGAGGCTCCGTGCCGGGCGGGCGGGGGTGCGGGTGCTCGAGGGCCGGTTGACGGTTCGGGGAGGGCAGCGCGGAGGCGCTGGGAGCCCCGCGGTCGCCTGCAGTGGGCGCCGGAGTCGCCGGCTTCTGGAGGCCTCCCTGGGGCGAGGGCGGGGTTGGAACGGCCCACAGGCGGGGAGCCGGGTTTCTGGTTTCTGTTCCGCGCCGCCGGTTTAACTTCAGGATGAGATGCTGCCAGGTGTGTGGGACGGGCTGGACCCCACGGCGGAACTGAGTTCCGGCCCCCGCTCCGCAGCTCCAGCTTTGACCGCCCCGACGCCCTTGGGAGAGCCTCTCGCGCGCAGCGATGGGCAGCGTGCTGTACCCAGCCCTTCGTGGTTTTCCTGAAAGGGGCCTCTTCACATCTCTCATTACTCCCCTTGCTTGTTAAGCTGTTTGAGAAACCTTTTGCCGGTGAGAATTCAAAGCTAAGACAAATGACTCTGCTTCCAGTCGTTTGCTACCCCGAGATTCCTTAATTCTAAATCATGGGAAGGGAAGTTAGGGAAAACACTTGCGCTGAGACTGCTAAACAGAGACGCCTCATCCTTGTGGGTTAAATTGGTGGGTTTATAATGTCAGCTTTCATTTGAATTAGATGTCAGGTGGTTCATTAATCTAGAGACTATGTAGGCAATTTGGATTTAAACTCTGAGACAATGTTTTGATATGTAGCAGAGGAGGATATTCTCATGGGATGATAACTTGCTGTATGTTCCCAGCTAAACTGTGCTTCACATTGTAGCAACGTCATAGTATAAATTGGTGCCCTTTAAATATTTTGATGAAGAAACACCCTCCTTTGAAACATCCGCCAAATACTTTAATTGTACTTCACTTTCACATTGACATTTGTCATTTATGTTATCTTCTGCACGAATTAAAGTCATTTAAATGGCAGAAGATCACGTGGTGCGGGACATGTAGCAACTGTGCAGAGAAAGCAGATAATTGAAATTGGCAGAAGTCTAGCTTTCTGCATTTTTATGAGGCAAAGCCATCCTGGTTTCCATCCTATTTTGCTAACATAAATATGCATTTTGAAATACTCTCGTTTGATATGGACTACTTGGGCTGTAAGATTGAATCTTGAAATAGAATGAATATGTTTATTTGTTTTATAGAAGATTTGGCACATGGTATAGTATTTTGCAGGATTTATTTCGGACGTTTCAGATTTACCAGAAACAGCCCCTATCAGCAAGGCTTTTAGAAAAATATTTATATGATGTCTTTTATGGCTTATAACAACTCCAATTTTGAAACATACTAGTGATCTTCACGTTACAGAATCAACTTAACACTTTATCCCAGTGTAAATCTGCGAACATCTGGTTACTTTTAGGCTTACTGTTCTCTTGTTAATTATGTATAATTAAGTATGCCACCATGGCCTTGCTTAGGTTGTTAGCCTTTGTTCCTTGTTGTTTCAGGCATTTGTATACTGTTTTCTTGTCTAGAGTTTGATTCAGTAGAACTTCCTGAGATGAGGGGAGTGTTCTTTCTTCAGTGTTCAATATGGTAGCCACTAGACACATGTGGGTTTTGAGCACTTATGTTAGCACTTATATTTTTAGCACTTATGTTAATGTTAGGGCATTGACCAGGTATCTCTGAAAAAAAATACAAAATATTAGAGCCATGTTACAAGTTGCATTTACTCAGAGCTGATTCGGGGTGATGGGATTCATATGTAAATCGAACTTTGGGGAAGTTGATTCTTGTTATTGCATCTGTTATGTACACAGTTAATTGGGGCCAACTTTTAATCTTGGATATCTTTACATAATCCATTCTCACCAAGTAACCATAGTAGGATTTGAAATGAAAGTACATACTCAATCCAGCTAAGCACATCTCTAGGTTTAACCAAGATTCCCAGATCCTTAGATCCAGAAATCGCTTTTAGGAAAGGATTCTAAACTAAAACTATACAGAAGTTTGTGGAGGTGTATAGCTTTCTTAAGTGGGACAAAAGGTAGAATGTTGGGCTTTTCGTGTGAAAGAAAGGGAATGGGACCAGGGGAAAATGCAATGCAGACACAAAATATGAAGAATATTCACTGCATTGTTCAGGTAATATAGTAGCTTCTGTGGGTTTGAAATATCTAATATGTAAAGTGAAGTTGATTACATCTTGTTGAATGAATCATCTTTCCACGTCAAATCTAGGATTTGAATATTTATTAAATGTGTATAAAACACTAATCTAGCTCCTGTGACAAGTGATAGTCGTGTAAGATACAGTTCCTATCTTTAAGGACCTCAAGTCTACAAAAAAATGAAAGGTACACTCTGAAGATCACTTTAGAAAATAGTTTTGAATGGGAAACCCCACTCTTTGAAAGGGAGGTTTTGAAAGGTGGCTTCCTCTTAACCAGCTCAGAAAGAAAACCACTTAGTCATTTTGCTGGAGCATTAAAAACATGGCTGAGTCCCAAAGTGTGATTGTAGTCAGATTAACCTTCCTAAGACAGCTTGAATCAGGATAGTCTCCTTTTAAAAAATCAACTGTTTCCAGTGCTCATGGAATTAAGTGGTTTGGTGTTTGATCAGGTATATAAAGCATTACTGAGGAGAGTCCTAAAAAACCACAACAGCCTTACCTCTTACTAGATGTGCCCAAGTTCCAGCCTGCTATTCCTTTAATGGGCTCCCCTTTTAAATTTATGCCCTTATTTCTGCCTACTCATCTTTCAAGACTCATCTCAGTGATGCTTTTTTCACTGCACCATTTCTGATTCTCAGGAACTCCCATAACAAATGTTCCTTGTACTTAGGTTATGGAACATATTTCACTCAGTTTTATCGTCTATAGTTATTAGTACTATTTTATTCACCCTAGTAGACTGTAAGCTACCTAACAAGCATGGACCATCTGTTACTCATTTTTGTATTCTCTGAAACATCTAGAATAGTGTAGTGCCTTGTACATATTAATATTTATTAAATTTTATTTCTGGTCCTTGACTTTAAAGGATGCTTCATACCCGGCATAGACTATTTTGCTCAAATTTACTGCCAGATAGGTAATTTGTAGAAGCCAACAAGTAGAAATCCTGACTGACTTTGAATACTGAGAAGCTATAGTATTGAAGGAGGGCTGTCTTTGTGGTAGGCGCTACTTTTTGAAATTGTTAGTATTTGAGGAAGTTCACCATGCTGTATGGCAACAACTTTTCCTATTTATGTGGCCAGGGTAATGTCAAAATGATTCAAAGTATTGGGTGGCGAGTAATTTTAGCATCCGAGAAACCTTGAATACCTTTAACATAGTAACACTGTGTTAAGTTATTTGATATGTAATATCCATGTCCATGTAAACATGTACCTTATGAGAAAAAAGAAGTTGCCTTACTCTTTACCAGCTTCTGCTGGTATTCAGAAAACATATGAATCTAATTGGAAACAAACCTCTTAGCTCAGAAAGGTGACTGTTTCTTTGGAGCAGGGTGGTGATGGTAGGTAAGCATGATAGGTAAAGGTGATAGACATAGAGTTGGTTTACCAAGTATAATAGAGCACACACTGAGTAATATCTAGCATGGCATTATCTGCTAGAGTAAGCTCTCTGTTAACCATCTTTACTTATTCTATTCTTTCTACTGAAATAGTCTAAAATCACCTTTATTTAGTTTTGTAATATAGTTTTCTGCTTATATTTTGAACAGATATAGAGATTCGTAACATTTCAGACTGCAAAGATTTGGTGCACAAGAAACTGGAAGGTTTTTAAGCTTCATAGTTCAGTTTTACTAACATTTTCTCTGCATTCTGTGTCATCTCTGTTGTGTGTGCTGGGGTGCAGCAGCTGTCTAATTTAGACATATTTATTCTGAGTGCTCATGTTTCCTGGAAAAGAGAGGTAGTATAAGTGATGTGGTTTGAAAGGCATGGCCTTCCATCTTCTGCTGGGATGAACTAAACAGATCCTCTGCATTGTTAAGTGAAACCATGTTGGTAAGCTCCTAGATTTAGATTTGTACAAGTGATATGGTCAATTTTCAGTAAAGTTTTCTGGGATGTTGGAAAATAATGAGCACATTTTAAACTAGATTTTTTTCATGTGATGAGCACGTGGCATGAGCTACTGGATGACAGATGATAGAACCTGTGTCAGATCCTATGAGAAGTTAGAGATGCACCTACAAGGGAAAACATCTCGTTTGTTACTGCGAGTAAAGAGAACATCACCCATTTAGAGTAGCTCAGTGTTTAAAAAATGTTTTCACCTATTATTAGGAAATATATAGTAGTAGTTTTTTATTACTCCCGAGCTTTGCCTAAAAAGATTACACATGCTGTTGACCCTGAGAGACAGTGTTAAGCAATGTATATTCTTTAACAACAGTTCGCTAAAAGGAAATATTTTTCCCTTTTTCTCTAAAATAGATTTTTGACGGTTGAAGTTAAAAATGTCAATAGATTAGATATTTTTAAAAAATAGGCTTTTTGTGACTGAAGGCAGTTATTCTAAGTTGCATACAAATATAATAGATATGCTTTTCCCCCCCTTTCATTAAAGGTGGCTTTCTAGAAGATGACCATAGAGGACCTTCCGGATTTTCCATTAGAAGGAAGTTCGTTGATTGGAAGATACCCATTTTTATTTCAAGGTTCTGATACACCAGTTATCTTTTCCATTTCTGCAGCACCAATGCCTTCAGACTGTGGTACGTTAAGTTGCTGTGTTTATTTTCTGTGAACTGGTGACTTGACTTCTGTCTTACACCCTTTTATTTTTTTACTTTATTTTATTTTATTTTATTTTTTTTGCGGTACGCGGGCCTCTCACTGCTGTGGCCTCTCCCGTTGTGGGGCACAGGCTCCGGACGCGCAGGCTCAGCGGCCATGGCTCACGGGCCCAGCCGCTCCGCGGCATGTGGGATCTTCCCGGACCGGGGCACGAACCCGCGTCCCCTGCATCGGCAGGCGGACTCTCAACCACTGAGCCACCAGGGAAGCCCTGTCTTACACCCTTTTTGTACTCCTAATTTTTCCTGAAACCATTTGTTGTGGTTTTCATAAAATTGCTAAATTTTCCTTTTTCAAAAATAACAATTGCTTATTGCTTTTTCTGCCTCTTAAGCTAAACGCTTTACTTCTGCTGTCAGCATTTTTATTATGTAAAAACGTTCATTTTAAGCACCACGGTGGATTCAGAGGATTTTATTTTTATAATACAGTGGTGCTTAGACATCTAGCATTCTTCTGCTATTGATGTATTTATTTTGGTTAAATATATTGACTTGCTTAAAAAGCCATGTACTGGAAAAGAAAAAAAAGACATAAAAGCACAGTGCGCTAGCCATCTTTAAGGGCCCTGTTGTCTCTGCAATACTGGGATTCTAATTAACAAACCAAATAATCACTGCTGAAATGATCCAAACTTGGGTGACAATGTAACAACAAGTGATGTGTTTTAATATACAAGCAAGCCTAATTTGGATCCTGTTTCAGTTGTCTCCCATTGTAATTATCAGTGTATACACAAATAAAGTATAGTAAAACAAAACAATAAAAGCCCTGTACTTGACAGAGAGGGTGAGACCTTTCCCTGGAATGTGGTGTGAGATTGATTCATATTTAAATTGGTTCATTTAAATGTTCTTTGTAAAATGTAAATTTAGGAGTACTCTAGTTTTTAATCTATTTAGACTTATTTCCCCAGGACCCTATTTTATCAGGTAGTTGATAAAGGAATAAAAGAAAACCAGGAGGTAAGCTTGATGGATGTGTTACATTTCTAATTTAGTTAGAGTTTTTCAAGTAAAATATTGGGCCACCATTTCAAATTGTCTTTGGAGGTAGAGATAATGCAATTTTTAAATATTAGTGAATATAAAATGATTGGATTGTGAATTTGTCTTTTTAGTCATATCCATTCTAATAACTACTCATCTCCAGGTATGCTATTTTATGTGTTCAGATTCTATAGCAGCTTGCCTTGCAGTCAGTCAAAGGTGTTACATAAAACCTGTGCCTACTAGATCTTGGGAGTTATTTGCAGTTTTTACAAAAATTGACTGGATATTGATTTTCAGATATAACAAAATCAGTTATGCGGGAAAAACCTTGAAAAGCACTTTGTACCTTGCTAATGGCACTTACCTCATTCTGTCTTGAGTCATAACTGTCTTATTTCCTTTCCCAGACTATAGCTCTTTGGATGGAGTAGAATCATGTTTTGTTTTTGTTTATCTCATTGGGCTAATGTAGTCATTTGTTGCTATTAGTTGTGCAGTGTTTGTTGAATAAATACATTGAATGAAAGGTGATAATGGATATTGTTCCCTTTGTATAAGTGAAATTAAAAATTGCCTGTATTCTTAGAACGATAGATTCTTAGAATCTGAATGGACCTGTAGTTCAGCTTTCCCTACTCATTTCCCAGTATAGAAATTATGTTTTCAGGTTCTCTGATAGATAACCATTCAGCTGCTTGGATATTGTCAATAGTGGGAAACTAATGAAATAGTCCATTTCATTGTTAAAGTTTTAGTTGTGATAAAATTGTTTTTGTATATGGACTCAAAGTATGTCTCCTTGAAACTCTGGCTAACTGGTGTGATATGTAGAACAAACACTTCTTTATATGATGACCTTCAAATATTTAAAGATAATTTGGACATTTTAAATTAGTCTGTACTTCTTTAGACTACACATTTCTGGTTCCTTCACCAGTCTCTCATTGTCAGGATTTCTAGACCCTTTTCACTCTAGTTGTTTTCTTCTTAGTATGCTGTAGTCAGTCAGTGTCCCCTTAAAATGTGGCATCCAGGGTTGTATTTATTGAGTAAGTATTTGTTGAGGGCCTGTTATATGCTAGGTACTGTCGTAGATGCTGGGGATAGCACGGTGACCAAGACCGACATTCTAGGAGGGAAAACAGACAGTAAACAAACAAATGAAGAAGCAAATCATAAAGATTATAATGAATTCTGTGGAGAAAAGCAACAGGGTGCTGTGGTAGAGGATAATGGAGCAGAGAGGCTGTTTTAGATGGGCTGGTCATCTGGAGAATCAGAAGCAGCTGGTTGAGAGAAGAGCCTGGAGAGAAGTGTTCCAGGCAGAAGGATAGGAAATCAAAGGCACAGAGTTGGGGAAAAATCTTTGGTGTTTCCTAAGAAATAATGGAAGGCCTTTGAGGCTGAGAAGCAAAGTGGTTGAAGGGCAGAATGGCAGGAGATGAAGTTGCAGAGGAAAAGGCAGGGGCCAGACCAGGCAGGATCATTTAGGCCTTGGTAGGGAATTTGTATTTTATCCTAAATGTAATGGGAGCCATTGAATGTGAGACTGAGACTGAGATTAAAATCAAGAAACAAAGAAAAAGAAACCAACCCACACAAACCAGAGCTTAGACATTCAGCTCAGTGTCAACCCTCAAGGTGGTTACCCTGCAAGACTACAAAGCTTTTTGGACTCTTTTGCTTTGAATGCCTTCAGAGTCAGCCACAGAACACACATTACATGTATTAAAAATCCCCAAGTGTATTGTTATTAGTTTTACATAAGCAGTGAAGTTATCTCTTAAAGAGATTTAAGCAATAATAATAACAAAAAATCTTACTTACCCACATAGTTACCATTTCTAGTGTTATTCATTCCTTTGTGCAGACCAGATTTTCATCTGATACCACATTCCTTCTGCCTGAAGGGCTTCCTTTAACGTTCGTTTCTTGCAGTGCATATCTGCTGGTGAGGAATCCTTTCAGCTTTTATATGTCTGAAAACATCTTTATGTCATCGTCTCTTTTGAAAAATATATTTGTTAGGTATAGAATTCTAGGTTGATAGTTTTTTCTTTCAGTGCTTAAAGATGTTGCTTCACTGTGTTCCCACTTGTCTTGATGGGAAATGTGCTGTCATTTTTGTTTCTCTGTATGTAATGATCTTTTTTTCCTGGCTGCTTTTAAGATTTTCTGTTTATCATAATTTTACTGTGATGTGCCCTGGTGTAATTTTCTTTATGTTCTTATGCTTGGGGACTGTTAAGCTTCTTGGGTCTGTAGGTTTCAATTTTCATCAAGTTTGGATAATCATTATTTCTTCAAATACTTTTTCTGCCCCTCCTCCTTTTCAGACACTCCAGTTACACAAATATTAGACCACTTGAAGTTTTCCCACAGCTCACTGATGCCTTTTTTTCATATTTCAAGAACTCTTTTTCTCTTTGTATTTCATTTTGGGTAGTTTCTGTTGCTCTGTCTTCAGGTCCATTAATCACTTCTTCTGATCAGCTGATGATCTCATCCAGTGTAGTTTTCATCACTAAAGTTTGATTTGGGTCTGTTTAACCTTTTGAACATTTGGAATACAGTTATAATATAATGGCTGTTTTAATGCCCTTTTCTGTTAATTATGATATTTGTGTCAACTCTAGATCTGTTTTGATCGACTAGTCCCCTGATTATGGGTCACGTTTTTCCCTTTGCAGGCCTGGTAGTCTTTGATTGGATGCCAGACATTGTGAATTTTACCTGTTGGGTGCTGGATATTTTTCTGTTTCCGTAAATATTCTTGAGCTTTGTTATGGGATGCAGTTAAATTACTTGGAAAGTGTTTGACCTTTTCAGATCTTGCCTTTATGGTTTGTTAGGTGGTTCTGGAGCAATGCTAATCTGGGGCTAATTACTCCTCACTACTGAGTACTCTACCCAAAGCCTGATGAATTTTTTTCTCACTCTTTTTAGCGGGAACAAGCACAGTTCTAGGCTCCGTATGATCACTGGGCACTAATCCCTCTAATTCTTTTGGATGGTTCTTTCCCTTACCTCAGGTTTTTCCTCACAAGCATATATTATATACTCAAGGGGGACTCTCTTCAGATCTTTGGGGTTCTCTTGCTTTGCATCTCTCTCCTGTGTGATACACTGCCCTGTGAACTCTAGCTGCCTTATTTCTTTGGGCTCTCAGCTTTGTCTCCACAACTCAAGGAGTCTGATGGGCTTTTTCTTGGTTTCCCTCTCTCCCTGCTGAAATCTGGAAAGTCCCAGGGCAGAGACATGGGGGCAGTTGTAAGACTCACTTGTTTGTATCCTGTCTCTTAGGGATTGTGTCTTTCATTAACTGATGTCCAGTGTCTTGGAAACCTCATTTCATCTCTTTCCTTTGTTGTTGTTGTTTTTTGGTTGTTTCAGAAATAAGAACACATATGGTCCCTGTTATTCCATCTTGACTTGGTGGGGTATCTTCCCCATCTACCCTTCACCTCCTTTCTTTTGATTAAAACTTTTTTTTTTTTCCTATGTGGAAGCTTAAAATTTGGGTGTAGTTAGATTCGTTAATATGTAGTATAGCATAGAGTTTAAGATTATAGGTGAGTTTGGATTATAGGTCAATCCTGACTCAACAGGATCACACACTTAACAGTTGTGTGATCTTGGGCAAAAGGCTTACTTTCTCTATTCCTTTGTTTCTTCTTTGATAAAATGAGAACAATAATAGTACCTACATCAAAAAAAAAAAAGTACCTACCTCATATGGCTGTCATGAAGATTAAATTAGGTAATATATGTAAAGTGCATAGAACAGTTCCTGGCACCTATTAGACACTTTATAACATATTATCATTAGTATTTAAATGAGCTGTCTGCTGTTTGTCATTATCTCAGTATATAATTACAGAAGCATTATTATGTGCTTTAGTATTTATTAGGCTAGTGTCCCCTACCCCCTACTCTGATCATTATTTTTCTTAGTTAAAATGTTCTTGCTTATTTCTCTTACATTTACTGTCTAGATATTTGCTTCTCATCACGTGGTACTTAGTCTAGTAGCATTGGCATCACTGGGAGCTTGTTAGAATGCAGTCCCTGCCCCCACCTGAGACTTACTGGATTGGAATCTACATCATAACAAGATCCCTAGGTGATTCCTATCTACGTTAATGTTTGAGAAGCTCTGGCACAGATGAGCAGTAGAGTAATTTTGTCTGTCTCCTCCCACAAATAAATCTTGGTGAAATTTTGATTGATTAAAATTGAAATTATTTAAAATAATTGTTGTTGGGAAAATTGACAGCCTTAAATATTTTATCTTCCAGTTCAGGAACATGATGTGTCTCTCCATTTAAGTCACCCACCACTTCAGTTTTCTTTAAATAAGCCTTACACATTTATTGGCACTTTTATTATTATTATGTTCTTTTTCCATTGTGTTTCACTTTTTAAAAATGGGAAGTCATTTAAAAATGCAGAAAATATAGTGATAGCAAACATGTGTCACACGTATCCACCATCAGAAAGAATAATTATTAGCATAGTATCTTATTTCCTTTAGCTCCTGTTTTTCAATTATAAGAATTAAAACCTTAAAGTCGAAATTCCCTCCATTTTCCTTTCTGGTTCCATTTTCCTTGCTCCCCAGAGGCAACCACTATCTTATATTTAGTGTGAAGATTGCAGACCATTTAATTATACATTTACTACATATATGAGCATCCATAAACAGTATATAGGGTTGTTTTGTGTATTTGTAATTTTATGGAAATGATAGATGTTGTATATTATTCTTCAACTTATTTATCAGTATGTTTTTTTGAGACCTATCCTTATCAATTCATAATGTAGATATCGAATTCATTTATTTAGTTGTAAGAAAGCATCGAATCCATCCTATGGATATACCACTTTCTATACATCCTCTATGGAGAGATGTTTCAGTTTCCCAGTTATTTTGCTATGATAACCAGTGCTAGAATAAGCATTCCTGTACGTGTCTCCTGTAGACACACGCAGAAGAGTCTGTTTAGGTATATATTTAGGAATTTCTCTACTAGAAATGCCCAATGCCTAGAAAAGTCACTGATGCATAAATATTTATTGAATGGCTGAATCAATTAGACCAAAAAAAAAATTCCAGTAAACTGCTATTTATAGGAAACACACCCAAATCTTTGAGAAATTGGTATCTGTGTTGCATACTGATTCTCTTCTGACTCTTCTGTTTGTAGAGGACCATTTTGTTCTCTGAGATTTTGAATAGGATATGCTCTTAGTTTTAGTCTTTCTGATTCTCTTCTGCTGGACTGCTCTACTTTTTTTTTTTTTTTTTTGCTGTACGTGGGCCTCTCACTGTTGTGGCCTCTCCCGTTGCGGAGCACGGGCTCCGGACGCGCAGGCTCAGTGGCCATGGCTCACGGGCCCAGCCGCTCCGCGGCATGTGGGATCTTCCCGGACCGGGGCACGAACCTGTGTCCCCTGCATCGGCAGGCGGACTCTCAACCACTGCGCCACCAGGGAAGCCCGGACTGCTCTACTTTTATACACGTCCTTGGTTTTGTGCTTCTCCTTTCATCGTTCAGTTACCCTGATTCTCAAAGTAAGAGCTGTGTGTACACAGTATAATTTTGGAAAATAAATAAAAACACAGAGAAGAAAATTAAAAAGCCACACAAATCCTGCTACTCACGTATGCTGTTAAAATCTGAGCTCAATAGTGAATTCTCTTGGGGAGACAGCATAATAGAGGAAAGAAGATAGACTTTGGAGGCAAACCTGATTTTCTGCCCCAAATCTGCCACTTACTAGCTGTGTGAGTTTGAGCAAGTATTATTTAGTCTGAGCTTTGGTTTCCTTATCTGCAAAATGAGAATAATAATACCTGTCAGGTAAGGTGTCTGGGAAGATTTGTAAGGTGTTTGGTAAATTGTAAGCACTCAGCAAATATTGCTTCTCTAATGCTTCTCTTCTTTAGATGCTTCTGGTTTTTTAGATTCCCTACCTTCTTATAGAGTGTTCAAGATAGTAGAATCTGATTTTCTTCTATTCTCTTTTATTCTCTAGCCATAGGATGATCTGTTCTCTCTGAACCTTAAGGAAGTTTTAAAAGATTTAAAAATCATGTTCAATTGTGTCTAGTATTCCATGTCTTTACTAATATATACTCCAAAATAACCCAATCACTCTGTCCCAAGGCTTCAAAGTAATGCCTGTTTATTATAGAAAATAAGGAAAACATAGAAGTAAAAAGAATACTTAAGGTTACACATTGTTCTAGTACACTGTTGAGATTTTGGCATATTTCTTTCTATTATGTATGTTTTAATCATGGATGTGGATCTACTGTTCATGACATGTTTATGTTTTGAGAGGTGAAAATGCCTATAAAATTTGACAGATTTTCTGTGCTTTAGAAGAAGTTCTTGGAAACTTCAGCGTTTAAGATCAGTACGCTCAGATTTTTGTTTCATTTGTGATAAGATGTAGTGTGATGCATGGAAATCTCATTCTCATAGCAGTTCAGAAATGCCTCATAATTTTTGGTGATCCTGACTTTGGTTTTGAGAATTGCTTACGGTAAATCTACTTTTTCTGCACCTAAAAATATTTGTGTTATTTGAGTCCTGGTCTTGTTTATTATTTTCAATATACGTATTTTGAAATTTTAATAAATTTAACTTACACCTTTTAAATTTCAAACAGAGTTTTCTTTCTTTGATCCTAATGATACATCATGCCAGGAAATTCTCTTCGATCCCAAAACTTCTGTATCAGAATTATTTGCCATTTTAAGACAGTGGGTTCCTCAGGTCCAGCAAAATATTGACGTTATTGGAAATGAGGTAAGGAATTCTTACGTTGTTAAGTCTTGTATTGTTAGGATTGTTAATTGTATAGATTTTTTTCCCCATCTGAATGGAAAGGCGGTGATAAAGGGGAAACCTTTTAAAGGTGCTGATGCTCGTTCTTCATAGGTTTTCGTGGAGCAGTGAGTTAGTACCTTCTTTCCATTATTCCCTCATGCTCCTCACTCCCTTGCGTCTGGAGTTCTGACATCTGACTCTTGGTGGGAGCAGAGGGAGCCTACTTTCTTTGTACAAGTTGATTTTGTAAATTTAAAAATATACTTTCATGAGGAGATTTGATTACTGTCACATTTATCTATACTTTGGGGTGGCTTGGTAAAGATCTAGGCTTAAATATAATTTTAAAAAATATTTGGTTTTTTGGAAGAGGGATAAAAGAATAATGCTGGGTTCCTTGACCAGCATACTGTCATGTTGTAAGAAGAGGGAGCTTATACTTTTTTAAATACCATTACTCCCATTAGAAAGGAAATTTGCTTGTCCTTTGAGAGGTTAAGGAATATATTTGGGGTGCCAAATTACTTTGGAATACTCTTTAAGAATTTCCTTCCGTCTGGTGACAAGTTCAGTTTTCATTATTGTTGTAGGGTACAGACTTAAAATTTATCCTTAAGAGAAGCCAGTTCTGTCTACTCATTTTACTGAGAACTAATTTAATAAGACAGACTAACTTGGTTTCCCAGCATTGGTTTGAAATCAGTAGACTTTATGTTGTAATAATATCTTCCTTGGTTTCCTCAGATTCTTAAGAGAGGTTGCAACGTGAATGACAGAGATGGATTGACAGATATGACTCTTTTACATTATACTTGCAAATCTGGAGCTCATGGTATTGGTAAGTGTGTGGTGAATCTGTTAATGGCTTAAGACATCTGTATAACTTGTTTATGCCAACCAGAGTCCCTGGGAGGGCACCTGGCTGATGATAATAATATTCCCTGAATAGGCGAGGATTCAGTTAGGTCTTCCACACACCTTGTTGCCTTTTCTCCCTTTTCTCAAGGGAGTCTTTATAATCTCCTGGTACCTCCCAACTTTTCTGGAACAGGCTTCATGCCAGCCTGTTTGCTAGGTGAGAGTAACTGGTAACACCTGGAACCTTCTTGAGAGTTTATGGCAAGGTTTGACAATCAATGCTCTGTTTTCCAGGCAATCCCAATCCTACAGACCTGGTCTTTAGGTCTGTCTAAGGTCTGTTCCTACATACATAACATATGTGCATAGTTTCCAAATTGGTATTCGCCTGTTCTTTACTATTTTTTACACCTGCCTCTTACTTAATTATATACTGTGAACATCTCTCCCTGTTTCAATAGTCTGATACAGTGCTTCTTAAACTTGATAGTGAAGGACTCTTTTCTTTTTTCTTTCTGCAATCCATCATGGACTGATACTTTTGTAAAATAAAATAAAAATGAGTTTGTAATAGAAAAATGAGATAAAGACATAAAATACAAGCCCAAGTATTTTTCAAAAGCATAAAATTATATTTCAGTTAATTTATTCAGAAGAAATGATTACATAGGGAAAAAGAAAAGAGTTATAAAAAGTATGAATTACAGTTTGGGACTGGCAGTGGTCCACAGAGTACACTCTGTGTAGCCCTGGTTTTAATGGCTCTGTAGTATTGCATTATATGGATGTCTCATAATTTATTTAACCAGTGTCTTATTATTGTACTTTTAGGTTGTTTCAAAATTTTATTCAGAATAAAAAGTGCTGTGATGAACATCTTTACAGCCAAGTGTTTATCTACCCTTGGGTTTGATTATTTTCCTAGAATAAATCCCTTGTTACATTTTTTGAGTTGTAAGTGTATATTCAGTACGCTGTTTGCATTGGCTTTTTAGATGAGGTAGTAGATGGCCATCCACTGGAATTTGTACTGAAGAAAAATAATTTAGAAAACCTTCTCTAGGTGATGTTGATACAGCTGTAAAATTTGCAATTCAACTTATCGATCTGGGAGCAGATGTTAGTTTGCGGAGTCGCTGGACAAATATGAATGCTTTGCATTATGCTGCTTATTTTGATGTCCCTGAACTTATAAGAGTGATTTTGAAGACATCTAAACCAAAAGGCAAGTACTGTAAGATCACCATTAGATGTTATTAATTGAATACTTTATTAGTGGCATAAAAATTATAATTCAGAGATACTTCTACTTCTAATCCATCTTGTTCCATGAGACCTCCAATCCCATTTTATTTTTCAGAAACAGTTTAACTTTTCTTTATTGAAGATTAGTTACTATCCTTTCACAGAAGACTTAGTACAAAGAGAAACAAAATAAAGTGTTTTCTGGCCTTTTATATCTCTTCAAGTTCCCCAGTATAACATGGATTTTATAAAGTGTAATTGAATCTATGTATACTTCTTTTGTCTTACCTGTGTAGCCAGAAATAGAGCAATAAAACCTTCAGAGCTAAACATTGAAATCATGAAGAATATTTATTTTAGGTGGCATTCAGTTCTGAAATTCTGTGATTCCATTAAGGGATAGATTTACATTTTTTTTTCTTCCTGTCTTGATGATGCTATCCTAAAATTGAACATCGTAATGTCTAAATCACAGTCCTGTATTTAGACATTCTCTCTGGGTCCTCTCAGGGGGGCAGTTTTCTTTTGAGAAAAAAATGAGGGCAAGTGCAATAGTATTACTTTAAAAGTTGTATGCAGTGTTTTCTCCATTTGTAGAAGACTTGTTTTAGAGATGGCATAGATAAATTTCCCAGAAGGTCTGTTTCTAACCTCTGCTTTGTATAATTGTCCATCTCCTCTTTACCTTTTTACTTTTTCACTTTTTGAATGATGTTAGGAAGAAAGCCTCTCTTGATAGTACAGTGTCTTTAGTAGCTCAGGAGAGTGTCCTGAGCATGTCTTAGTTTGTTTACAATTGTAGGTAGGGTGTGGGATGGTGGAGCTGTAGTTAGATTAAGGTCGGATTGGCAGAACCAGAGGTATATTAAACCCATATTCTAAAAAACACAGTCAAAATGGGATCCCCAAAGCTGGAGTATTTGCTGTATAGCATCGTGATGATTTATTGAAAGTTATTAAAATGTTTTTAGAATTGCAAGATTCCCATTCTTATTGTGAAGTCCAAATTCATTTGTTGAATAAAGTATTGTGAATGAATACAGTATGTACGCATGATACATATGTTGAATTAATCTTTAATTTATTCCTGTCTTGAGAATTCTCCATTGTTTTGCCTACTGTTTTTTCCCTGAAGAGGCAGATAGTAAATATTTTAGGTTTTGTGGACCACGTGGTCTCTGTTGCAACTACTTGATTCTGCAGTTGTGGTGTGAAAGTAGCCACAGAGACTATGTGGCTGTGTTCTAATAAAACTTTATTTACAAAAACAGATGGTGAGTTGGTTTTGGCCATGGCCATAGTTTGCTAGTCCCTGACCTAAACCCTACTACATTATAGTTGTCATGGCAAATATGCAAGAGGTTTAATGAGAGAGGGTGTTAAGATAGTTACTTTTACAAATATGAATTGTTGCCATTAATTGCTTTAAAATATAGTTCAGTTTGTGATGGTTGGAAAACCCATCATAATATCAGTCCATTTGATAGTGAAATTTTATTGTACTAAGAAAAGAATTAGTTAAGTAGGTTGTAATATGAAGAGTTTGTTCCATTGTGAGAATCGTCCTTTTAGTGGGTTGGTTTAAGTCTCATAAATAGCTAATACCCCTCCTCCCCCAAATAAACCCAACCTGTCTCCTTTTACATTATACTAGCTTAATTTGAAAATTTTGTTAATACGCTTGCGATGTTTAATTGCAGATGTGGATGCCACTTGCAGTGACTTTAATTTTGGAACAGCTCTGCATATTGCTGCATATAACCTGTGTGCAGGTACTGTGAAATGCTTATTGGAGCATGGAGCAAACCCTGCATTTAGGGTAAGAGGTTAAATTAAAAGTGAGAAATATTAAAAGAATAAAAACATCTAACATTATCTCCCAGGAAAGAGTTGAATCTGGATGTTGTTGTAGAGCTCTTATATAGGTAAATAATTTATATTTTTGTGCTGCATGTAAAGAGTAATGGTGATAAACTTTTATCTCAAATAAATTTAAGGCATAGCAGTGAATTTCAGTCCTTTTATATTGATAAGCTGTAGAAACCTTACTTTCCTTCAGATAAGTAAAATACTCTTTAAAGTATCATCTTTGAGTTTAAAAGTATCTTTCATTTAAGCTTTTGGTATATTTATAAAACCTTAGCTGTTAAATAAAAGCGCATATATTAAAGTTATATTTCTGTGTTAAATCATATTTTAAATTCTTTTGGAAAGAAGTTTTATTTCAGACAATTTAAAAAATGCATATTTAACAGTGCAGTAAATCTTCAAATCATTTGATATTTTGTTGTCTTCCCAAAAGTGGCTCTCAATGTTCTTTTCTGTTATATTGATAGCAGTGACTTGCTCTGGCAGGGATTCTTAATTGGGTCTGTGCCTTCTCTTGAAGGGGCAGGGGTGGGCAATGTTAGAAAAAGCCTCTTCCCTTCCTCTTTTCCTCGCTCCCTCTCTGCTTTCCTGTTTTCCCTTCCCTCCCTACTTATTTGCTCCTTTTCTTTCTGTTTAACCCCATTAATTATTTAATCAACCCCTTTCTTCCTTCCTCCCTCCCTCCTTCCTTCAGGTCCTCTTGTTTATTGGGCACTGGGAGAATACAACAACAAATACGTCTCTGTCCTCAAAGAGAATATTGTCTAGAGGGGAGGACGGACAAGAGAGCAGTCAGTTTTACTGTAGTGTGTCCTGGCAAAAGTGATGTTGAGTGCTTAAACGTAGTTAAGAATTAACCAGGTACAGGAGGAAGCTGAGAAAGGCATGTTAGGCAGAGAGAGTAGCGTGCACAAAGGCTAGGAGATGGTAATTCAGTTCGGCTGGAGTGTGAAGGTGATACGTGTTTGCTTTTGCTAGTACAACTGTTGACAAGACCCTATTAGTGGAGAGAATATTTTGAACCCAGTAAGATGCAGTGAAGTGTGTCATTGAGGTAAATTACCAATTCAGGCCCCAAAGAATTAATAGATTACCGAATTTTGGAGGTTAATACTTAAAAAAAAAAAGCAGTCTATATGTGGGTCAGCAGTTGCCCTTAGATCAGACCCTGATAGCCACTACTTTAGAAGGAAATGGAATTCTGTAGCTAATCATGAACAAGCTGCCTTATGTTAACATGATATCATTGTTACTTTATTATTATTTAGTATTTTTTAAACAGAAGTTTTATTTTATATAGGAATTGATGGAAGTGTGTGACTTACTCTAGAAAGGTGAGGACTTAAAAATCTGAAGTAAATAGTCATTGTAAATATAGCTTATTTACAACTTATCATGACAGGTTTGTTGATTAAAAAAAGTTTTTTTCCCTCTGTCTTTTTCTCAAGAGTACGATTAGCGCTATAGGTATTTTCATTACATTTTGTACTTTTTCTTTGAAAAAAAAAAAATCAGGGATCAAAATAGTTCATCACTGTCCCAGAAATTTGATAATATGTCTTCCTACCATGTTTTTACTTAGGACGAAACTGACTTGAATTTTAAAATAAAAAATGTGAGGCACTTGTAAACTAAATGTGTTCTAAAAGCCTCATACTTTTATCCATATGGATCATTTGAAGATAATTATTAGAGGAGAAGGAAAGGGAAAAAGTTTTCTGAGCAAAAGAATCTTGGTTCATCTTATTAAGAAAAGATTACAGTCTGGAATCTTTCTGATGAAGCCTGAGTTTTTGGTTAGGGAACGTAGAAGAAAGAGAACTTGTTTGAGGGTAGGACAGCACAGAGCAGCAGAAGGGCTGAGAGTCCAGTGGGTGCTGGACATGGCCTGCAGTGTCATCCCTGCAGTAATTATGGAGATGATGCTGAGCGAGTCGTTCATCTCTCCTTGCCTAATTTTCCTAATTGGCAAACTGGAAATGGTAGTGATATCTTACTTGTTTAGTTGGTGTCTTCTGCTACAGTCCAGACTCTTAACGGGTAAAAATTTTTATCTGTTTTATTCACAAGCTTTTTCTTGCTGTGATAACCAAATGAGATAATTTATATGATAGGAGTTTGCTTATATAAACACTGTGCAAATGTTAGTGGGCCTGTGACTGCCCATTTTTGCTTGCTGCAGGATAAATCCCAGCCCAGATTTTAGAAGTATTAAACCTATAGATTCTGTTCTTAAAATCTGAGTCACTCCATGAGTGGGCAGGATGGGTCGAGGTCACAGAGCCAAGGTGGCAGCTCTGGGGGAGGGGAGGGAGTCTTGGGTCTGGGGTTGGGAAGCCAGGCAGTCCTGTGACTTCTGTCTCCAGCCTGTGCAGCCAGGCTCGCTTCCCACTGACTGCCTTCCTGCTCTTTCCTGAGCCTGGACCTCGGTCCCGACCAGCTGAGCTGCCGTGTGTTCCCTCACCTCCCTGGACCTCTGCACCAGTGCCTCTCAGCAGCGAGGCCCTCCCTGACCCCTGTGTGTGAATAGCCATCTCTGTGCCTGTGTTCCCTGTCCCCCTTAACCTGCTTTGTTCTCTCTGCCACTTTTTACCCTTTGATACACCATACGTTTTATGTGTGTGATTATATTCTGCCTCTCACCAGGCTGTGTGCTTTTTGAGGGCGGGGCTTTTGTTTTCTTCACTGTGTGCCTTTAGCACTTAGAATGGTGTCTGGCAGGTGGTAGAAGTTTAGTAAATATTTTTGAATAAATAAATGATAGATGAATTTAACTTACTTTTCCCCAAAATACTTTTATATGACCGTGTAGAGCTCTGAGCAGATATGACCTGAAAAATTTCTCTTCTCTTTATTTGTAGAATGACAAAGGACAGATCCCCGCTGACGTTGTCCCAGACCCGGTCGAAATGCCCTTAGAAATGGCCGATGCCGCGGCAACTGCTAAAGAAATCAAGCAGGTGCTGCTCGATGCGGTGCCTCTGTCATGTGATCTCTCAAAGCCATTGCTTCCAAGTTACGGTCGTGTTACTAGCAAGGTGATGCTGACGTCACTTGGCCTGAAGCTGGGGGATCGTGTCGTTATTGCAAGACAGAAGGTATAGTCAGTAGCTGCAGTCTCTAAAGCGATGTCCAAGGTCATTATGTGGCCTGTGTGCCAAGGGTGCAGTGTGGTTTTGAGTTGTTTTTTTTTTTTAAGTTCCATATGTAGGTAGAAGGATACTTAATGGAAAACTTGAAACTTAGATGCACGGTTACTGTAAAGCATAATTTAAGAATATAAACTATTCAGACTGAATAACGAAGACATCTTTATTTGAATGGGAGAAAAGTGGAGCATAGTGGAGCATAGTGGAGCTGCCGAGTGAATTTAGAGGCATCCAGCCTGCAGGTTCTCCCTTGCAGCTCCCCGCTCACACCCCTCCTCAGTAGTGATTCTCCCACAACTACTACTGCACAGAAACGGAGCAAAGGTGACCCTCACTGTTCCTGGGTGTTTGGCTTCTTGATCTCACAAACAGGGAAATCTTAGATATGATTTCAACCTGGTAATGAAAATGTATGTGGGAAAGAGGACTCCCAACTCCACCCGACTGAAGATTCTCTGGACACCTCTTTCTCCAGAGCCTCAGTTTCCAGGTGGCTTTCACTTGTTGCCCTTCTCTCTTTATAAAAACCTCATATGGGAGAGCTGTTTTTCTCTTTTTAGGGCCAACTGGGAGCTTGGTATGGAGAATGGGACAGGGAATTTGTGCTTGCATGTGGAATTTCTAAAATAGCTACGGCTAAATATCTGGGTGGGTTTGTGGGGAGTGTTATGCACTTTTCTCAGAAAACACTGAAATTTGAACATTTGAGTTACTAAGAAAGTTGCTTCAAAAAGGAAGGTAAGCTACAAACTATTACACTGAGAATGACATTTACCAACTTCCACAAGAATACATTCATGGACATTTGTTAGTTTTCCGTTGTCCTATCTGTGGAGCTAAAATACCAAGAAATTATGAACGCATAGCATTTTCTCCCCTTTGGATTAATATTCAGCTTCTTTAGTATTCCTGTCCTATGTCTGAGAATGGACTTTTAGAAGAGTTATTCTGTGTTTTATTTTACTACTTTTTATTTTGAGTAATTTAAAGCTATACAAAAGTAGAAACATATAACGAACATGCATATATCAGTCGGCAGTGTTTACCTTTGTCACCTCACAGCCAGTCTTGTTTCATTTATATTTACCCTCAGTCTATTGCTTGTCTTTTCATTCTCTTAGGACTGTCTTTCAAAGAGCAGGCGTTTTAAATTCTCATGAAGTTCATTTTATCAAAATTCTATTTTATGGATTGTGTGTTTAGAATATCTGAGAAATTTTCTACTATGTTTTCTTCTAGATGTTTACAGTTTTAGGTTTTATATTTAGTTTTACATTTAATTCTGAGTTAATTTTTGGATAGAGTGCTAGGTATAGATAGGGTTTGTGTGTTTAGTTCTCTGTGTTTCTCTTTTTTTTAAAAACTAAATTTATTTTATTTATTTATTTTTGGCTGCATTGGGTCTTCGTTGCTGTGTATGGGCTTTCTCTAGTTGCGGCAAGCGGGGGCTACTCTTTGTTGCGGTGCGCGGCCTTCTCATCGCAGTGGCTTCTCTTGTTGTGGAGCACAGGCTCTGCGCGCGTGAGCTTCAGTAGTTGTGGCACACAGGCTCAGTAGTTGTGGTTCGTGGGCTCTAGAGCGCAGGCTCAGTAGTTGTGGTGCACGGGCTTAGTTGCTCTGCAGCATGTGGGATCTTCCCGGACCAGGGCTTGAACCCATGTCCCCTGCATTGGCAGGCGGATTCTCAACCACTGCGCCACCAGGGAAGTCCTGTATTGCTGTTTTGGATGGAATATTTTATAAATGTCAGGTCAAACTGGCTTATAGCTGGTTTCAGGTTTCAGTTTTTCTGTATCCTTACTGGTTTTCTGCCTTCTTGGCCTGTTGATTATGGAGAGAGGTGTGTTGAAGTCTCACTGTGATTGTAGATTTGTCTATTTCTCTTTTTAGTTCTATCAGTTTTCACTTCATATGTCTTGGAGCTCAGTTGTTAGGTACATATAGATTTAGGATTCTTATGCCTTCTTGGTCCATTGACTCTTTTATCATTATTTAATGTCTCTTTTTATCCCTGGTAATATTTTCCTTCTTCTGAAGTCTACTTTGAGAGAACGTTTGTTTTTTTTTTTTTGCGGTACATGGGCCTCTCACTGTTGTGGCCTCTCCCGTTGTGGAGCACAGGCTCTGGACGCGCAGGCTTAGCGGCCATGGCTCACGGGCCCAGCCGCTCCGCAGCATGTGGGATCCTCCCAGACCGGGGCACAAACCTGTGTCCCCTGCATCGGCAGGCGGACTCTCAACCACTGCGCCACCACGGAAGCCCTGAGAGAATGTTTTTGAAAGACTTCCATGATAAAGTTGCAAGAGTGGGAAACTTAGAATTACTGGTAGTACTCAAAAGTTACTCTCATTTATATTTTCTTTAGGTTGGAACATTAAGATTTTGTGGAACAACTGAATTTGCAAGTGGGCAGTGGGCTGGCATTGAGTTGGATGAACCAGAAGGAAAAAACAATGGAAGTGTTGGGAAAGTCCAGTACTTTAAATGTGCCCCCAAATATGGTAAGTTAGATACTATCTAATTTAATGAGAATTAATTTAAAATAATAAAATTTTACTCTTTTATTATTTTTAAATAAAACCTTCTCCCCGGTTACTTATGTAATAAATGAAGCGACTGCCCTTTTCTTACTGTGAGCAATATTGTGCTTGGGAGAGGGTGTCTTACTAGGAGGGCACCTAGCTCTGCAGACCCTCCTAAATCCTGCTCATGGTGGTGTCATGACTGAAGGAGGGATTTTATTCTTTATTACCGAGGAAATACAGAGCTCTAGAGGTTGAAAAACTTGAAAAATTGAAAAGCAAGTGAGGCCAACTTAATTACTGTGCTTCTGAGCTGGGATGATTTTCTTTTTCAGACAAATGTTTGCTTTATTTTATATTCTCTGTTTCTCTCGTATACACACACACACACCTTGACACATTGATTTCAGTTTGCTTTTGTCACTTACTATGTTGTGAATATTTTTCCTTGTTGTGAAGTACTTTCCCAGAACATTAATTTCCCTGGTTGCGCAGTATTTGATCTTGTAGCTCGACAGGGAAGGCAGTATATGGTACAGTGTTGAAGAGTATGGGCTTTGGAGCCCGACTGCTTGGGTGTGAATCAGCTGCTCTCCCTACCAGCTGTGGGACCTTCTTTCTCTTCTTGTGCCTCAGTTTTCTTCTGTAAAATGAGGATAGCAATACCGCAAGAGTTCATGTGGGAATTAAATGTGTTGATAAATATATAAAGCACCTAGAATAGTGCTTGGTTCCCAGTAAGCACCCCCCAAAATGTTAACTATTTGCTAGCTGTTATGAATTTATCAAAATCACCAGTTTCCTTTTGTCATACACTTAAGATGGAGCCTCATTTTGGGGTATATTATTAAAATTTTTGTTTATAAAAAGTGCCCATTACGTTAGATTTAAAAAACATAAAAAAGGAGAGAAAAATAAAATCACCTGTATATATTTTCTGTTTATTTTTTCCACAAAATTTGGATTATATATAGTTAAATAGTCTGCATTTTTATCTGACATCCTATTATAATTTCCTCAAATCTTTAAATATTGTTTGAAAATGTGATTTTTTATGGCTCAATTTCCTTTAATTTTTCCAATTTGATGGGTGAAAATTTCTGTTTAAATTCATGTTATTCTGACTGTGGTGAAATAAAATACCTAAAATGTTCTATTGTAGCACATGTATTTTTTGTGTTATCTTGGCAATTGCCAAGAAATAATTATTCATATTATTTGCCAATTAAAAATTGGGATGTTAGCTTTTTAAAAAAATGGATGAGTTTTTAAAAAATAAATGCGTCTTTAGGATATTAAGCCTTCATATTTATTACAGATTTTTTGCCCAGTTTGTCATTTGCCTTTGAACTTCATTTGCAGTGTTTTTGGACATGTAGTTTTATGCAGTTAGAAGACTTTTCCTTTATAATTTCTTATAACTGCTTTTATGCTAAAGTAGATAGTTCTTCCTAATCCAGAATTCATTATAGGTTATATATTTTATTCTTTTGAATGTTTTAATTTTTAAATACCACATTACTTAATTTGGAGTTTATTTGGTTAGTTGTATAAGGATAAGAATTTAAGTTTAGTTTTACTCTATTAGCAAATTTTGGCAACTGTCAAGCAGACTAAGGGCAAGATCAAGACCATTAGCAATCAGAGCCATGAGAAATGCTTAGATTGTAACAATGCACGTGGCCTCCCAAATCCCATCATTCCAAGGAGAGGCATGCTTGATTAGGACAAAGATGGGTACGCAAGGACCCTGTCTCCATCCCCCTTTACGTACTTTACGGCAAGTTGGGGGGCAGGGGTCATGTGTTGGATTATATAAAAATGGGAATAACCCTTCCTGCTGAGCCAGCTCAGTAGTCTGAGCCAGATCTTTGCTAAACTGTCAGTACTTGAGGTGTGGGGAGCAGGAGAGGCAGAGAACCCCCTGACTAAGCAGAAGCCAAAGCATTTGTCTCTTTTCAGCAACAGTTTTTTGGGTTTTTTTTCCTCTCTCTAAATCTGTCATTTTCCCTTTGGCTTGTTGTACTTCCTTTAATATAAATTAAGTTCTTATAAATGCTATAGTCTGTTTTGGGATTGTTTTGTCCCATTGATCTATTAATTCTGGCACATACTAGATTGTTTTGATTGTAAAAATTTTATAATAATTTTTTAAAGATCTTTTTAAAAGCAGCTTTTGGTTCATAGCAAAATTGAGAGGAAGGTACAGAGATTTCCTGTATACCTCCTGCCCACACATGCACAGTTTCCCCTTTTATCAACATCCCTTCACCAGGGTGTACATTTCTTACAGTGGATGCACCTACATGGACACATCATAATCACTCAGAGTCCATAGTTTGCCTTAGGGGTCACTCTTTGTGTTGTATATTCTGTGGGTTTGGACAAGTGTATAAGGGCATGTATCCATCATTGCCATATTATAGAGTGTTTTCACTGACCTGAAAATCCTCTGTGCTCCACCTGTTCATCCCTTCCCACCTCAGCCCCTGGCAACCATTGACCATATTACTGTCTCCATAGTTTTGCCTTTTCTAGAATGTCAGATAGCTGGAATCATAGAGTATATAGCCTTTTAATAATGCCTTCTTTCACTTAGTAATTTGCATTTAAGTTTCTTCATGTCTTTTCATGGCTTGATAGCTCATGTCTTTTTAGCACTGAATAATACTCCATTGTCTGGAGGTATCACAGTCCTCCATTATTTCTCCATTCACCTACTAAAGGATATCTTGGTTGCTTCTAAGTTTTGGCAGTTATGAAATTTTTTTAATAATTTTTAATATTTGGTAATACTATTTTTATGCCTTTTAATAATCACCAAAGTGAACACATATACCTAGTTTAATAAGTTGTATTATAAGGTTTATTAAAACAACAGCTAAACCCTCTCCTGGCTTGCCCTTCCTTACTCTGAGACCTGTTCTTTAGAGGCAAGAACTTTTTTGACTTCTTTAGATGTATCTTCTGATGTTCATATTCATATTTTAAATAATATATGAATCTTTCCAATTTTAGACATCTATTGACTTCATACTATGAAGAGAAAGATTTGGTGTTCATACTAAGTCATTTTTTTTTCTTGGTTTACTTACTTGTTTTGGTGGAGCACATCCTTCAGTAGCTTTTTGACAGAGGACTCATGGGGAGTGAATTTTTTGAGACTTTACATTCCAGAAATATGTTTATTTCTACCCTTACACTTCATATGATAGTTTAGTGGGATAAGGAGTGTTAGGTTGAAATTCACATTTTTTCAGTATTTTGAAGGTGATACTCTGTTGTCTAATGCAGTTTAGCAAACTTTTTCTGTAAAGGGCCAGGTAGTAAATATTCTGGTTTTATGGGCCATACAGTCCCTTGTTGCAGCTATTCAGCTCTCCTGTTGTAGTGAATAAGCAGTCGTAGACAATATGTAAACAAATGGGTGTGGCTGTGTTCCCACAGAATGGTACAAAAATAGGCGGTGGGAGGATGTGGCTCTCAGGCCATAGTTTGCCAGCTATCATCTTGAGCTTCCACTGCTGCTATTTAGAAGTTCCAGAGTCATCCTTTCTTCTGTTTTTGTCCTTTTCCTGTTTTTGGAAGCTTCTTTGGAAGCTTTAGCTTTTTTTCTCTTTTTTTTTTATCATTTTCTATTTTCTTTAGAGTTTATACCATTTTTATTTCTTACTAAAATTTTAGTGGAGTTTTGGGAGGAATTGTGGTTAAACAAAATGGATCATGTTTATCCAGAAATTCATTACTCTTCTGTTTAAAAATAATTCTTCCTTATGTGTTTATTTTTAGTTAAGCCTTATCATTGTATGTCAAGATCTGAAGAGAGTCCCATCAGTACTTTGAGTAGCGTGAGATTCTGAACAGGAAGGTTAACCCATACACAGTGCACACTTTGGGCTTTGATTATATCCAGTCAGTCATTGCTTTAAATTTAGTTTTGGTTTTCCCAAATGATTTAGTTAATTAAAAAAAAAAAAACAAGGAGAAAGAGCTATGTAGTTCATTCATTGAATGATATTATTGTGACATTAATGACACAGGTTTGAAAAATAATTTATGGTCTGTACTCAAATATGTTTTGGTTTTCTGTTTTTTACAGTCCTTCCTATATCCACACATACAACTTTTCACAGATATAATCATAATGTAATCAAACATACAACTCAATTTTTGTTCTCTTGATTTACTTTTCATATATTTCTATATTTCTACATAATCTTTATTGTTTTACTTATTAACAGTGATGTCATAGTTCGTAAACATAGTGGATTCATTTATTCTATTGCCAAATAATTGTTTTCTCCTACTTATAGTATTGCAGTGATGATATACTCAGGTATGCAGTCTTTTCCTCCTATTTGGATTATTTCCTCGTCAATTAATTTCCAAAAGTATGTTTGGGTTATAATAGTAAACTAGAAATTGCTTTGGCTCTTGAAGTCTATCTTCTCCTTATAATATGCAAACGTAAGTTTGTAACCTTGTTCATACTTCTTAAGTATAAGTATTTCCTTATAATTAATGCCATAAAGTAAATTAGGTCAGAATTTTTGTCTTCAAGTAAGATTTTACAAATTTACATCCCACGGTAGAAAATAATTTATTTCTTCAAACCCTTGGCAACACCGGATGTAATCATCAAGCTTGAGTGCGTGTGTGTGCGTGTGTGTGTATTTGGCAAGGAAAATAATTTAGAGAAAAAAATAGAAAGCAAATCTGATAGGCGGGAGACAGAAGAGAGAAAACATTGTGGAGAAGTCAAAAGAGCTAGGAAAATCAGGAGGAAGGATTGTAGAATCTGATGGAGGAAAGAATTTCGAGATTAGCAGAAAAGTAGTATAGTTTGCACTTGTTAGCTATAAACAAAGAACTCACTTTTTGTAATCTTGAGCATTTCATGAAACCTATTTTAAAACAAGTTGTTTTAATGTATTACATTTTAGTCATAATGTGTCTTTGTTAGATTAGGCGTAAACACTGAATGGTAGTGTATAATGTACATATTATGTCTTTATTTTTTCTTCTTATATGTCTTAGCCAAATAATCTTGGTATTTATAGTCCATATTCACTGTTTCTAATGTCTGTGCCTATTTATATATACTGTAATTTTATGCCTGGATAAATTTCTTTTTTAATGGAATTTTATACTCCTAGCTGCAGCAAACAGGCAGCCCCCTCCCCCTGTCCCCACATACCTTCCCACACAACACACACTGTATTGTTTTTGTTGTCAGTTGTCAGAAGCTGAGGACTAAGCCTCTTGGGAAATTATATTTTATACTCAGAAAGATTTTTTATATCCCTACTATGTGTAAGGCACTATAGTTAGGTACATTGGGGGAATGCAGAGATGAGTATTGGATTTTGTCTTCTAAAGTCTGGAAGATAGATAAAACATGAACATAAAAAGCTATAATATGGGAAAAAATATGTTCCAAGGAGCTATAGATAAAGAGACATCAGGAATAGTTGTTGTACTATATAGTGCACTGTTATTTGCCAGTACTTAGAAATAATTATAATTCTCTTTTCCCTGAGTTTCACTTAGTGCCTCGTTATGTTATGTGCTTCTTGAATTATTGTGTATGTTGTTAGTCTTGACAACTAGATTGTAAACTCTCTGAGGGCAAGTACTGAGTGAGACGTACTTTTTCTCTCTCTCTCACTACAGGGCACCTAGTAGACACTAAAAAAGAATGTAAAGATTTATATTACTGAATGGCTGTACTTGTCCTTTTATTTGAAGTGCTTTTAATTGCTTAACACTAAAATTCTGCATTCTCTCTTAGGTATTTTTGCACCCCTTTCAAAGATAAGTAAAGCAAAAGATCGAAGGAAGAATACAGCACACACTCCTCCTACAAAAGCCGTACCTCTTGTCAGGTCCCAGAAGATTGATGTAGTGCATGTAACGTCAAAAGTACATACTGGTAGGTCAAACCAGAAAGTTTGATATCTTGTTCGTGTTTTACTTTTATCTGTGGAATGCCTTATATTTAAATTGCTTCACACTTTTTGGTTAGCTGCCTGTGAAACCTGCATTTAATAAAACCTGCAAAGTTCTTGGTTTATGATTTTAATCCCTGACAAGCGTTTTTCAGATTTGTTCCTTCCTTTTTTTCCCTTCTATTTCCATACTTTTATCACCCCCAATCTAACCTTAAAGCTAGACTTCTATACCTCTGATAAGTATTTATGCAACACAACTAGCTTTATGTTTCTCACCTATTCAAGAATTTTAGTGACTTTTTTATCAGAAAAAGTCTCGACTCTTGAAACTGGCCGTCAGAGACCTTTCTCCGATGGAGTCCCTTACTGCTTCGCAGTTGAGCTGTGGTTTGTCACGTCTCACTGTCTTTTGTGTACATGGTTCTCACTCTTCCCGTCATACTTTCCCTATCTCTCTGGGCAATATTTGACTTCTGCCTGAGGTTTGAGTCATTCTTTACCTCCTTACTCACATCCTGTTTCTCCATGAAAACCTCCCTGATGACCCAGCTCACTTCGATCTCCTCATTCTCTAATTTCGTATACACTCTAATCCGTACCAGCCTGTTGCTATTTGTTATCTTGGGTTTTGTCCTCTGATTGCTTTATTTGGGCAGATCTTCTATTCTGTTAGAAAAATCTTCAACTTTAAATGGACTGTGAGAGCATTTTGTACTTTCGTATTCACTGTAGCACATAGCACAGAATAGGTGCTTAATAAATACTTGCTGACTCATCAATAACTGAAGCAGAAAGGCACGCTCCCACGACTAAAGGATTTTGTCTACAAATTTGGTTGGCCTTTCTGCTCTGTTCCACTGGCCTATTTGAATATCCCTGTGTTAGTACTGAACTTCATAATTACTATAGTTTTTTTTTTTTTTCTTTTCTTTTTATTTTTTTTGCGGTATGCGGGCCTCTCACTGTTGTGGCCTCTCCCATTGCGGAGCACAGGCTCCGGACACACAGGCTCAGTGGCCATGGCTCACGGGCCCAGCCGCTCCACGGCATGTGGGATCTTCCCGGACCAGGGCACGAACCTGTGTCCCCCCGCATCGGCAGGCGGACTCTCAATGACTGCGCCACCAGGGAAGCCCTATAGTTTTTTTAAAAAATAAATCTTGATATCTAGTAGAGGAAAGCCTCCTATCTTTTTCTTGAACAGTGTCCTGCCTGTTTGGCCCTTATACATCAAACTTCCTTATAAATTTTAGAATAAGTTGTTAAGTTTCTTTAAAAAAAATCTGTTGCGAGAGGGATGGGGGGCTCGGCGAAGTAGGTGAAGGGGATTAAGAGGCACAAACTTGCAGTTAAGAAATAAGTCACGGGGATGGAACCTACAGCATAGGGAACATGGTCGGTAATGTTGTAATAACTTTGTAGTGACGGAGGTAACTAGACTTATTGTGGTGATCAATTCATAATGTATATAAATGTCGAATCACTATGTTGTACAGCTGAAGAACTACACTTCAATTAGAAAAATAAAAAGGAAAATAAATAAATAAGGTAATAAATATATCTCCAGGGCAAGAAACTATTATTTTGCAAGTACAAACTGGAATTATATCTCAAAAAAAGTGCTTGTCACAAAATTAAAGTTTTTTTTGCTCCTTAATAGAAAGTTAACTTCTAGACAGATAAATTATGTTAATGTGTATGTTAATAAATATGTTAATTAACAAATTATGTTAATGTTATTTTTAGTGTCAGAAAATAAAAATATCCGTTGAAGTTTTAGTTGGTGTTACATTTAAACCTTAAATCAGTTTGGGAACTGACATCTTCACAGTATTCACTCTTTTAATTGTAAGCTTGGGATATTGCTTTATTTAATTGGGTCCTTTAAAAATATCTCAATAAAATTTTATGATTTTCTCTACAGATATTTTGTACTTGTTTTGTTAGGTCTATTCCTAGGTACTTTAGACTTTTTGATGCTCTTATAAATGGTATCCTTTTAACTTGAAACCCAGAAGTACACAGCAGATACGGAAAGAAAGCTCAAAGAGAAGTTTGTGGTCTGAGGAGCAGGAAAGGGGTCTCCTGCTAGACAGAAAGTGAAGGAAGTCCCTGTTTTCTTTTTTGATTGCTCTTTTTTACGTCTTTGGTTCTTTCCCACCGCAGTCCCTAGGCAGTCCTGCATGTTGTAATAGCAGCAGGGGATGGCCACACACCTAAAACCCCAAGGGAGGGGAACCCTTGTTTCTGGCCAGAGAAACTGTGGTCCCAGGAACAGGGATGGAATCCCCATTAGTTTTTCTTCTTTTTTCTTACTGCTTGGCCCCATAGGCAGAGTCAATCTCAAAAGGTTATATGACAGGGGCTTCCCTGGTGGCGCAGTGGTTAAGAATCCGCCTGTCGATGCAGGAGACACGGGTTTGAGCCCTGGTCGGGGAAGATCCCACATGCCACAGAGCAACTAAGCCACAACTACTGAGCCCGCATGCCACAACTACTGAAGCCCGTGTGCCTAGAGCCCGTGCTGCACAACAAGAGAAGCCACAACAGTGAGAAGCCTGCACACCGCAACGAAGAGTAGCCCCTGCTCGCCGCAACTAGAGAAAGCCCACGTGCAGCAACAAAGACCCAACGCAGCCAAAAATAAAAATAAATAAAACAAATAAACAAACAAAAAGAGTATATGACAGAGCAGGGAAATTAAAGCCTAGGCATTCTACCCAGAGTATCAGGAAGGGGTGCCTCTGGGAGCAGGAAAGTGTCAAGGAGACCGTGGTGAGGAAGGAGCTCAAGAAAGTGATCTCAGAATGGTGGACTTGCTGCCAGGTTGTGTGTGCATGCGTCTGACCACGGGCTTCGGTCTCCCGCACAGACCACTGCCCAGGTCTCAGACTGACTACTGGGTGGCACAGCACACGAGACAGATCCCACACAGGCTGTGGCAACTGAACTGACATTGGAGCCACAGTCACAGAAGATGGGTGGGAACTGCCATCCTGAAACTAACCACCTGCTAACTGTCGAACGCCTGCTAAAACAGAACAGAGCAAAACAGTCAGCACTCTCCATAGAAGTTAAGCAAGACCCAAGTCCTGTAAAATGGTGTTCATACTGTACAGGATACAGTCCAGAATTGCTCCAAATATGAAAAACCAGGAAAATCTCACCAACTCTCAAGGAAAAGGACGATCAAAAGATGCCAACCCTGAGATTATACAGACGTTTATCAGATAAAGATTTTAAAGAATATATTATAACCCTCTAAGAATTAAGGGTGAACCCTCTTGAGACAAATGGAAAATTTCAGCAGAGACATGAAGGTATAAAAAAAGAACCAATAATTCATATACACACGTACACACACACGAGTACAAGTAAAACTGAGGTAATCTAAGATTGGTGGATTGTAGCAATGTCGGTATCCTGGTTGTGCTTTTATGCTATAGTTTTGTAAAATGTCACCTTTGGGGAAAACTGGGTAAAGTGTACATGAGATCTCCCGATACCGTTTTTTACAACTGCATATGAATTTCCAGTTATCTCAGAATTTTCAAATAAAAGGAAAGACTCAAACGGATACTTTAGGACTGAAAAATATAACTGAAAATAAGAAATTACTCTGTGGGTTGACTTCACAGAGTCTCTCTCCCCCACCCCCCAACCCAGTTTCTGCTGTTGTGATTCTGGCCCTCACTCCTGGCCTCTGCTTCCAGTCTCTCCTCCTCTGGTTCCTTCTAAACTTTGCTGTCGGGGTAATGTTATTCACCTGTGACTATTCATGCCAGTCCTCCTTTCCAAAGCCCATCAGAGGCTCATTCCTTACTGAAGAGCTCCGGTTCCTTTGCCGGCACTGTTACCCTGTAAGATTTTACTGTGGCCCATCTATCCAGGTTACTTCTCCTGTGTCCCCCGAAAATCCATTTTATTCCAGCCAAGCTACTCATCCTTCTCTGACCCTGTCTTTCTTTTAAGTTTTTTTTTTTTCTTTTTGTCCATCCATAATGGCTACCTTCAGTTCTTTCTGATCATACCTCCAGTATTCACTGGAAGAAATCTGACATATCTCTCAAGACCCATATTGGAATGTGATCTTCTTGATGAGGCATTAATTTATCTTTATAACCATGATTATTGTCTCCTCCTTCTATGCTAGGGCTTATATCAAACATGTCCTCATATTATGGTTATTCATGTCTTTCTGCCACACCAAATTGAAAAGGTCTTCCTTTAGGGCTGGGACCATGGCTTGTTTTGTTTGCGACGCTCAGAGTGCCAAGCTCATTTCTTCACCCAGAACGCTTTGTAAGTGAGTAGAATTGGAATGGATGCTTGATGGAATTCGAAACTGGGTGTAGTCCATTAGGTTTCTTATTTACATAGTTTGGTTCTGTAGAATTGAAACAGAAGTCTTAATATTAAGTAGAGTATTATTCATGAGCTCTCTTTTAAAATCAGTGTTTTGGGGGAGTTGGGTGTAGTGAGAGTCGGGTAGTCATTCAGAGAGTACAGGGTTTCTTACTATCTGACTCTGACTTAAATGAATAATTGCTATAATGATTTGCAGAAATTTTTACCGCAAATTTACTATCTAAATAGACAGTCTGCTACAATGAATTTGCCTGCACACACCAGTGAAATCATGAGTTGTTTGCAGGCCTTAGTAAGTGTGCAGCCGTCATAGCTGTATCAGGTTTGCTTTACATGCTAGCACTGTGCAGACACACTAAGGAGTGCATTAAGTATCAGACACTTAGATAGCTGTGTTTTAAATGCTCTATATTATTTAGAATTCCTTAGTGGATTTTTAAATAGGTGGAAAAGACACTTTAGTGATATTTGGGGAAATTGATTGGGGTTTTCAGGTGGGCTTAGAAATACATTCTTTTCTTTCCCCCTTAAATAATGAAACATTGGCCTCTGCCGTCTGTGAATTTATCATCCAGCGTGTTCTCAGAAGAGGATAAGATTTAGATAATGAGGGATGTCTGTACTTTAAAAAGCAAATACAGGGCTTCCGTGGTGGCGCAGTGGTTAAGAATCCGCCTGCCAATGCAGGGGACACGGGTTCGAGCCCTGGTCCAGGAAGATCCCACATGCCGTGGAGCAACTAAGACTGTGCACCAAAACTACTGAGCTCATGTAAACCACAACTACTGAAGCCGGTGCGCCTAGAACCCATGCTCCGCAACATGAGAAGCCCGCGCGCTGCACCGAAGGGTAGCTCCCGCTCGCCACAACTAGAGAAAGCCTGCGTGCAGCGACAAAGACCCAGTGCAGCCCCAAATAAATAAATAAAATTTAGAAAAAGAAGCAAATACATATTTTTGTTTAAAGAAAATTCTTTCTTGCTGAAAGTGTTTTGTTTGTGTTCTAGGATTAATGACATCAAAAAAAGATAGTGCTTCAGAATCAACACTTTCATTGCCTCCTGGTGAAGAATTGAAAACTGGAGCAGAGAAAGATGGTAATATAATTTATAACTTCTATTTTCAAAATTTAATTTACTGATTGAACTTTAAAATAATATAGTGATATAGCTTATATGAGGCTAAAGTTTAAAGTTTGTAAGGGAAGAATCATTACAGTAAAAATTTATACTTAAAAATCCCCTGAGCAGCTGATAATAAAGTGTATGTGTATACACACACACACACACGCACACACGCACACGCGCGCACACACACACGCACACACACACATACACGCACACGCACGCACACACACACACTTTTTTTTGGTATAAAATCCTGTGTTGTGATTCTTATGTACACTTAAATTAGAGAATTACTGGACTAGATTAAGAGAATAAAAGGAAATTCCATAGTGTAGATGTCTTGATAAAAGCATTTAAAGTTGCCTTTAGCTGTCAAATCATTGGGTGAATAGAGCACAAATAGAAAATTCAAAAGTATTCCTGCTTGCCTTCAGGTTAACTCAGAACATTTTAATATTAAGTTTTTGTTACCTTAAAAACACATTAGTATGTTTTTTATATAAATAAGATGTGATTCTACTAACTCATCTTAAGTGAGAGGTGAGAGACAGTGGTGGTTAGGATAGGTAGTTGGTCTAAGTTAGTGACATGACAGCGCTCTCCTATATGAGATTGCCATCATATAGTGTGGATCCTTTGGATCCTTAAAACTGCTTGGGCTATAAAATCTTGTATGTATGAACTACAGTATATTTTGATGAAATCAGGCATTTAATTGAACACTAGTTAATCCACAACTGAGGAAGCTAAGTGGAGAGTTTCAGAAGGATTTACCTGGAAAAGCATCTCATTGGTTCACTTCTTATTTCCCACCCTCTGATGTGTTCTTTTCCTGTACCGTTTTAGTTACCCTGCTTGCATCCGTCAGCAGCTCCTCCTCTACATCTTCTTTGGAGCACAAGCAGAGTCACTCCAAGACACTGAATGCAAGTGGCAATAACAAGAAGACAATGAGCAAAAGCCCTTCTGTCTCATCTAGAGCCAGTGCCGGTATCTATGGCTTTTTCAACCAGGCTTTCTTGGTGTTTTTTATCTTGGTTTGTTTGTAAGTAGATTTGCTCTTTTTAAATGTGTAGAAGGAACCCTTTACTTCAGTCAGGTTGAACTACTTGTCCCTTCCCTGTCTCCCCCCAGCCCCCCACCTCCCTCCCCTTCGTCAGCACACTCTGGATCTCTGTGCCTTTCCCTCATGCTCCTACCATTTTTCCTTGTCTGGATTGACTTCTTCTCTTCCTTATGTATCTATGGACTCTAGCCCCTGTAAGGTTCGTATTAGAACTTTATGATAGATCTTCAGATACTTGGAAACCATACGGCCTGTTCTCTTTCTTTACTTATCTCTTTTCTAATCTAAACCTAATAATAATAACTGACATGTCAATACATGTTATTTACTATTTCAGGTACTATTAAAGGAATTTTACGTACCTTATTTCATTTAATTCTCAAAATAAACCTATGGAGTAGGTACTATTATGATCATCTTCAATTTATGAATGAGGAAATCGAGGCTTAGGGAGGTTAGGCATTGGTGCACAGTGGCAGTTTCTAAGTGCACACCTGGGCTTCACCCGCAGGTCTATCTGATGCTTCGCTGCTACCAGAGTCCACCTGTGTCTCAAGTACCTTCAGCTCTTCTTCATGCTGTAGGGTCCCCAGACCCTTTCCAGCCTGCTGGTAGAGAGCTGAACCACTGCCTCTCGGTACAAGTCCAGTCTGAGGCTACTCATGCAGTTTTGGTGACCACACTATGTCATTGGCTCAAACAGAGCCTTATGCTAAGTCTCTTCGTTTTATGGCTTGACATAGGACTTTACATTTATTTTCATTTAATTTAATGTTTGAATTTTTATCCCTCTGAATTTTGTTTTTTACATCTTGTGTATAGCTTTTTCACACACTTTTGTGTTATATTCTTATTTAAAAAGCATGCTTTCTCTATTTTTAGCCAAGTCATTGTTTAAAACTGTGAGAGGTTGACAGTGATAACCTTTTTAACTTGCTGTGAAGCCTGCATGGTCCCATTCAGTCCACATTTCCTCAGTTATGTGTAAGGATATATAAAACACGTTTTCTTGCTGAAATCAACATATATATTGAATTTACTGCAGTTCAGTTATTTACCTGCATAGAAAGAAAATGAAGCCACTTTGGCATAACTTATATTTTATTTATTTATTTTTAAAAAATTGTTTTATTTGTTTATTTTTGGCCGTGTTGGGTCTTTGTTGCTGTGCACGGGCTTTCTCTAGTTGCGGCGAGCGGGGGCTGCTCTTCATTGTGGTGTGCGGGCTTCTCATTGCGGTGGCTTCTTGTTGCGGAGCATGGGCTCTAGGCGTGGGGGCTTCAGTAGTTGTGGCACGCGGGCTCAGTAGTTGTGGCTCGCAGGCTCAGTAGCTGTGGCACACGGGCTTAGCTTCTCTGCCGCATGTGGGATCCTCCCCGACCGGGGCTCGAACCTGTGTCCCCTGCATTGGCAGACGGACTCTTAACCACTGCGCCACCAGGGAAGCCCATAACTTATTTTTAATGAGCCTCATAGTAATTACTAGATTCTTTTTCTAATACTTTTAATACTTGAACCAATATTTTATTGTAGAAAATGTTCATGACAGGATTTCTTTTTCTCTTTAAGATACTTTATTGTATGGGGGGAAAAAAACCCAAACAAACCCTCAGTAGTAACACTGATGTAATAAAGTTAAAAGTTGAGGCCCTAAAAGTGGAGAACCTGGAAACTTTGCTTGAATATTTATTCTCTGAATAGATTCCTCTTCCCTTGAAACCAGTTTCTCTTTAATGCTGTGAGGAACAGAGGTGAAAAGATGCAGTGATGTAGCAATCCCGTTTGTCCTCATTTTATTTACATTTTAAGGCCCTCTTCATTTGGAATTTGGGCTTTTGACATTGACTTGATTTTAAAATTTATGTGTGGGTATGGAATTATCTTTTTTACCCTTTATATAAGGGTATAGTTCTAGTGTGCTTACATACTTAACCTTTTTTTCGTTTTATAAATTTGAGGGGTTTGTGGACCTAAATAATAGTAGAGATGAAGAGAGTTGTCAATTAGAGTGAGAAGGAGGTCCTTTTAAAAGGGGAGGGAGATGTGTGAGAGAAAGTTCCGAACCCCAGAGATGTTTTCTTAAGAAAGTATTGCTAGAGTGAGTAGATATTCCGCTTTCTCTGTTCGTTTGCATTTGGGGTAGATGTGGACTGCAGAGGGTGGACATTTAGGGGAAGCTAAGGACAGAGGATTAAGGAGAAAGAGGAGCAGAGAGAAGAGATTGGGGGATGGGAGAGGTTGGGGAGGACGTCTGTGAGCTCAGCCCCACTGTGGTCCACGTTGAACTCTCTGTCCTTGGTCCACCGTCTGCAGGCAGCGTGGGGACAGATGTGAGAGTTTCTGGTCACAGGGTCAGGGTTTTAAAGTCAGGTGTGCCACTGACTCCTATGAACACCATGTCTTCATTAATTCCTGAGTTTGTTTCTTACCTATGATTATAATTCTCATGAAAAGCGCTTTGTAAACCGTGAAGTGCTTGGGAAATGTTAGTTATTTTGAGGGCCAAGGACTTTTTAATGTACACTTGATCCAGACCTCCCTTCTCCCTGAGTTTGTGTTCCTCATTTGTTACCATGTTTTTAGTTTCTCCCTGTTAACAGTCTGACTTACCCTCTATCCCACACCCTCATGCAGGGTTCCCTAGGCCTTCTCAGATGACAGGCACTCAAATCTGTTCATGGACTGATGGGAGAAGCCTCAGGGGCCCACCTCTTCTCTGTTGTAATTGAACAGCTTTCAAGACAGTGTTTCTCCAGGACTTCTGATGTTCAGTAGCGGGAGTTGCAGGCTTTAGGTTTGAATCAAGGTCTGGGCAGGGAGTGCTTTTGTTTCTAATAAGGAAATCAATTTGGGGTAATTGGAATCTTATAGCAATTTCACTTTTAAATTACATTTATGTATGTATCATTTACACTGAGTCCCACTGAACTACTGTGATTCTAGCATTTTACTAGAATAGGGATTGGTGGACTATCGCCCATGGGGCAAATCCAGCCTACCACCTATTTTTGTAAATAAAGTTGTACTGGAACATGTTGTGCCCATTTAGTCTGTCTGCTTTTGTGCTGTGACGGCAGAGTTGAGTAGTTGTGCAGAGTAGTATGGCTTGCAAAGCCTAAAATATTTACTATGTAGCCCTTTAGTCAGAACAGGTGTGCTGACCTCTGTTCTAGTAGAGAGTGCCACCAGGAAGTCAGGTAAAGCTGATACTTCACCAGGAATCAAGTGTAAGTTCCCGTGGCAATGATTGTCTCAGGAAACCCTTCAGATTTCTTTTGAGTAGCTTTACTTCACATGTGAGAAACACAACGTAGATGCTGTGTGTAAGGAAAGGCAGCATGTATTGAAATCTCCAACTAACTAGACTGGTTAGAATAAACAGTCGTTTTTTGGCTTATGTGCTTTTTGAGTTTCCCTTTGTTTTTTCTCTTTTCCTGCCCCATCCCCTTCCCCAACCAACCCCAAAACAGGTTTGAATTCCTCAGCAACATCTGTAGCAAATAATGCACGCTGTGAAGGAGAACTCCGCCTTGGAGATAGGGTGTTGGTGGTAGGCCAGAGAATTGGTACCGTTAAGTTCTTTGGGACAACAAACTTCGCTCCAGGTAACTCATCTGTGTAGTCTTTGCTCAACTTGAATTCTTTAGATAACAAAAGGTTTAAAATTTTACATGTAAATAAAATTTACAGAGAATTCTTGATTAATGGTTCTTGTGGGTGGTGGCTATGGCACAGAAAATGGAAAACATTGATTCAAATGCAGACTGTTTTTACTCAGGTTGATTGTTAACTAATGAATTTTTCTTGCCATTTGTGTTTTAAATTGTCTAAAGTTAAAGTTAGTTGTTACTCTCCAGTTTTACTCTCACTGATTGCCAAGTGTGCTAAATAACAGAGAAAACATTTTAGGATTAGATTTGTGCTAAGCATGATCTTGAAAATGAGTGGATAATGAGTTTACTGCATACAGCTTTTAACAGAGTGGCTTGGAGAGAAAAGCAAACAAAGCGGTTCAAAGGAAAATGAAAGACGTTTGCGCACTGTGGGATTTTAAAAATGCATGTTTGTGTATTTATATACTCACTCCAATCTAGACTTAACATTGTGTTTCCAAAAGTAAAGATTATCTTTCTTTTATATTTGCAGTAATTTCTGATTGTAATTTCAAACAGAAGCCGGTTGAATAAAACCATGTTTGTATTTTTAAATAGCAATATGCTGTTTTGACACATGGTGGCATTGCAGCATTTTAGGAAATGGTTACCTAGAACATTGATTTTTTAAAAAAAGTTTGTAGCCTTCTGTCAAGAACTCTGAAGGATCTGAGATTTTACCCTATTTGCAAGTTAACAAGTTGGATTGCCATGGTTTCCTAGATGCTGGCGGAAGATGGTAGGCTCCTGGGTCAGCGATAGAGGACCTCAGTGCTCTCTGCAATAGTGGTAGCCAAAGTGGCAGCATTCTCTTCTGTTTCCTGAGCCCCAGTTCCCAGGGGGTGAGATAGGGAGGGCCAGGTGACACCTGTACACCCAGTGGTTTATGCTATAGGAGAGGAGCCCCGAGCTTAAGGAATCTGAACCTTTGTACTAGACAATAAGCATGCCTGTCTTTTGTGCTGGGGGAGACTCTGTCTCCATCCCCCAAGGCCATCTTCTCTACAAACATCCATGAAAAGACAGTCAGTGCCTCTGTCCATAAGGCCTGTAGAAACATGGAGAATTGTCTCCCAACACATTCTTGTTTCATTAGTACCATTTATAATTGCAGTCCAACTACTAATGGATTGGAGATGGGCTATATGTTTTATAATTCATGTCTCTCTTAGGGCACCAGCTAGTAATTGAGATTAGTTAGAATGTTCTTAATGTGGTTCTCAAATAAAAACCTAGGCATCCCAAAGGTAGGTTATTTTTCCACAATCACCATGTCTTCTGAGCTTCCTTTCTCTGGTTTTATTAAACAAGGCTCGAACGGTTTGTTTTGTTTGGAAGCAGTTGTTTTAGGTTGGCTTTTAATTTTTAAACTCCTAGTGTAGAGCATTTAGAAATTTGAGAAGTAATAAGCAAATATAAAAGTTGGAAATTTTTCATTGAGGTCCTTCTGCTCTTTCAGAAAGAAGTAGCGTGTATTTCTTGTGGCATCAAAATTTAGATCAATCAGTTCTATAGGACAGTGGTAATATCTAGGCTTTTTATAGATGATAAGATCTAGACCTGACAGAGGGCATGTTTAGCCCCTTCAGCATGTTTAGCAGTGCCACCTCTGAAAGAAAGTATCCAGACAGTATGTAGTCACTATTGTTAACACTTGCCATAATGCCTTCCTGCTGTGTGCTACACACTTTCAGGAGTTACATGGTAAACATGTAGCAGTGATATGGTGTATTAAAATGGGAAAATGCAAAAATTATATAGGAAAGCATCGAAGGCAGAAGGAAGTAAAACTTGGAAAATTATAACCGTGGCACTCAGAAATAACAATGGCAACCAGAGTAACCCAGTTAGCGACATTCAGAAATGCGATGACTGAGCATTAGTATGGCTGAGCAGTGGGTTTGTATACCTCACTCTGTACCTGTGCAGGGTAGGACTGTTTAAGTATAAAAGACAGTTACACGCATTACGTTAGTCTTTTCAACTCAAACTCCAATATCGGGAATGGACTCAGGTATCATCTTTTTGAACGTAAGAGGAAAAAAATTAAGAACTTCTAGATTGTCATTTTAGAGGTTATACAATTGACTCTTTGAACTATTAATCTGAAGGGAACAATATTTTTGTATTTTGTCATTTGTCATAAGTTTCTCAATATCTGTATCCTTATTTTTTTATTTGTTACTGATTCTAAGAGACCACATACAATTACTATTGTATTCTACTTTTAAAAATGAGTGGACCGTCAGGTACTTTTAACTGAACTGGAGGTACCCTCATCCAGAGCCATTACTCTAGGAGTATATGTCCATTTATCTAATATTTGCCACACTAAAAGCAACCTCACTATTTTAATTTTATGCTCTCTAGAAAAGGAAATCCTATTACTCTCCTCAGAGTGGGCCCTTTTAAATACTTAAAAGCCTTTTAGAAAATTATTCCTATTAACTAACCTAAATCTTTTCATTTAGGTTAAAAATGATTTTTTTTTCCTTCCTGGGTAGGGAAAAAATGAAAGAAAAAGAAGAGTCACCATGAAGTCTAGTCATATTTTCCATATTGTTTTTGTCCCCCTTTAATTATTTCAGAACTGTTTGTGGTATTCTAATACTGGAAGAGTAAAATGAAAAGATTGCATATTCATTTTATGATTTATACATCTCAGTACCATGCTACACTGCTCTCAACTTAAACAGACCATACTACTGAGTTAAGGACAGTTCTTATTGTAGCTTTTAGATATATTTTGGTCATACACTACTTGTATAATAGCTAATCCTTGCCAAATTTGTGTTTGTACATTTTATCTTTCTCCCCTAATGTACAACTCTGCAATTATGCTTGTAAAATGTTTTTCTAGTTGAAAACTTTTCAAATTTTCAAACTTTGTTTTATAATTGTATCATTTGAAAGCTTAATGGTCATGAGGATTTTGGTCATTTGTGACAATGTTAAACCATGTAGACTTTGATGACAATTTTGGATAAAGTGCAGATGCTTTTAAAATCCCATGTTCTTGTTCTAGGATATTGGTACGGGATAGAGCTTGATAAACCCCATGGCAAGAATGATGGTTCAGTTGGAGGTGTGCAGTATTTTAGTTGTTCCCCAAGATATGGAATATTTGCTCCCCCATCCAGGGTACAAAGGTGAGAAACAATGAAATTTACACCATTCACAAGAACTTTTTGTAACGTGCAGTGGGTTATAGTTAGAGTCCCTAATTTGATGTTAAAGACATGCCCTGACTGTAGCCCATGTCTTCTTTCAAGGGGTTAACCAACCACCTTCTTCAGAGGGAAGGCTCATGGAAAGCTGAATTTGCTTTGCTGAGGATTTGCAATTTTAAAAACCTCCTTTATTCCTCATTTGCAAACCCTGTGAGTATGTGTAGGCTAGTAGGAGTGGTGTTTACCGCTCTGAACAGTGAGAGCAGCAAGCTTAATCTGTCATGCAAACAAAAGTAAAAATGCTCTCTGATTGCCTCAGTCACATCCTAACTACATTAAATTTCCTGCCAGCAGGCACCCCATTCATTCTCCTAAAAACCTAATGGAACCAAAATGGCTTTTTCCTCTGATTTCCTTAGTTTTCAAAAATAGATAAGCAGTAGATCTTTGGGGGAAGTGAAGCTTCAAGGATTTATATATAATATACCTCCCCGGTGTTTCTTCTTAAGATAGTACACTTTTGTACCAGCTTACTCTGGTTTTTATAAAAAAAGTTGAGCAGAAGTGAGTCCTCATGAAATTCCAGGTACTATTGTGTGAAGTGACTTACTGTGCTGAAAGGAGTTGGCTTGGTATGCGTTTCAGTGGATGGGAAACGGGATACTCATCTTTAAATAGGAAATACCATGTATGGTATAGTCACATTCATGAGAATAGATCTATGATCTCAACCTCGGAGTCCCATCTTGTTCCCTTCCGACTAGACTGTGTGACTGCCTCCTGGCAGATTTAACAGGTTTTATATCCATTTTCTTTCTCACTTTGTTTTTCTTATTGAATAATTACATGTAATTTTTGTATTCTTTTCCTTCTTCTATGATGTACTTAGTATAATTCTTTTCTTATTATTTATGATTTTATAACATTTAACGTATAATGCTTTTCAGTTTACAAAGTACCTTCAATTAAATGTTGTTTCATTTGACCCTAATAAGTATTTGGTCAGGTGAGCTGGAAAAGAATAACTACAGATGGTCCCTGACTTACAATGGTTCAGCTTACGATTTTTTGACTTTATGGTGGGGCAAAAGTGATAAGAATTCAGTAGAAACTGTATTTCACATTTTGAATTTTGATCATTCCCTGAGCTAGCGATGTGCAGTACAATATTCCCTCGAGATGGCTGCGCAGGGCAGCAGCAACTCCCAGCCAGCCACGTGGTCACGAGGTGAACAACCAATACATTTACGACACTTCTGTACCAATACAAGCATTCTGTTTCTCACTTGAAGTACAGCGTTCAATAAATTACATGAGACATTCAACACTTTATTGTAAAATAGGCTTTGTGTTAGATGACTTTGCCCAACTGTAGACTCATGAAAGTTTTCTGAGCACATTTAAGGTAGGCGAGGCTAAGTGATGATGTTCAGTAGATTAGGTGTATTAAATGCATTTTCAACTTAAGATGGGTTTATCGGGACGTAGCCCCGTTGTAAGTTGAGGAGGATCTGTACAAATAGTTATTGAGCATTTAGTAAGTGGTGGGCTCTGTACCATGTTACTTCATAAATCTCCCCCAGGCCCAGTGAGGTATAAGGTAATATGATTATTCCTATTTTTGCAGGTGAAGAAAAGTTACAAGAGACACAGTAGCTTTGCTAAAGTCCTGTAGCTACTGTAGGGGACGAAAAACTTGTCCTGTCTATGAATTAAACTGACAACAGATAGATGAACAGGAGAAAAATCATGCACACTTATTAAATGTTAATTTTACATGCATGGGGGCATCACAGAAAGCAGTGAATGCCCAAAGTAGTGGTGAGATTGGAGAGTTTATAGACCATCTCAATAGGGGAAAGGGAGGGGGAGAACGGCCACTTGTGGGGGAGCAGGTGATGTTAGGAAAGACTAGTGGGCCCTTAGGAAAACGGAGGGGGATATGATAGTCTGTGACAGTGTCTGTCTGGGGTGTGGTGTTAACTGCTCATGTTCTCTCCTGTGATGAGAGTCAGTCTTCTCTGCTTGATGAAACTCCCGGGAAGGGGATTTATGACAATTCCGTTCTTTTTTGGGAAGATCTGTTTTAGGCAGATAAGGGGAGTTCAGAGAAAGCCTCTTCCTGCATTTGTTGATTCTCAGATGTCTTTAGCTCAAAATAATCTTTGCACCAGAGTGGCATGTTTTGGGTGGGATATTTTGATCTCGCACAGTAGTTAATGGTGGAGCTGGACTCAGCCCAGGTTTGTTATTTTGCTGTTGTTTTTTTCCTAAGCCCTTGCTTTTAGGCAGTTTGCTGGGGTTTTTCTTGGTAGTCATTTTATAATGAAGAAAAAGAGGTAGTAGCTAGGGGCGCTTACACGTGCTGGCACTGTTTTAAGTACTCTGTATGTATTGTTTACTGCTCTGCAGCAACCCTGTGTGTCAGGTACTGCAGTTATCCCTATCTCACAGGTGGGGAAAGTAAGGCACAGAGAGGTTAAGTGAGTTGTGCAGTTGTACACAGCTCCCAAGTGGAGATTTGAGCTCAGGTAGTGTAGTATCAGAATGTGTACTCTTAACCATTACCCTATAATGGTTAAAAGAGGCCCAGTGACTTTCTTTAGGACCTATACCTTATAAATGATTGATTTGGGAATAAAATCCATACTGAGTCACCAGTCAGTCTTCTGGGTTCTCATATTACTTTGAACAAATCTTCATTAACACATTGCTTCATTAACACATTTTTTGACTTTATGGTGGTGCAAAAGTGATAAAGAGTTCAGTAGAAACTGTATTTCACATTTTGAATTTTGATCATTGCTACAGTCTCTCATAAGTTTTATTTGTCTCCTAGTCATGAGGACTGGGGTTCTCCGTTTCATGTTTGATTACCCAAGGAACACATTCTGGCATGTTGTATGCACAGTAAATATTGATCAAATTTTGTTCAGTGTTTTTTATGCTGTAACGGCTTTCTTCTCTGCTATGTTGTGAAGCCTCTTTCTCTCTCCTGGTTTTATCTTCTTTTTCTTGCCTTGTTTATGGAACACACATTTTTTACTTTTTTTTTGCCATCTATTTGGTCTTCTTTAAGGTGATTCATTTAAAAGCAGCCCCCTCATCTTAGAAGAAGCAGGGCTCTCTCTCTAAATGAACTGCTCTCTCTATCCAGCTGTCTTCCTACCATCTTCTGATTGTCTCATTCGTCATCATCAAATACTATTAAGTGTCTTTCAGCACTTTGTGCTGTGCTAGGCGTTCTATAAGTAAATAAAACAGACATGGTGCCTGATTTTGAGGAGTTTCTAATTTAAACCAGCTTTGGAGCTCTTTAAAGATAACACTGATCTTCAAGAAGGAAGAATTTTAAACTAGGGACTCCTGAGAGAACAGTCAATCACATAGTGACCAATCACAACCTCACCTTGCGTTGCGCCCCTCCCCAGATTGTAGCTGGCCTTTTTAAATTTTTTTATTTTAATAGTTCCATTAAAAAATGTGCCTCCTGTCCCAGAATGCACATCGTACTTTCCTCTGCTTGAATGGTTTTCTACTATCACCCAAGTATCATCTAGTTAATGCTTTTTCTTCTGTTAACTTATATATCAACCAGTATTACTTCAGAGAAATTCTAAGACACTGACTGGACCTAATCTTTCTGTCTCTCTCTCTCTGTCTGTTTTTTACTCAAGTGGTTTTTATCAGCATAGCATTAATTTTCTTATTCTCAGTTCATACCATTACATGCTTATTACTAATGAACCGATCACTTTTAGAATTAAGTTCTCGACTCTCCATCACAGCTTAATTCAAGTATCTGTCCTCTTCATCAAGTCATATTCTTTGCATTCATTAGCCTCTCATTGATTGCTGTATGTTATGTATCTTGTGAAAATGATGCATGTGAATTGCAAGATGAAATTGCAAATATTGTAAGAGTTGCAGAATTTCTTTATGGTAACAAAGTGTGCTGATGCAAGTGATTGATAGAATGAAGACTGCAGATTTAGGTCAGTAGACAATTGGAAGAAAATGAGACTGTTACAGGATTGGCTTTTTAAAAATAAAGAATGATTTGAGTATCAAAGAAATAGACCTATCGTGAACGTGACCTTTGTGATTGTGCTTAGAGTCAAGTATAAAATAAAACATGTTGAATCGTATTAGCCAGTTTTATCAGAAAAATCACATATATACACAGACTCAGCTGATGTTTTTTCAATGTAAAAATGTGGTGTTTTTACAGTTATAACCTAACATTTGTTAACTTTCACATAAAATAAAATGTGCACATTTTTTAGTTTCATCTTCGAAAATAAAGCTCCAAAGAAGCAAAGTCAGGCCCGTATTTGAAACGAATTCACCTGAAGTTGACTTTCTCTGTACTTACTATGCTTATATTGCCTGTCTGTGGTGCTAGATTGAAGTTCATCCCTGGCTCATGATAGATGCTTAGTAAATGCTTGTCGAACGAGTGAAATAAGAAAGAACCATTGGTGTGAAATCCTCAGTTAAGCACCAGTCTTAAATCTGAAGACCAGCTACTTCTAATGAGGTTTGCATTACTTGTTTTATTCACAGAGTAACAGATTCCCTGGATACTCTTTCAGAAATTTCTTCAAATAAACAGAATCATTCGTATCCTGGTAAGATTATGCAGTTTTTATGTTCCTAATAATTATTTCTTTGCTTTTATTCAATGAAGAAGTTTTACTGTCAAGTATACATGTATACAAAAGAGTATATGAAATGTATTTGTATAGTTTGTGTAATCATAAACAGCACCTGTTACCCACCCCACAGCCAAAGACGACGATTACCCGCCTGTCCTGTAGAAACCCGAGTATCCCGAGTCTCGTCTGCCTCCCTTTTCGTGTACTCTGTCTTCAGGTTGTGCATCTTGAATTTTATGTTAATTATTCCCTTGATTTTCTTTATGTCTGTCCCCCATAGATATGTCAATAAATAATACATGTTTAGGTTATTTTTAACATCTTTATTGGAGTATAATTCCTTTGCAATGGTGTGTTAGTTTCTGCTTCATAACAAAGTGAATCAGCTATACGTATACATATATCCCCATATCTCTTCCCTCTTGCGTCTCCCTCCCTCCCACCCTCCCTATCCCACCCCTCCAGATGGTCACAAAGCACCGAGCTGATCTCCCTGTGCTATGTGGCTGCTTCCCACTAGCTATCTGTTTTACATTTGGTAGTGTATATATGTCCATGCCACTCTCTCACTCCGTCCTAGCTTACTCTTCCCCCTCCCCGTGTCCTCAAGTTTAGTTTTGATTGTTGTCTGCTATGTTATTTAGTGTTCCATTAAAATACATTATTCATTTTATATTTGATGGATATTTGGGTTATATCCTGTTTTTAACTATTAGAAACTATGCCATTGTGCACATTTGCAAAAGTTTCTCCAGGATTGCCAGGCATGGGATATCCATATCTTCAATCTTCCTGGGTGTGCCAAACTGTTCACATGGGCAGTGGATGAGAGTCTCTGTCACTCCTCACCTCACCGCCAGTAGTCTTGTTTGCCCATCTGATGGGTGTAAATGGTATCTCCTTGTGGTTTTAATTTGCAGTTTTCAGATTACAGATGAGGTTGGGCCTGTTTCCATATTTATGGGCCACATACATTTCCTCTTCTACGATGTGCCTGTTCACGTCTACTGCCCATTTTTCTTTTGGTTGGTTGGTTTTTTTCTTATTAATTTGTAGGTTTCTTCATGTATTTTGGACACTAATATTTTGTCAGTTTTGTTTGTTGCAGATATCTTTCCCAGTTTTTGACTTGTCTTTTGCCACCCCCTCCCCTTCCTTTTTTGGCATCTTTTGATGAGCAGGAGATTTTCATTTTTAAGTCGTCAGAATAGCAAACCATTGTGCTTTTGCATGTTTTGTGACTTGTCTTTTCATTGTCTTAACAGTGTCTATCACAGAGTGGAAGTGTTTAATTTTAATGAAGTCCAAGTTATCAATTTTTTCTTTCATGACTTGTGCTTTTGGTGTTGTATCAAAAATGTCACCACCAAACCCAAGGGTACCGTGATTTTCTCCTGTGTTATCTCCTAGAAGTTCTGTAGTTTTGTGTTTTACATTTATATCTATGATTCATTGAGTTATTTCTTGTGAAAGGTGTAAGTTGATGTCTAGATTCATTATTTTGCATGTGAATGTTTAGTTGTTGCACCATATTTGTTGAAAAGGCTGTCCTTTCTCCATTGAATTGCCTTTGCTCTTTTGTCAAAGATCGGTTGACTGTGTTAGTGTGGGTCTATTTCTGGGCTCTCTTTTCTGTTCTGTTGATCGATTTGTCTTTTTCTTTTGCTAATACCACACTGTCTTGATTACTACAGCCGTATAGAAATTCTTCAAGTTTAGTAGTGGACTTTGATCTTCTCCCTCAATATAGTGCTGGTTTACCTGGGCTTTTTGCCTTTCTATATAAACTTTACAATGTGTTTATTGATGTCTGCAAAATAATTTGCTGTATTTTGATTGGGATTACATTGAATGTATAGATGAAATTGGGAAGAACTGATGTCTTAACAGTGTTGAATTTTCCTCTCCATGAACATGGAGTGCCTCCCCATTTATTTAGGTCTTTGATTCCTTTCATCAGAGTTTTATAATTTTCCTAATATAGATTCTATACATGTTTTATTAGATTTATACCTACCTGTTTCTTTTTTTGTTTTTTCTTTTGGTGTTAATGTAAGTGGTATTGCTGTATAGTAATTCTTTTTACCTTGTATCAGCCTTCTTGTGGTTAAGTACTTGCCTAAAAAGTCTTTTTCTAGCCATTGCCTTAATCTTTCTATGTTCTCATGTCTTTGGAATATCTTCTATTATTATTATTATTATTTTTTTTTTGCGGTATGCGGGCCTCTCACTGTTGTGGCCTCTCCCGTTGCGGAGCACAGGCTCCGAACGCGCAGGCTCAGCAGCCATGGCTCACGGGCCTAGCCGCTCCGCGGCATGTGGGGTCTTCCCGGACCGGGGCACAAACCTGTGTCCCCTGCATCGGCAGGCGGACTCTCAACCACTGCGCCACCAGGGAAGCCCCTGGAATATCTTGTAAATAGAATATAACTGGATTTTACTTTTTTTAGAAAAAGACAACCTTTGTTTTTTAATCTGAGTTTCACCTATTTGCATTCATTGTAGTTAGTAATATATTTGGATTTATTTGTTATTTATTTGTTTTCTAATTTTTCAACTTTTTTGTACTTAAATGTTTTTCTTTCTTGACTTCATTCTGGTTATATTGCTACCCCCTCTTTTTTCCATTTAATTTTCTACTTGTATAAAAATTACATTCTATGAATATGCTTCTTAGTAATTAGGTACTTTGACATACATACTTAGCAAAGCCTAAAGTTAATCATTATGTTTACTCTTTCTCAAATAATAGGAAATCCTTAGAAACTGAGTTTCTATTTTGTTTCCCTCACAAATTTCACATTATTATAATAGTTTTTATATAATTGATATTTATTTAATTTGCTCATACATGTCAATATTTACCGATATCTTTAGTCATTAATCCTTAGAACTTACACTTGAAATCATTTTGTTTCTACCTCATCTATATTCTTAAATATTTTTTTAGAAAGGTCTATTGGTAGGAAACTCAGTTTTTGTCTGTCTTTTCTAATGATAGTTTTACTGAGTAAAAGTAAAAATTGGTGCAATTTTTATTATAGTTTGAGAGCTGTCTTCTCCCTGCACATTGACAATATAATTCTTCTGCTTTCTGTCTTCTGTCAAATTTTTGAGAAATCACCTATCAGTCTGCCTAATCCATACCACTGTAGGTGGTTTATCTTTGCTTTTTGACTGCTTTTAAAGATCTTCTCTATTTCCTTGGTGTTGTACAGTTTTGCTATGATTATGTCTAGGTGGAGATTTCCCTTTGTTTATTCTGTTTGGCATCTTGGGTCTTCCTGGATCTCGGAATTAGTATCTTTGATTAATTCTGTAAAATTCTTGCCCATATACTGAAACTATTTCTTCCCTCATGCTCTTTATGCTCTCCTTCCAAAATTCTGACGAGTAGTATAGTCCACATTTTCACCTTCCCATGCCTCGTTCATATTTTTCACAACTTTGTCTCTCTGGACTGCATTCTGGATATCTTCAGAGTTATCTTTCTGTTTCTTGATTCTTTCTTCTGCTATGTTTATTCTACTGCCTAATTCAGCCGCAAAGTTTTTTAATTACAAATTTTTCATTTTTTTTCTTTTTGCACGTCTGTTTGGTTGTTACTTATTGTCACTTATTCTTTCCCCACATTTTCAAGTTTTTCTTTTATGCTATTAAACATTTTACATATTGTTACTTTTTATGTTTAATAATTCAATACCTGAAGTCTTTGTGAGTCTGATTCTGCCGTCTGTTTCTGTTGAGCCTAACTTGTGGCACCTTCTTTCCTTGTGAATTTTGTAATTTATTGTTGTGAAATGCTTATTTTACTTAGAATTTAATGTATGGGAATTCTTTTAAGCCTGGGTTGATGCCTCTTGAGAAGATTATACAGGCATATCTTGTTTCATTGTGCTTTGCTTTTTTTTGCTTCTCAGATACTACATTTTTTACAAATTGAAGGTTTGTGGCAACCCTTCATTGAGCAAGTCTGTTGGCGCCATTTTTCCAACAGCATTTGCTCACTTTATGTCTCTGGGTCACATTTCGGTAATTCTCACAATATTTCAAAATTTTCCGTTATTATTATATTTGTTACGATGTATCTGTGATCGGTAGTCTTTGATGTTAGTATTTTAATTGTTTTGGGGCGCTATGAACCGCATCCATATAAAATGACAGACTTAATCGATAAATGTGTATGTTCTTACTGCTCCACCAACTGGCTATTACCCCATCTCTTTCCCTCTCCTTGGGCCTCCCTATTCCCTGAAACTCAAAAATATTGAAAGTAGGCCAATTAGTAACCCTACAATGGCCTCTGAGTGAAAGGAAAAGTTGCATGTCTCTCATTTTAAATCAAAAGCTAGAAATGATTACGCTTAGTGAGGAAGGCATGTCAAAAGCAGAGACAAGTCAAAAGCTAGGCCTCTTGTACCCAAACAGTTAGCCATGTGTGACTGCAAAGGAAAAGTTCTTGAAGGAAATCAAAAATGCCACTCTGGCAAGGGCACAAATGGTAAGAAACAGCCTTATTGCTGATCCAGAGAGAGTTTTAATGGTCTGGACAGAAGATCAAACCAGCTACAGAATTCCCTGAAGCCAAAGCCTAATCCAGAGCAAGGCCCTAACTTTCTTCAATGCTATGAAGGCTGAGAGAGGTGAGAAAGCTGCAGAAGAAAAGTCTGAAGCTAGCAGAGGTTTGTTTATGATACGTAAGGAAAGAAGCCATCTCCATAACCTCAAAGTGCAGGGTGAAGTAGCAAGTGCTGATGTAGAAGCTGCAGCATGTTATCCAGAAGATCTAGCTAAGGTCATTAATGAAGGTGGCACCGCTACACAATGGGTTTTCAGTGTAGATGATACAGCCTTCCACTAGAAGAAGATGCCTTCTAGGACTCTCATTGCTAGAGAACGGAAGTCAGTGTGAGGCTTCAAAGGAGAAGCTGACTATCTTGTTAGTGGCTAATGCAGCTGGTAACTTTAAGTTGAAGCCAGTGCTCATTTACCATTCTGAAAATCCTAGGGCCCTTAAGAATTATGTTACATTGGGACTTCTCTGGTGGCGCAGTGGTTGAGAATCCGCCTGCCAATGCAGGGGACATGGGTTCTAGCCCCGGTCCGGGAAGATCCCACATGCCGCAGAGCTACTAAGCCCATGGGCCACAACTACTGAGCCTGCGCTCTAGAGCCCGGGAGCCACAAGTACTGAGTCCACGTGCCACAACTACTGAAGCCCGTGTGCCTAGAGCCCGTGCTGCGCAAAAAGAGAAGCCACCGCAACGAGAAGCTCGCACGCCGCAACTAGAGAAAAACCGCATGCAGCAACAAAGACCCAACACAGCCAACAGTAAATTTAAAAAATAATAAATTTATTAATAAAAAAGAACTATGTTATATCTACTATGCCAGTGCTCTGTAAATGGAACAATAAAGCCTAGAGGACAGCACATATATTTACAACATGGCTTACCGAATATTTTAAGCTCACTGTTGAGACCTACTGCTCAGGAAAAAAAAAAAGATTCCTTTCCAGATATTACCATTGACAATGCACCTGGTCACCCAAGATCTCTGATGGAGATGTACAATGAGCTTAATGTTGTTTACGTGCCTGCTAACACAACATCCATCCTGCAGCCTGTGGGTCAAGGAGTAATTTTGAGACTTCCAGCTCTTAGTATTTAAGGAATACATTTCGTCAGGCTATGGCTGCTATAGACAGTGACTCTTCTGATGGATCTGGGCAAAGTTCATGGAAAACCTGAAAAGGATTCACCATTCTAGGTGCCACTAAGAATATTCGTGATTCATGGGAAGAGGTCAAAATATCAACGTTAATGGGAGTTTGGAAGATGTTGATTCCAACCCTCATGGACGACTCTGAGGGGTTCACAACTTCGGTGGAGGAAGTACCTGCAGATGTGGTAGAAATACCAAGAGAGCTAGAATTAGAAATGGAGCCTGAAGGTGTGACTGAATTGCTGCAATCGCATCGTAAAACTTGAACGGATGAGGTATTGCTTCTCACGGATGAACGAGGAAAGTGGTTTCTTGAGATGAAATCTACTCCTGGTGAAGATGCTGTGAAGATTGTTGAAATGACAATAAAGGATTTAGAGCGTTACATAAACTTGGTTGATACAGCAGCGGCGGGCTTTGAGAGGATTGACTCCAATTTTGAAAGAAGTTCTACCGTGGGTAAAATGCTATCAAACAGCATCGCCTGCTACATCGAGAAATCATTTGTGAAAGAAAGAGTCAGTCGATGTGGCACACTTCACTGCTGTCATGTTTTAAGAAATTGCCATAGACACCCCAGTTTCTAGCAAGCACCACCCTGATCAGTCAGGACCCTCCACCAGCAAAAAGATTGTGACACCGAAAGCTCAGATGATGGGTAGCAGTTTTTAGCAATAAGGTATTTTTAAATTAAGGTATGTGTATTTTTTTTCTTTTGTACATAATGCTACCGCACACTTAATAGACTACAGTATAGTGTAAACAACTTCTAGATGCCCTGGGAAACCAAAAAATTTGTGACTCATTTTGTTGAGATACTTGCTTCATTATTGTGGTCTGGAACCGACCCTGCAATCTCTCTGAGGTATGCCTGTGCTTACTTCTGCCAGTTGCCTAGAGGCACTGCCAACTTTAGTTTACGTTCTCTGCAATGTTGTTGTTGTCGTCTTTATATTACACAGATAAAATGAATTTGGCTAACGATCACAGATCTGGAGGGGGGAGAACATTTTGCTTTCTGCACAGTGGGGTTGACACAAGCTGCTTTCCTTTGTGTTCATCTGAGTGGTGCTTCATTTTGTTTCTCATTTAACTTGACACTGAGGATGAGCTGCTCGGGACCCTCACTTTTGTTAGGACCCCATCTTGGCAGGCCCCAGCTTCTCTGGAGGGCAGTGTAGTCCTGGGGTACAAGGTGGTTCGATTGCTTTGGGGGAAACCTTCCATGGTTTCTCCTTTTGGTTTTTGGCCTCTTTGGAATTGTGCCACTTGTATGAGGTCAACAGTATTTTTTTTTTTTAAATTATAGTTGTTTTAAATTATGCTTGCTTCATTCAAGAGGTTCACTCAGCACATCTGGTGTGCCGTAACTGCCAGAACTGGAAGTCCCATTCTTTTTTAAAGGCATCTTTTAAAAACTTTACCTTTTGTGAAGTCTTTTTCTTTTTTTTTTTAATAACTCTGTCATTTGGGGATGCCAGCAATCATAAGCTCTGAAATTCATTGTTCAGAATTTTATAAATGGGGTATATTTAGTGATAGTGTTTTTTTAAACCATTTTTATCCTTTTATTTTTTTAATACGATTTTATCAAGACTATAATATTGGAGAGTAAAAAGATTAAGCTTTATCAATGTATAATTCAATTTCATTTGGTTTTCAGGAAAGTTTATAATAAAAACCTCCAAAAGTAATGTCGTGATCTTAACTTATTCATGTAGTGCATAGTTTGATGAGAAAGGTGAGGTAATAATCGTCAAGAAGTCTAAACTGTTACAATCTACATGCACTTATTTTCTTTGCTTTCTGTTTCCAAAGAAACGCTTGGTAGAATAGAACGTCTGTAGAAGAAATGATAAAAGATAACTTTTAACAAGGACTGTGAATTTGTGATTTATTTTTCTTCATCTGACCTTAACTTTCATATTTAGGTTTTAGGAGAAGTTTCAGTACAACTTCTGCTTCTTCCCAGAAAGAGATTAACAGAAGAAATGCTTTTGCCAAGTGAGTATTAAGAAGATTTAGAAAAAATGCCTTTCAAGATGAACATGACAGGATTCTGTGAAGAAATAAAAGTGGGATTTTGTATCTTTTACATTGCGTGGTAGAATTTTAACACTTAGGAGGAAAGGTGTGATGAGTGTGTCAGTGAGAAGAGTTCTTCCTCCCTCCTTTGCAAGCTCAATTAAAAATGTCACCAGTGACTAAAAGTAGTATACGGAATATATTTTCAAAGAGGTTTAGTACTGTTAATAAAAGTTGGAGGAATTTACATTCTGTGTTATCATTGAATAGGGTGGACTGATTTTAAACTCTGTTTACTTGATTAGTCAGAGAATTGATTTAATATTTTGGGAAGTCCATAAAAGGAATGTCAGGCCTATTTGCATCAGGTAATCTTATTATTATTTTAAAAAATACTCCTACTTCCTCTTGTAGAATATACTGCTCCCTTTTTCGTGGTTGTTGTTTCTTTGTAGAGAGAATCTCCTTTTCTCTTTTTCATTTATATTGCTATTTATAGACCTCAGACCCAGTTTACTCCCCCTAATAGTTTTCTGAGACGTTTAGGAACTTCTTAACTTTTTGAGGAATATGAGGCTCTTCTAGGCTGATTAGGTTAAGGAGGTGTTTCTTTTTTGTTTGTTTTTGTTTTTTAATTTTAAATCCTTCCAGTTACTCTATGAACAATGCCCTGGGGGAAAAACGTCTAGCTCAGTAGGTAAGTGCACTAGTTGTGGGGCCCTAGAAGCCACTAGGAATCATAGCCCACACAAGAGGACTTGCCGATCACATGAGCAACAGGCAGGTAGTTTATATAATAATCTGGCATGAAGTTATTGGAAGGCCTCACAAAGATCTGAGGTTTCACTTGAGAACTCTGACGGGTCCTGAGGCACTGTTAGGTACTGTTTAGCAGAGTTGGGTGGATTTTGTTTTTTTCCCTTCCTCAAAACCTCTACCAATTCTGAGATTTTAAAATTGGTCTCCTCACTTGAGTAGCTGAAAGAGTTTAAGGGCAATAACTTTATGCTCCAGTTTATTGAAGATATTCAAGAGTTCTTAGGCAGAATGGAAGAAATTACTAAGAAGAGGCAAGCAGGATATAAAGGATTTCGAAGGGGGAAAGGTATCAAAATCAGTGTCAAGATGTTGGTGAGGGGAAGAACATGATACAGAGAAGCAAGGGAAGGAGAGAGAAATCTGAACCGTGGGAATTATACAGCAGGTATGGATATGTACAAGATGATCTGTTGACATGAGAAGAAAATATCAGTACTTCTGTTGGTTTTCTTTGAAAATAAAAATAAATGAAGCTTTACTGATACTTCTACAGATTGACTCTAGTACCTGTTTTAAAAAAATAAACATATTCTTATTGAGGATATATAATCAATTTAAAACTTATTTAGTTTTTACTTAAACAATATGTGACCAGATGTTTGGTGATCAGTGTTATACGAAACAAAAGAAAGACATCAGGTGTTTAGACTTTAGGTCCTAGGAAACCTGTCCCTGATCTCAGGGGTAAGAAACATTGTAGTGATTGGATGACCTTCTGCTGAAGCGACAGAGTTGATTGTATATTGTGCTGTTTTTAATCTGGAAGCATGATGTATTCTGAAGAATGTGGGTTGAAGAAATGAGTTTATTGACATTTATCAAACCCTGTGCCATTTTCTTGTCTATTCATATGGAAGTAAAAGATGCTTCCAGAAGAAACATGGAAAATATAGTCAGAGATAATGAAAATCCCTGCGTAAGAAACTGGAAGGAATTGGGGCAAAGGGCATGTTTGCAAAAGAGGGCTGAGGAAAGGGAAGCAGCAGCCGGCTGCGCCGTTTTTGAGAAAGAGCAGATGTGCTTCTGCAGTTGGCTTATTGAGGTGGTGGTGATGAACACCTTCATTCAGAGGAAAAAATGATGGAGGGGGTGTTGGAAGCAATTCTTCTGTCTTCAGAATTCTTAGTATATCTAATACCAAGCATGGGGGTAATAAACACAGGGAGCTTGAGATGTTAGCATAGGTGTCACTGCCACCTGGTAGGCACAGGCATCCTCTCTCCCACCGTCTGCATCCAGCCTGGGATCTGTAGCTCACCTGTCGCTACATCTCATCTCCATCATTACCAACTTAGCTTCTCCCCGTGTTTTCAGAGTGCATCTCCTGAGAGTCTCCATTGGGTCCTCTCTGTGGAACCCAGCCTGTCCACATGATGTATTTGGCCAGCTCAAATTTGAATGTCTTTGGGTAGAACTCATATAACCCAGTTGGCTGCAGGTTCCATCATTTCACGTCACATGTTCTCATTTTCTGCCTGTTCCGTAAAGCTTTTGAATTCTCAAATGCGGAATGAAGTCCAGGTTCATTGGCATAGCGTGTACAGGCCTGCCTGTTTCTCTGGACTTAGCTCTCGTGGTAAAATCCTCACAAGTGACAATTTGCTAAACTCTCTGCGCTGTTCAAAAAATTTTTTTTTAAGTTACACGTAATATATTTTGCTCCCATGACTATGCCTGCTTCCCTTTTCTGTCTGCTCATCTGTCAGATTTGTTCAAGTGTCACTTCCTCACTGAAGTGTCTTCCCTGGGACCTTGAGTGAGGATAGATTTCTCCCTCTTTCGTGCGCCTTCTGCTTTGTACCCGTCTTTATTGCAGGATCTGTAACGTTTTACAGATTACTATGCACAAGTTCCTGGAACCTAGCTCTGGACCTGCCATTTCATAGGTGATCCATTGTTTTTGAAGGAGTAAGCAACGCTCTCAAGTGTAGCGTAATTTATAAATTTCTCACTTCCCTGGGCTTTTAGAGCTTTGACATAACTTGAATCAAATCATTCTTATTGGAATGTTAAATCTTTACCCAAACTACTAAGTTTTGGCTTGGATATCGAGTTCATTTATTACTTATTTCTTTCTTTAAAATTTTTCTGATTATGAAAGTAGATTGGACAAAATTTGAAAAAATTACAGTAAATTAAATGCAGATAAAAAGATCGTCTGTAATTTTATCACCTAGATGAGATTATCACTGTTAGCATTTTGTCATATACTTCTCCAACTTTTTTCTAAAGCATGTATCTGAATTTTTAAGCAAAGTTGGACAAATCATACTCTATATACTCTTTGAAAGATTTTCCCCTTAACATATCACATAATAATCTTATTATTCTTCTTTAATAATTTTACTCAGTGTGACTTTTGCAGTGTTTTTAAAGACTGTGCTGTGCTGTGACATGAAACATTTTTATGGCATGATAATATGTGAAAAAAAACATTAACTAATAGTAGGTGCCGTACTTTTTAAACGCATGTCTGTCTCCCCCCTCCCCACCCATGTATGTATGTCTGTGTGTGTTCAGATGAATAGCTTTATGTTTTCCTAGTTCTTTCTTTTTTTTAAATTTATGCATTTAACTCTTTAATCTCTTGGGGATTTTTAAAATATGTAGTGTGTGGTAAGAATCATATTCTTTTCCAAATAAATGACCAGGTTTTACAGCATTCCTAATTAGAATGTTCACTCCTTTCCCACTGATTTGAAGTTTTACTTCTTATCACATATGAAATAATTGCATGTATTTTTCTAAAATATCTTCTCTGTGTCATTTAAAAGTACATTCTTATGCCAGGGCCACATTGTTTTTTTTTTTTTTTTTTAATTTATTTCTTGGCTGCGTTGGGTCTTTGCTGCTGCATGCAGTCTTTCTCTAGTTGTGGCGAGCGGGGGCTACTCTTTGTTGTGGTGCACGGGCTTCTCTTTGCGGTGGCTTCTCTTGTTGAGGAGCATGGGCTCTAGGCACGCGGGCTTCAGTAGTTGTGGCACGCGGGTTCAGTAGTTGTGGCTCATGGGCTCTAGAGCGCAGGCTCAGTAGTTGTGGTGCACGGGCTTAGTTGCTTCGTGGCATGTGGGATCTTCCCGGACCAGGGATCAAATCTGTGTCCCCTGCATTGACAGGCAGATTCTTAACCACTGTGCCACCAGGGAAGTCCCCACATTGTTTTAATTATTGTAATTTTATAATTTAATATAATGGCAATGTAAATTTTGCCATATTATTATTTTTCAACCTTTTCTTAATACCCATTGTGGCTGTGAGCAAGAGCCTGGCCTTTGTGCTTGATGACCTTGGATCTGAACCCCAGGTCTCCTCTTTACCATCTCTCTGACCTTAGGCAAATAGCTTGATTTTTCTTAGCCTCAAATTCCTCTCTGGTTTGGGCGAGGTTGGATGAGATAATGTATGTGAAGTGTTTGGCACATAGTAAGTGCTCAGGAAATGATAGATACTGTCATTATGTGAAATTCGAGTAATTTCATCAGGTTGCAAAAAAAAATATCATTTTGGGGAGGATTCATATATATATATATATATATATATATATATATATATATATATATATATGTATGTTTCTATCCAGGAACAAAGCTTTTTCATTTTTCTTTTGTATATTCTTCGGTAAAGATTTATACTTTTCTTACATATTTCTTTGTTAACTTTGTATTTGTGCATTTGACGTGGTAAATAATATTTTTTCATTACATTTTATAACTAGGATTTATCAGATGTGGCATAGGACAGGCTTTGGCCTCAGTTTTCCTACCCATAAAATTAGAGTGCTCTTCCCTTCTCGGGGTCGTTAATAGGAAGAAATGAGACGTGGTGTGTGAGAGTGTATTTAAAAATACAGAGTGGAATAAAGTAGAAACCAAGCAGGACCCAGACTCTGCTCGCAGTCAGGCTCCGTGCAGTTTTGGTAACAGGTTCCGAGTTGTCTCTACTGTGGGGCTGGGAGAAGGGTTTCTCCTGGAGGAGAGGTGGCGTGGACGGCGGGTTGAAGGCTCCACTGGTGGTGGTTTCTGGATGACTGTTTTGGGAGGTCTCAGGTCATAGGACAAGCTCCTGGGCATCTTTCTGTTTTGGGCAGAGTTGGCTACTTCCCAGGGACAGTGGACTGCCCTGGGCAGTATTGGCATGAGGCCTTGGACGGGTTCCACGTGTGGGTGCCCAGTAGTTGTGTCATCAGGTCAGGCTGGTGGCGGGTGCTAGGAGGCAGTGCCTTGTAAGTAATGTTTTGTTGTAGAGAAAAGAGGAGGGATCCTGATCCAGACAACTAAGGTCCTTCCTAATGTTAGTGACAGGGAGAGTGGCAAACCCTTAAATGTAACTGGAGTTCATTCATAGAAGGTGTGTGTGTGTGTGCGTGTGTGCGTCTGTGTGTAGTTTCTAAAGTTGTGGATTAACAGTTTTTAAAAATGGTTTTCATGTAAAGGAATATTTGAAAGGTGAGCAAAATGTCATTTTATTTACCACAGCCAAAATACTAGGTTCTTTTCTTTTTGCTTTGTTAAACAGGTATAGGTGTCTTTTTTCTAATTGCTGTTTTACCGAGGGCATGCGCTTGTATAAATTGCTAGTGAAATCTTAAGTCCAGATTAGGGTAGTATTAAAATAGCCAGAAGAGAAAAACGTTTTAATGTTAAAGAAAAGTATATCCTAATATTGCTATTTAGAATAAAAAAGATCAAGTTGTGAACATAAAGTATGCCCTTTTGTGAATGACTTGTGAACCTGGCTGTGGAAACGAATACGGTGAATTGCATCACGTGGCTTTCGTGCTTCAGAGTTTCTCTCGCGTTCCCTCTGCACAGGTCAAAGCCCGCTCTGCGCCGCAGCTGGAGCAGCAGCACCACGGCCGGCGGCCTGGAGGGGCGCGTGAGGCTGCAGGAGGGCTCCCAGGTCCTCCTCACCAGCTCCAACGAGATGGGCACCGTTAGGTACCTGGGCCCCACTGACTTTGCCTCAGGGATCTGGCTTGGACTGGAGCTTCGAAGTGCCAAGGGAAAGAATGATGGGGCAGTGGGGGACAAACGCTACTTCACCTGCAGGCCAAACCACGGGGTCCTAGTGAGGCCCAGCAGAGTGACCTACCGGGGAATAAACGGGTCAAAGCTTGTGGATGAGAATTGTTGAGCTAAACTTCTACAGTATTAAATGAGCTCACACACACACACACACACACACACAATGTAAAATAAAGAGTCCATGGGAAATGGTTTACTTTATTTAGCTTTTAGCCGTTATTTAAAATTTGAAAATAGATCTATCTTCATTGAAAAGCATTATAACAATTCAGAGAGACTCCTTTAAAAAGCTAGAAATACGAACTGTGGGAATCATGGTTCTCTTAAAACAATCTCAAAATCAGCCTTTTTTCTCTCTCTTTTTTTTTTTTTAAGATTTAAAGCTTTAGACCCAAGAGAATTCTGAGACTTGGGAAAACATGTGCCGTTAAGTGACTGACTGATGTTGCTTACTCTGTCTCATTTTGCACAGAATAATGGATTTTCCATATGCCATAACTGTGAAGGTTTTCACTAGCTTTGGTTAACATAAGACCTTCACATGACCTTTTTCTGTCAAGTATTTTCGGAGTTTTTATTTCTTTCTGTACTAATAAGGACAGTAAGAGAATAATAGCTGTGTGACTAGGTATTTTTCATGTCTTTGGGTCAAGTTATTTGCCCTTCCAGGAATGCCTCACCTACAGGTACATTAGGACTGCAGGTAAGGCATTCCTGGAAGGGACTCTGGAGCTCAGCCTCTTGCCCGCTGCCAGGTTCTAAAGCCGCTCTTCCTCACGCGGGGTCACAAGCTAGCTGGTTACCAGAGCTACAACTAGAACGTGGGTCTCCTGACCTGTGGCTCGGGCCCTTTCCGCTGTACAAAGCGTGTCATCTCATATCTTTCTTCTGTGTTAGTGACTGCCTCATCTGGAGGAACCACAAAAACCCATGATTAGGTTTATAAATTCAAGTCACAATTAGAATTTTTTGCACGTGCTTAATTAACTTCCTTATGGGACATATCTATAAAACATACATATATGAAGCACTTTTAAAATAAAGCATGATGCACTTTCCTCTTTGTGGAGAATTGGCCATCATTTCCTCCAGGGGTATGAAAAACATTAAAAAAATTATATTTATGACAAGAGAGCAAATTAAGATGTGTTAAGAAGAATGTAGTAGCTATTCATTTAAATGTTTATGGTTTCTTGATGTTTTGTGTTATTATTCATAAAACCGGTGTTGCGTTTGCTGTTGTTGCTCTTCTTATATTTTCAGTTGTTGCAGAATTCAGCCTGTTATAAAGCTGCAGAACTGTATCATGGTTTTATTTTCCTTTTGAGCACATGTTAACAAACCAAGCTTCATAATAATGTAATAATGCAGAACATTTGTGTTGTGGATACGTATTGAAGTTTGTCCTGTATGTATAAAGATATATCTTTTATTGTAGATATTTAGACTCTAAACTACCACGGAAATATTGGAATAGTTTGCTTTATAAGATAAAAAGCATCCTTCAAAATGGAGCTTGCTTTGTGCTTTAGAAATAATACATTGAACTATTTTGCAATATACTATTTAAAATCTAAATTGTCTTGCTTTGCTGCCTTTTTAAAAAGGTGTGAAATTTCAAATATTGCGAGAGCTATTTTCCTGACATACATTTGCAAAATAAGGCTGCTTTGTAATCAAGGAATATTTTTGATTGAAGAAAGTGACTGTACTGTGTCAAAAGTAAACTTATTTTATTATATAGTTTATTTCTTAAAAACTCTATTTATACCTTACCGTGAAGTCCATGACTACACTGAACTTGGTTGTCCATAATTCTTCCTGTTAAATATAAAGCCCTGTAAGTTAGTAACAGTAATGCCAACACTGAATTTATTTTGAGGTCAGAGAACCAATTGTTCTCATATTTAGATTAGGATTATTAAATCCATGTAATGTGTATGTTTACGTATACTATACATAAAAATTAGGTGTTTTCATTTGTGTTTTGCTTATGTCATTCTAAGTTCACGTCTTGAGCATTAATAAAAAGGGAAGCTGTTTTGGTTTGGAGTGGCATGTTGTCACTGACCCTGCCTGCAACTCTCCTCTTCTCAGGTACTCAGAGTATATATGCTTTGTAGTTCACTTTTTTTCTTCTTACAGTAATGACTTGGATTTGTCCCATCCTTACCCTATAGCAGTGGTCTCCAACCTTTTTGGCACCAGGGACCGGTTTAGTGGAAGACAATTTTTCTACGGACTGGCGTTGGGGGATGGTTTCGGGATGATTCAAGCACATTACATTTATCGTGCACTTTATTATTATTACATTGTAATATATAATGAAATAATTATACAACTCACTGTAATGTAGAATCAGTGGGAGCCCTGAGCCTGTTTTCACTTGCCACTCACTGATAGGGTTTCGATATGAGTCTGCAAGCAATTGATTTATTACGGTCTCTGTGCAGTCAAACCTCTCTGCTAATGATAATCTGTATTTGCAGCCGCTGCTCAGTGCTAGCATCACAGCCTCAGCTCCACCTCAGATCATCAGGCATTAGATTCGCATAAGGAGCACGCAACCTAGATCCCTCGCATGTGCTGTTGTTCACAGTAGGGTTCGCGCTCCTATGAGACTCTAATGCCACCGCTGATCTGACAGGAGGCTGAGCTCAGGCGGTAATGTGAGCGATGGGGAGCGGCTGTAAATACAGATGAAGCTTTGCTCGCTGGCCCGCCGCTCACCTCCTGCTGTGCGGCCCAGGGGTCGGGGACCCTTGTCCTATAGAGAGTCTTAAAAAGTACCATGCTTCTGCTCAGCAAATGAAGTTATGTTTTTAGCTACTCTCCGATTATATTGTTTTGATGGACAGAGAGCCATTTAAGAAAAGAATGTATTTCTGTGGTTTTCTAAAATTGCTGAATTATCTTTTATACCAGTGGGATTTCATTTGTTTATTTAGGGTTGGATAGAAAACCTTGAGTTTATAGATTTCAAAATATATATAAATAAGTATCTACATTCTACTAAAAGGCTTTGTTTCTATATTTCCAGGTAATCTGATGGGAGTATTCTTTAAGTGCTTAAAAGTGTTGAGATACAGACATTTGTGGAATCTGAGCTGAGGCATTGTAATCTTGGTGAGACCCTTGCACTGTCCTCTCCCGAACTCCTTATCCCCTCCTTATTTTTCTCCTTAGCATTTTTTGTTGTTTTTCTACTTAGCATTTACCACCCTTGGTCATGCTACAACTTTTTGCTCATTACTTGTCCTGTCCCTCACTGGATTGAGGGATGGGTTTTGACTGTTTTGTTCATCATTTCATCCCTAACACCTGGAATAACACTTGGCACCTACTGCATGCTCGGGAAGCATTTGTTAAATGAACAGAGGCAGTGGAGGCTGTTGATGGTTTAAAGTAGAGGTGTTGTCTCGCCAGCTTCAGCCAGGTGGGCTTGAGAGACCAGGCTGTGGGACGGGTAAATTTTGCTGGGTAGGGGAGGACAAAGGACAAGAAAGGTTTGAGTCATGGTAGCCCAACTTTACCCCAAAATAGTGGCATGAAGGAGATAGAAGGATGTTGGGTGTCAGGGGTAGAAAAGGGGGCAGGAAAGACACAGTGGGGTCACCTAACTGCCTATCTATTGTCCCTGGGGCTGGTTTTGAATTTCTGTTGTGATATGATGGTAATTTAGGGAACACAGTAACATGTGTGGTCTAACACAGAGAGGATGAACTGGATCTCACCCAGGTGTGCACAGCATTGGTTTCCGGTGCCAAGCATTTTTGTTTCAGAGTTTTATTTTGGACCTGCCTATTTAGGCTATGTGATAATATTATTTAAGCCACGTTGACTGAGGCTAGAGACCTAATGTGTTAGGAATCATGCTTAGTTAAGAAATGGATCTAGTAATTTTAACCATTCACTGGATATTTGTTATCTAAATGATTGACTCAGAGACATATAATATGTATCACCACATGGCAAGCAAGTAGGAGAATTTATTTTTTATTTTTCTTCATGCCCTTTGCTTCACTACACTTATTTGTAATACAAACACAGTAGGTAATACAAAACTCACATCACATATATTTTTAGTAATTGTTTAGTAATATCCCTTGGTACATAGGCTCTTATTTACAAACAATGTCACATAAGCTGCTTGAATATACAACAGACATTCTTAGTGGAGCTTGTGTGTGGGCTGAACAAGTTAAGTAGATCATGTTAAGATTTTCTTACCAGCAGAATATGCCTTTGTGTAGGCAAAAAGAATTTTTTCTAGCAAAATTTTTGCCAATGCTCCTTTTTACAGAAGGGAAAAAGAAGTTTATGGGGAGGAATTAGAGTAGATGGGCACTTGTTACTGACAACAATATATTTTCATTATGCGTGGTAGAAATTCAACTTCTTTTCTGCTTGTAGCCTTTTCCCTTGACGAGAAAGGCACCAAGCGGTGTGGGAACCTTTTTCCTCTCGTCCCTTTAGAATATCTTATAACGAATAGAATTTTCACGATAAAGCAGCAGCAGGTCTCATCATTTTTCAGTTCAAATAGGGAAGTGTGGTCTTGGTGCTGCAGCAGGGCAGTAAGTTCTGAGTTATGTTAGTAAAGATACTCCAGGTGTTTAAATTGAGCCTGTTAGCTTAAAATATAACCTGTCCCTAGTGATCACTGCTGTCATTTGACAAATGATCATAAATATGGTTTTAATTTCAGCTCTAAAACCCTAAATGAACCCAGATGTCAAGTTTGTTGCTCCTGTAGATACGCAGGTCCTTACACTCAGGCACACCTTGTATGCCTCTGTCCTCGAAGGAACTGGTCTTAGGATTGGATGTTTAGTCGGAGTTGTTTGAATTGGATAGATGAAATTAAATAGGGAGTATCAGGAAGCTACTTGCGCTGAACTGAATTTGAATTTTAAGCATTCCTAAAGTTTAGGAAGTTTAAATATCCAGATGATGTGTTCTCCTTGACCTGTGTTGATCTCATAGAGGTTAAGTTCTTTCACCTCCAGCCTGATAGAGGTGTTACTCAAAGTACCCTTACCTTCTTGAAGACTGGACTATTTTTCACATAACAAATCAAATCAGACTGACATGGAAATGAATCATGTTAAAATTACATGCACAGCTTCAAGCCATTCTTTTTATTCTTTCTCTAATATGACTTCCGAGATTCAGCTTAAATCTCAGTCAACAGTGTTGTTGATGACATTGGCTGTCCCTGACAGTTCTTGTTATGAAGGATAGGTGTTACTACACAATATCTTTGGGAAAAATCCTAAAATGGATTTTAAAATGAATTTTAATAGTCATAAAAGTCCCAATTGATGACAGGGGAAAGTAGATTTTGTATTATACACAATAGAGAAGAGGATTAAAGTGAAAATTTTCAGTCTCCTTTATTGAACCTGCCAGTAAACATGGATTTCTAATAAGAATTCCAGTAGATTATATGTATCAGTTTAAAATGTTGTGATTTTTCTCAAGCGATCTTTTCTCTTTCTTGAAGGGACTAGGGCTTAGGGAAGTAAGAAATAGCATGAGATTTCTTGAGGTCTCACTTCACACTCCTTGGGGTGTGACAGAGGAAAATTCAGTGTCATGTTCTGCTTTAGTTTCTTTTATAAAACATCACCGGCTGCTAACTGGTACATACATGAGGAAAAAGAATTTGTCTTTAATCTTACTTTACTTCTTACTGAGAACTGTGAACTACCACATAAATATAATTTTGACAGTTGCCTGCAGTTGTCACAATCTTCTCTTTTGGTCTTTTGGTGGGGCATTTGAGTTGGCTATCTTTTGGGGATTCCCTACTACTAGATCCACTATAACGCTATATAATTCGGAACAGGTTTCCAAAAATTGCCCTCCAATGGCAGTGGGTGTCTCCACAAACCCGAAAAGAGGGGTTCTCTCCAATCCAATGGTGACTGGGAGAGAAGACTCCTGTCATTAGTGAATTCCTCATCATAATGGTTCCATGATGCTTGTTCAGAGATGCCTGACTCCACAGACACTGCCTGGTCTCGAACGTGTGGCTTGTCCTGGGCTTTGTTACTCTGGGAATGAGCACTGACAGCAAGTGCATCAGATCTGTCATCGAGTATTAGGTGTGGTAAAAGATAACGCTTCAAGTGACAAGTTGCGTGATTTTACTTTGCTAATAAGGTTGCCACTGTAGCAAATGTAATAAAAGAGAAGTGGTGCCATGGTGAGCGTGAAGGTCGTTAAACAGACATGATTCTCATAGTCCTGTGTCAGCTTTGCTTCTTTCAGGAAACCACCCCAGATAGCAACTTCATTTTGCTATGTTAATGATTTTGTGATTTGTTACAGAGATCTTTGAATAGAACAATAAACAGAGAACTGATGCTAAACTTCTTTCTGGTCTGCTTTTGTATAAAGGTTAAATATAATTTGGCTCACTGGGATTGTGCACTGAATTAATTGGCTTTGCCTCGGAATGAATTAAGGGTCTCACACACACACACACACACACACGCACGTGTGCACGCACACACCGGTCATGTCCTACCAACTGTGGGCCAGCTGTTGGGATTTACCTTACACAGAGGTGAAGTCTTACAGAATCATAGACTTCAGAATCAAAGGAAGCGGGCCTCTGAGACCAAACTGCTCATGTTTTTAAATGAGAAAGTGAGAGTTTAACTTGCTCGGGTCATGTAGGTAGGTAATTGCTGTCTAACACCTACGCCCTTAACTCCTGCTCAGTCTGCCTGCTGTTTCTCAAATAATTGATGAGTGCTAAACCATGCAACATATTGTAACCATCTGAGGTTTTAACAGTCTGACAGTCATCTGTACTGGCAAGTAACCTCTCAAGATGTAAACGCTCTAGGGAGCGTTAATATACTAGTTGCTAAGGCTTAGTGAGTTCATTTAGTAAGACTGCCTTTCAGCTAACATCGGCTGAAAAGCACCTACCCAACGAGCCTTTTAGTGATGGCGGGATAACTAATTGTGCGCAATTGCTTTCAAGGAGGCAGTAGGCCTCAGCAGATGAACGGAGTGGTGCAACCGCTGGAGCACGTGTCAAGCAGAAGGATCTGAGGAATGGACAGCGGACGGCGCTGCAGGCAGACCCGGTACCTGCGGTTCTCCTACCCTGCTGGTGCCGTCTTTACATGGAAGGGTTACACGCTTGTTTACATTTACTGAACAGCCGAAGAGGGGAGAGTCGTCGCTCTGGTGCTGTGGTTAGAGTCCGTGTTCCTCCCTGCCCCCCAACTCCATGCCGTATTCTTTTGTTGCACTGAGCTTTTCAAATGTTTTAAAGCTGTTAAGCTAGGGCTAAAAATAGCTTTGTACTTGAGTGGTGCATTAAAACTTAAACACACTCAGGATACCAAATCAAAACAGAATCTTAATAGAAGCCTTACAGTTGTTCTTGATAATTATCTTTTATTTTAGGGCATCTTGTGGAGGATTATGGGAATGCTGGTTTTCGTTTTGTGTGTTCACACAACAGCATAGGGAACCATCTGCTACAATGAAATTAGCAAAGTCAAGTTGTATGTTCTTGGGGGACCCATTTAAAAAGTCATTAGCTAAAGACAGATTGACAACACACTTCATACATTTTATGAATCTTGTCATAGGAAGTCTGTTATTCAGAGTAGTCTAAATTCATAAGCATCATGTTTTAGGTCTACAAAGCTCATGTGAATTTTAATCCTACTATTACTGGAGAAAAATCTAGCAAAATAGCCTGATCCCTTAGAATTTCTTAGTGGTGTGCCATGTGAATTTGGATGTAAAAGCCTCACATTTTATGGACTAAAGTTAATCTGTGGCTACATAATATCTTACAGCTGTAGCGCTTACCAAGCACTATATGGAGAGGCCAGAAAATTTTTAAAAAGAATTCATCAAATGGGTTAAATATCTTCCTTTGATGCTTATTTTTTTAACACTAAGTGTGGTAGACAGTCTTTACATTCTTCTTTTGCCCTGAAAGCACTTGGTTCTGGTAGGGTTCTTGCTACCGTCATTAAACAAGTGACAGGCAAAGCCAACATGGCACAGAAGGGGAGCCGGGAGGGCCAGACGGGGGTGGTGGGGAGGGCAGGTATGTAGAGACACACGCTGACTGTTGAAATTCTCCCCACACCCAACCCAAATCACTTGGGAATTCAAGAGGTATGAGAGGGAGTGCTTGTGCTTTCACACAATTTATAATCTTCCTGAGGGGCAGTGAGAAAGGGAAGTTATTATCCTTATTTTGTACAATATATGGAGACGTTGAGGTATTGACAGGTCTGATAACCCACGGAGAGCCAGGACTCACATCCTAACAGGCTAGAGAATCTGGTCTTTCAACTACTAAGTATACCTTACTCTTTGTAAAACATAAAGTTCATTCCTGCTATGTTGATTTGCTATAATTTTGAGGTGCCACATATTGATAAACTGGTCATTCCTCACAAATTGGTGGTTTCCCAATGGAATGACTGTGAACTTCTGATGAGCTTCTTTATAGACATGGAATAAGAATAATTATAATAGCTTATGGTTTAATTAACATAACATCTACAGACTTTTAGTTGTGCCTGTTCATGTTCTAGGTGGGACTTTGCATCATAATTAATAAATATGTGAGTCCACAGCATCTGTACAAATTGCTGGAGCCATGTGGCTGGAGCAATATTGAGTGTACAACAGTCCAGATTAATACCGTGCCAATACATGGGCTTACAGCGAGTTAAATAAAACATCTTGAGGACGTTATATCTCAGTGTGGAGTTGTTTATTTTCCACGTATACAAGCTTTTAAGATTGGACTATCATTTACACGAAAATTGATACCAATAAAGATGATTGGAGAGAATCAACAAATCAATCTCAGTGGTAGTAAGGCACAACCTGAAAATGTAATGGATCTGTAGTTTTTAAGAAGAGAAAGGGCTAAGATTTTTTTCCTTGTTAATGAAAGAGTTGGCTATTTAACCACGTAACATGCTCCCTGTTTCACTGGCTACTGGTGTTACAAATATGAAATGACATTGTTCTTCTCAGTTTTGACAGCTCTCTGTCATCCTTTGAGGAGAGTGTTTTTCAAAGTGTGATTCTTGCACCCCTTCAGGTGGTTTACAAATTAGACTAATGTTTATATAATTAGACTTTACTTTGCACCAGGCATGAGCTAAAAACTTTATTGATAACAGGTATTTAGAGATGAAGTCATTGATGTTTCATCTTCATGTGTGTCTGATGAAAATATTTTTGGCAGTTAAAGGAAAAGTGGTGTCCAGGGTATCAGTGCTTCTAGAGATGTGCAGAACTACTGACTAGGGCAAGGCTCTGCCATAGGAGGAAACAACACTCGCTGGTCTAGTGTTGGCTTAGAACAGAATGGCTTTCCCACAACCAGAGTGAGACTTTTTGTTTTCTTTTTTTTTTTTTGCAGTATGCGGGCCTCTCACTGTTGTGGCCTCTCCAGCCGCGGAGCACAGGCTCCGGACGCGCAGGCTCAGCGGCCATGGCCCACGGGCCCAGCCGCTCCGTGGCACGCGGGATCCTCCCAGACCGGGGCACGAATCCGCATTCCCTGCATCGGCAGGCGGACTCTCAACCACTGCGCCACCAGGGAAGCCCCAGAGTGAGACTTTTGACGTATGTGAAATTAAGAAGGTAGGAGAAAAGGTAGATAAACACTGTCCTTTCGCTTGGGAATGCTTGGTGCCTAACAAGCGATAAAAGTTGCTTTCCTCCCAAAGTGATGTTTTGGCACAGCTACCACCAGAAAAGAAACTGGGCAAGAGAACGAAGGGGAGCAGAAAGAAAGAATGAGATAAAGCATCACTGCATATGCACATGTGTAAGGTTTAACAGATTCCCAACTCCTTTGCATGGAGATAAATTTCATCTGTGAAAACCAAGTTCAGAACTCCCATCCTAATATGTCACTGCCAACCTCAGCACTCCAAGTGTTCCTTAGTTCCTTTACTCATTGCCACCCAGAGAAAAAATTCTGTTTTAGCCTGTATTTGACAGGTATACAGATTATGCTATGTGTATTTCAGCAAATTTGTGTTTCCGTGTACGCTGGGATCACATGATTAAGGGAGCGAAAACTCGGGTGAAGCCCGAGGAAGGAGGGATAGATACTGCATTCGTACCTCTTCGTAGGACCGTCGGAGGGCCAATGATCCACCACTAGTAGTAGAAACTTCAACTTGGGAAGCTTCATGATTGAAACTGTTGAAAGGTTTGACACTAATGCCCATGAATGGATATGTTTCTATGCTTCCATGTATCACTGCTGCTTAAATTTTTTCTTTTTAAATCATCGGAGTTTATTTTAGTGGAAAGTCTTAAAATAAGTAATTAATAATTTAAATCTTGAGTTTTCAACCCAGTAGGAAACCTCATACACTCAGTTGTTCACTTTTAGTAGGAGGGTTCTCTTAAGGCATGAGGTATATTAATTGGATGTTGGAATCTCTCGATCTGTACCCGTGTTTTGTCATCTCAAAGCACTTTTAGTATTTGCATTTCATTTAGATGAGTATACACATTTTCTCTCTACTACCATAACTATTTACCACATTTTTACGATCGTCGATGAATCACCACAACTGAAAACATCCAAACGTCATCCACAGTGACGTTTCAGTGAGTTGTCTATGATTTTTCTTTTCCAAGTAAAGAATGTCTTTCCCCGCCGTGACTCACTGAAGAGAACTCCCTTATTTCTGTTCCCTCTGTCCTCAAGTGGTCCATGCCCCCCACATCAACAAGGTAAGGGAACATCTATGACTCCAACTAGGAAACACATGAGCGCTAGTTCTGCGTGCGTGGAGGCGGAGCGCACAGGATTGGAAAGAAACGGGGAGGTGGACACCAGCCATGCGTCAAAACCCTGCGCAGCCCCATTCGGGCCTCGTGTTTATCACTCGTCTTTATGAGATTTTCTCCTCTTGAAAGAATAGGATGAACCCGTGCTCAAAACCTCTTGAAGCAGTTTGAAAATACAGCTTTTGATGTGGCACTTTAAAACAAGTTGGCACAGAATGAAAAGTGACGTTTGGTCTGGGGCTTGCGGAGGGCCCGTTACCTGGCGCGCGCCGCCCTCGGGCTGCGGCTCGGGCTCAGGGCGCAGGCTGGCTCTTGGCCGCGGGGTCCTCGTAGCGACCCGGGCCCGGGGCGGAGGCCTCCGGGGGGAAGCCCTGCTGCTGGTAGCCGTAGTGGACGGTGCCGCACGGGAAGTGGCGCAGCCTGAACAGGGGCACGTCCCTCAGGCTGGCGGTCAGCGAGGACGGCTCGAGGAGCAGAGAGGTGCCTGGACGGTGGCCGGCAGCCGCGGGGGGCGGGATGGCACGGCCGCCGTCGCCGCCCGGGTTCCCCCTCTCGCGCTGCTCCTTCTTCGCCGGAGGATTGCTCTTTTTGGTGGGTTTCTCTGTAAACCAGGAGCCGTAAGTTGGGTTCCATAGGCTGGTGGGCTTGTTTCTGGACCCCTGGACTTGGTGCAGCTCCGAGGGCGGGTTGGACTGAGAGAATGCCATGTTAACGTGTCCCCCCTTCACGGCCAGCGCCCTGGCGCCTCGGGCAGAGGCCTCTGCGGCCCCGGACTTCTTGCCGGCTTTGCCCGAGGAGGCGGAAGGCAGAGCCGTGCGGGCGGCTGGCTCGCGGCCCTCCTCCCGCTTGGCCTGGGGAGCGGAGACCAGCAGAGGAGGGATTCCCTCAGGGTCCTTGGGCCTCATGGGCACCTTCTCTTCCTCTTCCACGAGGGGCCCGTATTCTATGGGCAAAGCAGTGTTGATCACATCTGGGTCCTACAGGTGGGAGAAATGGACGGACGGAAACTTTGAACCACAGGCCAAACATGTTGGATCTGGAAGCTCCCTTAGCACGGATGTCATCCGAACTGATTCTACAGATGAAGGGACTATTCAGTGTTTATTGGGAATTGTTCATTCATAAGCACGGGGGAATAAGAAACGGGAAATCATCCTCATCTTTGGAGAGCTTGGTGGATAAGTACTATTACGGAAGTGCCTGCAGGGTGCTGGGAGAGGGTGCCGGGAAGTGGCCCACTGCCAGGGCAGGGGAGAGGGGTCAGGAAAGACTTTGCTGAGACCACCTTTGGGCAAATCTTACAGATTAATGGATTTAAAAGATTGTAAATTACTTTAAAAAATGATTCCTTTCAACTAAAAAGTCTATGTGTTTGACTTCAAGTTTGTGTGTGTGTTGGGGGCAAGGGGAGGGTAGGAGAGGAGAGACACACTATGTGGGCTTAACAGGTTAACCTCTAGTTCTCGTCTTTCCATTTCCATCATGTTTGGATGGGCTACACTTGATTATAACATTTCTGGGTGTTGTCATCGTATCATTACACGTGCCAATATCACAATGCAGTGGTTCTTTAACTAGTTTGTATCTGATGAAACCCAGGAAATACTGAATGCTAAGAGGAAAACCGTTTACAAAATCAGCTCTGTGCTAGATCATTTTTACAGCAACAGACTAATATAGAAAAGCAGAAGGCAGTTGCCAGAGATTTGAGGAAAATTTGTGGTAGAAAGCTTAAAGTTGCAGAAACTTGATTCTGTAATATTTTATGCAAATTGGAAAAACCATTACTTCAGTTTAACAGAAAAACATATAGGTCCAGTATTCGTCAGTAAAAAGTTTAAGAATAAAAAACAACTACCTTCGAATTCTCTCTGCTTTAGTCTTAATTCCTTCCCTATTAATCATTAATCTCTATAGTGAGTCACTCAAAATATGCTTGTACAGAGTTCCTTGCTTTTGAGAGGGATCTTACGTACTTTGGAGAAGAAAATTACTCCAAAGTATGTATACTTAAGTGGATGTATTCCATTAATATTACAAACATAATAACCTAAAAGCCACTGAACGTAAAGTTCTCTGAAAGAACCCCGAATAACTTGAAGTCTGTGTAGATAAATGCCTTCCGAGCCCAAAGGACCCGAAAAGATGGAATCATGAGGACAGGAAACGACTACAGTGTGAAAATGGGTATGTCTATTGTCACAACTAAGATGAGAGGGAGTTTAGAGAGGTAGTGGCTTATTGTCTGACTTCTAAAATGTTCTCCAGAATTAGATATCCTGACGGAATGAGAGGCAAGAGAGGGAAAGGAAGCACATACAGCGGAGAGGAGGTAAGTGTTGGCCTGAAAGTGGTGCGAATGGTGCAGAAGGAGGGGCCGCCCTGAAGGAGAGGAGGACACGGCACCACTGAGGACGGCGCAGATGCAGAGACGAAGGAGACGGAGGGGGCGGGGGTTCTCACTTGGCCTCCACTCTTGAAGAGGTAGGAGGCATAGTGGTCTGCGGAAATGGTATCCCATTTCTCTCAAAAGAGGAAAAACTTAGTCCTTACTGACGGAAATGGGAGCGGGATTTGCGTAGGGACCAGCGGGATGGCGGGGAAGCTGTGTGGCTTGGACAAAACCTCTCCAAGCCTCAACTCCTCTTAAGTGGCAGTGACTAGTATTTGTCTACAAAACAGGCAAACTGAGATACTACTCATTTTACCTTATAGATAATTAACATTCGTCCTCATGATCATAACTCATATTTCCTGGCTGGTGTAACTGTTATTTCCCATTTTGGTATTTGCCATCTTCAAGACTTTTCCATATAAACGCTGGCCAAGGGGGGCGGAAATGTTTATACCTGGGTGCAGTATTCAATCCTCTCCAAAATTATGGCAAAGTTGGGCCTGTCTTCAGGCTGATGTTGCCAGCACTGGGTCATTATCCGGTATCTAAAATAAGAACAAGCACATTAATAAAATCAAGAGAAACAGGATGAAAAATACGTGTTTTCCCCCCAACACTTTTCTAGATGGGACTGGAATGGCACTGTCTTCGAAGGTGGGGACTCATCTTGTCCCGTGTTGGCACATGTTGCCCTCTGCTGATGGGCAGAGTGTGAAGGTGTATATAACATAGGGCTCGTGAACGTGGAGATCCTGGTGTTTACGTTACATATGGCTCCTCTCGTTCCATTCCTGAATTAAAGTCACCTCTGGGACAGAATATTCTATTTCCCATCTGCCTTGTTTGTGGGAAGGAGGGATGCCAGACAGGACAGCAGAAAACGCAGGGAATAGAAACACTTAAAGGAGACTCAAGACCCATGGTGCAGGGCAGCAGGGGCGGAGTCTGGGACACAGATTCCTAGGAGGTGCTTGAGGCGTGTGAGCCTGGTGAGTCCACAGCCTCCATCCAGACGATGGATACCTTTTCAGGTGTGACATTATTGCTTTCAAGGGGCTGGAAGACTAACCCATTGAAGCCACAGACATATTCCTCTCTTGGGGCATATTAAATGAGGTCAGCCATCTGGTTCCTTCATTTTAAAACAAAAAAGCATATGTGGCTGCAGATATTCTTTGAAAAGGAAAACTGTGCTTAGTAACTTGTAGAAATTCCTAAAAGAGTCGTACACAGGCCCGGGGCAGTTCTTAGGTGGGTCCATCCGTCCTCCACTGGTGACAAACTCCAGAACCTCCTGGTTGCTTTTGCTAGGGTACGGCATGTATCCAAGAGAGAAGATTTCCCACAGAAGCACTCCGAAGGACCTGCGCACAGGATGGAAGATGTGGATACGGGTACATACACAGACACAGGCACTGACACACACATGTGTACACATACACACTCGGACACACACATAAATACACAGGCGCACATACATATCATATACACAGGGTCATAAACACATACACAGACACACATACATAGACACACGCAGACATACACAATGTAAAATTTTAATTTTTTTAATTTCACATTTTTTCCACAATAAAGAACTCTTCATATGGAGAAAAAGAAAAGAATGAGAAAGTAGTCACATGTGAAGCTCCATAAAAACATAACCAGCATGTTATTTTTTTTTTGTTCACGTTTCTGTGCTTAGATTTTTTTTAATATAATTGCTGTGATTTTTTTTTTTGCAAATTCCATTATAGCATAAACATTTTGCATGCTAATACTAAATTCTTATACATAGAATTTGACATGGCTGTAAAGTGTTCCACTGAGTAGTTGTGCCATAATTTGATGTATCATTTCCATACTGTTTTAAATTTTTTAAATATTTAAAAATACTGTGCTGAACATCTTTATACATTTGTAAAAGGATAATTTCCTTAGGATAAATTTCCTGAATTTAGAATTAGGATAATCTAGTAAAATCTAGGATAATTTTAAAGGAATTACTAGGTGAAAATAATATGAACACTGAAGCATTCTTTACCCATATTGTCCATTTGACTTCCCAAGGGGTCACTCTGATCATCAACCAGCATTGTGCATCAAGCACTCCCACCAACACTGAGAACTTTTGCTGATTTTTAAGGTAAAAAATGGTAGAATATTTTAAATTATGTTTATTGACTTGATAATTAACACGGTTGAGTGTGTGTGTTAATTCATTTTTTTCTCCTATGAATGGTTCATATTTAACCACATATTGTCCATTTTAAACCACATATTGTTTTGGTATCTATCAGTTTTTTGATTTATAGACAAACTTGATATATCAAAGATGTTAACCTTTTATCCACAATTCAAATAACTTCTATTAGTTGCTTTCTAATTCTCCTTCTTAGCATGCCAAAGATTTTTATTTTTAGGTAGTCAAATCTATTAAAAATTTTTTTTTGTGATTTCCTCCATCTGTTTTATAGATTCTACAGTCCTCTCTTTACCAGCAATTAGATGAATACGTTTTATTTTCTTCCAGTTGTATTTGTTTTTTTGTCTCTTCCCAAACCCAGTCGGAATTGAGTTTGGTGTATAGTGTGAGGTAAGGATGTCACTTTATTAGCTCTTCTAAAACCACTTTTCGAACAATACATATTCCTAAAATAATTTTCTCTTCAACTATTGACTTGTGAGTAAAACAGGTCTGTTCCAGGCTATCTATTCACTTCACTGATTTGTCTGCTTCTTGCACTGATACTACTCTCTTTTACTTTTTGTGTATTTATGTTTTAATATCTGGTAGGGCATTTTCCCCTTATTTCTCTCTTTTTGAAGAAATGTATTTGATTTCTCATTTATTTGCTTGAAATGAACGTTATAATGATTTTTATCATGTTCCAAAATCACCTGCTTTGATATTTTGACTAAAACTTTTATTTTAAAACTTTAATTTCATAATTAGCTTTTTGACAAAAAAAAGAGCCTATTTTAATTTTTGTGTCTGGTTGTAGTTTTCTGATGTTAATAAATATTACCTCAAAAATTGTAAAGAGGCTTCCCTGGTGGCACAGTGGTTGAGAGTCCGCCTGCCGATGCAGGGGACACGGGTTCGTGCCCCGGTCAGTGAAGATCCCACATGCTGCGGAGCGGCTGGGCCCGTGAGCCATGGCCGCTGAGCCTGTGCGTCCAGAGCCTGTGCTCCGCAATAGGAGAGGACACAACAGTGAGAGGCCCGCGTACCGCAAAAAAAAAAAAAAAAAAAAAAAAAAAAAAAACTAAAGAACTATAGTTCCTCCATCTCCTAAGGAACACAAAGTACTTTTTATTGACATAATTTAGGTGAAATTTCAAAGGTTCTTGTGAGGAGAATTGGGCAAAGATATTTTCCATATATTTTAGGTGCGAAGGCTGAAGCAGAGGTTATTATACAGCTAATTCAAGACAGACTGGAATACATTATTAGATCTCTTAATTCTACTACCTACAGATTGCCTGGTGCATATATTATTCCTCTTTGTTTGGTGGTCTGCCCCCAAGGCAAAACAAAATAAGCAAAATCATGGATGGAACTGGCAGCAGGGCTTAAAGAATTCCAGCGATATGTTTTCTGCTTGTCTAGATAGACAGCTAGGGAGATAGATTGCAGTATCCTTTGAGAGAACCACTATATAGACTGAAAATCGGTGTTTATTTTCTTACAAGGGAGCAAGAAATCATGCTGATTATAGAACGTGGATAATTTCAGGTAAGTAGTGTTGTCAGATTTAGCAGATAACCAGACAGGACACTCAGTAACATTTGAATTCCAGTTAAACAAGAAATACTTTATAGTATTAGTGTATCCCAAACACTGCATGGGACATACTTATACCAAAACATTATTCACTGTTCATCTGAAATTCCATTTTAACTGGCCATTTTGTATTTTATCTAGCAATCCTACAGATAAGGTAAATCTATATTTTGTATGCCAAATGGTTCTTTAATCACCTATAAGCTGAACCTGTGCTAAATAGGAACTACAAGGTCCAAAGCTTTGCACCAAAGCATTCAAAATCAAACAGAAACAAATATAAGAAAAAAATCCCACTCTGTTTCTCCTGGTATTGAACTTGCTCTGCCTGAAATTATAGAAATAGCTTAAGTGATTGCTGATGAAATTATTTTAAAAATTTGAATCAATGAATATAATCTGATGAAAAAGTTTTAAAGTCACAGCTGTGCTATGTTTATCGCCTTTTAAAGCTAAATTTTATTTTCCTTTATTCATAACTTGAAGTTGGAAGATTGTCTCCAATTATGTCTCCGTGTTCACACTTTGCCTGCCCCTTCCATCTGAACCACCACTGGCCCCAATTATGGTAGAGGGTGGGGCGCACTTTTAGGAAAAATGGGAACCCCAAAGTTACTGTATCGTATTTAAATCTCCAGCTGATCCCATCCACAGTTCGCTGCAGTTCTCTGAGCTTCAAGTTCATGTACCGCCATCTCCACCGGCCTATTTTAAGACAACTCAGACTTGACATGTTCCAACGAGCTCTTTCTGCACCCAAACCCTCTCCTCCTCCAGTCTTTCCAGCTCGGCAGTACCACTGTCCAGCTGTCTGCTCAAGCAGCAAACCTAGGAATCGTCCTTGATCTCACTCTTCCCCACACCTCCCACTCCACATCCAACTTAGCGCAGTCTTGTTGACTACTCTCAAGACAGAGCTTGAAAGTGACCACGGCCAATGGCTTCCACTGCTGCCACTAGGTCTAGCCCCTCTCATCTCTTATCTAGAAATGAGCAGTGTTCTCCTAACTGGCTTCTCATCTTCACCTGCCCCACTCCAGTCCAGTCTATTTTCAATGGAAGCCAGAGTGATACACACACACACACACACATATATATACCCCACTCCAGTCTATTTTCAATGGAAGCCAGAGTGATACACACACACACACACATATATATACCCCACTCCAGTCTATTTTCAATGGAAGCCAGAGTGATACACACACACATATATATATATTTTGTGTGTGTGTGTGTGTGTGTGTTACGCGGGCCTCTCACTGTTGTGGCCTCTCCCATTGCGGAGCACAGGCTACGGACGCGCAGGTTCAGCGGCCATGGCTCACGGGCCCAACCGCTCTGCGGCATGTGTGATCTTCCCGGACCGGGGCACGAACCCGTGTCCCCTGCATCGGCAGGTGGACTCTCAACCACTGTGCCATTCATCTCTGTTTTTTTTTTTTTTTTTTTTTTTTTGCTGCACTGGGTCTCACTTGTGGCACATGGACTCCGTTGCTGTATGTGGGATCTTTTTAATTGCGGCATAGGGGCTTCTTAGTTGTGGCATGCATGTGGCATCTAGTTCCCTGACCAGGGATCAAACCCGGGCCCCCTGCATTGGGAGCATGGAGTCTTACCCACTGGACCACCAGGGAAGTCCCTTCTGATCATTTTTTACTATGATTTTATTTGTCTCCTTGGAAGCTTGCAGCATCTTGATCACCACTGGTCTGAAATTTCATGATGATGTGTTCTTGTGTTACTCTTTTTATTCAGTGCTTGGCACTTGCTAGATGCTTTCATTCTGGAAACATATGTCCTTCTGGGAAATCTTCTTGAATTATTTCTTTGATATTTTTATTCCTTTCATTTCCTCTATTCATTCTTTCTGGGACTCCTAGTTGTCAGCTAACTGGGTCTAATGGTCTAATCCCTTTAATTTTCTTTTCTTTCCTATCTATTCCATCTATTTATAGTTGTTTTATTTTCTAGAAGATTTATTCAACTCTGTCTTCCAACCTTTCCATTACTTTCACACATCTATCATCATCTTTTAAAAAACAAAACCTTTATTTTCTTAACAGTTTTAGATTGTAAAGAAATTATGAAGATAATACAGAAAGTTCCTACATACCTCACACTCAGTTCCCTCTATTTTTAGCATCTTACATTAATGTTATACATTCCTTACAATTAACGAGCCAATATTAAGGCATTATTATTAACTAAAGCCCATAGTTTATTGAGATTTCCTTAATTTTTGCTGAATTTCCTTTTTCTATTCCAGAACCCCATTAGAACATCATGTTATATTTAGTTGTCATGTTTCCTTAGGCTACTCTTGACTTTGGCAACTTCTCAGATTTTCCTCATTTTTGATGACCTTGACAGTTTCGAGGAGTACCAGTCAGGAATTTTCTAGAATGTCAAATTAGGATTTGTCTGTTTTTCTTAGGATTAGACTGGAGTTATTGGGTTTTGGGAGAAAGACCACAGAGGTTAATTGCCATTTCATCATATCAGGTGAAGGTACTTGCTATCAACATGATCTATCACTGTTAATGTTGACCTTGATCGCCTGGCTGAGGTAGTGTTTGCCAAGTTTCTTTCTTCTCCCTGCTTTTCCCTCCCTGTGCTCTTTGAAAGGATGCTGCCGTGTGCTGCCCACATGGGCTCCAGGGAACTAATGCTCCATCTCGTTGGAGGGCTCTCTCATCATATTTTTATATCCAGGAATTTTTTTTCCCTAAAAACATTGTTTAAAATAATCTTTTGTCTTTAGATTATGGTTGCAATAATATAACTTTCGAGGATATTGTTTTTAAAAGTTTTCCTAAGCTTTCTGCATTCTTCTTCCTCCAAGTTCCTTTTTATATGTTTGTTTCCTTCAGATTAGAATCTTTTCTCAAGCGCTTGTTGATTCTTGGCTGTCTGTTCATGTATTAAGACTGGGACATGACAAAGCTGATGGGAAGCTCTACGTAGATGAGGCTTGTCAACTGGTGGGCAAACTGGCTCGCTTGTTTCACGAGGTGCATTAGTTTCCTGGCTGCTGTAACAAAGTACCACAAACTTGGTGGCTTAAAGCAACACAAGTTTATTCTCTCACAGTTCCAAAGGGTGGATGTCTGAAACCAGTCCCGAGGGCTGAAAGCAAGGTGACTGCGGGGCCACGCTCCCTCCAGAGGCTCTAGAGTAGAACTGTTCCTTGCCTCTTCCGGCTTCTGGTGGATGCTGGAATTCCTTGGCTTGTGGCCACATCTCTTCAACCTCTGCCTCTGTCCTGTGTGTATGAAACTTCCCTCTGCCTCTCATGCCACTTGTGATGGCATTTAGGGCCCACTGGATAATCCAGGATAACTGTCTCACTTCAAGATCCTCAATCACATCTGCAGACTCCTTTTTTCTTATAAGGGAACAATGGCAGGTTTCTGGGATGAGGGCCTGATACCTTTGGATGGCCATTATTCAGCCCACTAGCACTTGTGGTGTCTCAAATTTTTCACTTCATTGGTCAGTCCCTCCTTCAAGAATCTCCTCATCTCCTTCTGCCTAGCTGCCGTGTTCTTGGCACTGAGGGGATGGAGGGGGCATTACACCTTTAAGTAGGTAGACTTAAAAAAATATATATATATATGCATGCTTATAGGAGAGAATTGCTGATGTCTGATGTCCCCAAGGCCGGAAAGACTTTAGTTCAACCTCTTCAGAGAGGGAACCCCAGCCCTGTGTGATGGTAGAGGAGGGATGGGGTGAGGGAATGATCTAGTTACTTTTTAAACAGATCTGTAACTCATTTTCCTCTCTGCTGCACCTCTACTTTCAGAGGTGCTGGCACCTTCCATTCCTGGGCCTTTCTGGGGCTCCTGATCAGGCAGAGTGAACCAGGCTGCTTCTGGATGGCCCTAGATATCAACTTCCTAGTTTTCTAAGTAAGAGACCACTTGTCTGTAAACTTTCCAGTTTCCCAAATTTTGTCATTGTTGTTGTCTTTGACCTTGTGGATTTTTATGCAACTAAAAAGACTCCCTTGTAGAGTGTGTGTGTGTGTGTGTGTGTGTGTGTGTATTTTGGGAGGGAGCACAGGTTCAGTTTTCCATTTAAAAAATTATGTGTTGCTCTTACAGGAATTATGTAAAACAGTATGGAGATTCCTCAAATTAAAAATAGAACTAAAGATCTAGCAATCCCACTTCTGGGTATACATCCAAAAGAAATAAAATCAGTATCTTGAAGAGGTATCTGCACTCCCACGTTCGCTGAAGCATTATTCACAATAGCCAAGATATGGAAACAACCTAAATATTGATTGATGGATAAATGGATAAAGAAAATGTGGCATGTATATAAACCATAGAATATTATTCAGCCATAAACAAGAAGGAAATTTGCCATTTGCAACAACATGGATGAACCTGGAGGACAGTATGCTAAGTGAAATAAGTCAGACACAGAAAGACAAACACTCATAAGTGGAACCATGGAAGCGGAGAGTAGAATGGTGGTTGCCAGGGGCTGAGGGGAGGGGAAGGGGAAGATGTTGGTCAAGGAGCACAAGGTCTCAGTTATGCGGGATGAATAAGTTCTGGAGATCTAATGTGCAGTGTTTTCCAAACTGATTTTTAGCTGTAGAAGGGGTCTCACCACCACCATCACCTGCAGCACTTTTGTGCTGATAATTATTTCCTTTTCTCCATGATTCTGTCAATGTGGAGAATTTCATTGATCAATTTTTCTAGTCTTAACTCAATGTTGCGTTCCGGGAATAAATCTAACTTCGTTATTATGTGTGGCTCTCAGTGTGTGGTCCCCCAGCCTGCAGCATCAGCATTGCCTGGGAACTTGTTAGAAATGTAACTTCTCAGCCACCTCAGACCTTCTGAATCCTAAGCTCTCAGGGTGGGGTCCAGTGTTTACCTGTGTTTTACCAAAGCCTTTCCGGTGGTTCCGATGCTCGATGTACGCCAACCTCTGAGAGCTCCCGTAGGAGAGGTATGTTGATTCTTCTTACCCTTCCCCACGAGATTGTGGGATCATTTGGCTCACGAGCTCTACCTTAAGGCCCACGGTGGGACCTGGAGGAGGGCAGCAGAAAGACTCACCACGTGTCTGTTTTAGAAGTAAATATTCCTTCCATGAAGGCCTCCGGGGGCATCCATTTGACCGGCAGCATCGCACAGCCTCCCTTTCGGTAGTAGCTCGCTCTGCAGGGAGAAGAGATAAGCGGACTTGGTTCTGGAAATGGCTCTGAGCCAGGTACCTTGAGAGAGTGGCAACAACATCTACGGGTTGACGGACTGAAATTAACAAGGGGCGCTTGTGGTTCAGGAGGGGAGCAGGGGACACAGATCACCTAGTTAACAACCTTAGTGTCACCTCACAGGAGACAGAACAGCCCACTGCAGGTGTGAAAGGAAAGAGCTACGCAATGACTAAAAATACCCACTGGCAGGTAGTTAGAGTTCCCTGATGGGTTTTGTTTATTACAACTCACAACGCATAACATTACTCCAACCTTATAAGTACTGTTCTCGATGATCCACGGTAATGCGACATCCCAAATGGGAGAATTGAGGGCAGGGCTGGTGTCCTACTCTGGATCCTCCTCGGCACTCACACAGCATCTAATTCAATACAGGTGCTCGACATGGAACCCTCTAGGCAGCGGGCGGGAAGCTGCGTGCCATAGCAGAGCCCCCAGGAGAGCACCTGCCTTCCATGGCATGAGGTGGCTCACTAGTTTTTGTCACTGATGTCGTTAATGCAACTGACTGATAAAAACTAATAACTGAATTCATACCACTGTGCTCCCATGCCTGGTGTGTTATGGGAGGTGGCTCCCCACCAGCTGCCTAGATTAATTAATTACTCCAATAAACATGAACTGAGTACTTAGTATGTGTCAGGTGTTCTGCCACGTGCTGAGGACACAAATAAGTCATAGACTCTCTCTTCCAAGGTATGGTTTAGTGGAAGAAACAGACAGAATCAACTGCAGTAAGAACAACACATGTGATGATGTAGGTATGTACGAAGCTCGGTGACCAATGAAGAATGCATTTGTTCTACCCAAAGCGGGGGTATAGGAGAAGTTTCTTGGGGGCGCTGTTGGAGCTGGAACGGCAAAGCGGCTCTCGAGGAAGATCATTCCTGACATGTGGCGTCGTGCGGTGCCTGTGGGAAGCCGGAGCTGTAGGGAAGCTGGGCGGTGAAGCCTAGAGCTGGGGAACTGTCGGTGCTGAGGATGGAGAGGAAGGGCCAGATCATGTGACTCACTAAGTCTCACTGCAACATTTGTGTCTTAGAGCACAGGCTCTCCCAGGGTGCTCTGAGACAGGAGGGGAAGGAATGCTGAGACTCTGGGTGATAGAAGAGGGTGACGTGGAGCATTAGCAGGGTATATGGTGGATACCAGTGGTAGATGACCGTAGCTGAAAACATTGCTAACTCCTAATTTCCTAGGTACTGCTGTCCTGTGGTAACAGGATGCCATCGGCATTCTTACCCCACGGAGATTGTTTACCAGTTCCGTGGGAGGCCTTCAACGTCTCCCTTATTCTCCAAAGACTGAAAGGTCTACATGACCATCCCTCCTCACTCTACCTCCAGATTAGGGAAGGTGTAATTAGTGACCATGCAAGGGAGTCACTTGCTCAGCTAATGGAGTGAGTCACTGTTGTAAATAATTAGACAAAGAAGAAACGGGAATTCCCTGGCAGTTCAGTGGTTAGGACTCTGCGCTTCCACTGCAGGGCAGGGGGCAAGAAACTAGGGGTTGGGAAGAGAAGAGTGGGATAAAGTATAATAGAGTATTTTTTTAAATTAAAATTTACTTTGTTTTTTAATGTAGCCTTAAGAATATGACAGGGGAAAAGAAATGAAGCTGAGCTAAGTACCTATGGGCTTTAAATACACTCCTGTGTCTCCTGGTGTGAGAAAAGAAGAGCGATGAGCTGGGCCCAGTTTCCTGTCAGTTCTAAGGTGCTCTTGCCTGGGGTGATGGAAGCTAAGCCTGTTTAGAATTCCTGAGTATTGAGGAAAGGGGTTAAGTAACTTAAAGTTTACTTAGAAACGTTTTCCATATCAAGTATCCAGGTTATTCTGTGTCTCAGAACATGTTAGGACTATAGAGTTGGAACGAGAAAGACAATCTAATTAACAGCTTAGTGTCAATTATCGCAGGCAGTGTGATCCTTGAATTAGCCCTTCAGGCATGAGCAATGATTAAGGCTTCCCATGTCCTGAAAAGGAACTTAATGACATTTTAGGTGGCAAGTTGACAAGGCACCAGCGATGCTTTAGGGCACAAGCAGCCTTGTCACACTCTCTTGAGGGGGTTAAGCTGAGGAGGTGAGCTCTGATGGGCGATGGCAGTCTGTACTCACCTGTAGATGTCTCGAGCCATTCCGAAGTCTCCGATCTTGGCCACCCTTCCAGGGCCTGGACAGGTCAAGAGGCAGTTCCTGGCAGCAATGTCCCTGGGAAGAAAAAAAATGAGAAAATGCATTTCCTAATTTTATTCTTGAAAAGATAAATGTATAATACTCAGCACAAGGATTTTCACCTCCAATCTGAAGGTTCTCTTTTCTTCCCTATAGTTCCTTTCTACATTATACTTCAGTATGAAAGAAATAGCTAAGCAATTCTAGGTCTCAGAACTAACAGGGAAATGGAAAATGATTTGGGGAGATGATTGAAATGTTTAATGGGATAATAATAATGAAAATAACTATAATAGGAACTAGAAAAGTGATTGGCCTTTTACTGTGTACTTAAGCATTGTTCTATGTGCTTCATATCTAATTCTCACAACTCTGTAAGACACAAGGTGCTATTATTATCCTTATTTTATCAAAAACACTTAAGCTAAGAGAAGATAACAGAGGGACATAAGAAACGCGTTTGGCTGTAGGCTATTGTTCTGTACAGATTGCTGGTTGGTTTTTGCTGGTTGGATGAAGGAGTATTCTGGAACAGCATAATTTCCATGACCAGATGCAAGTAGGTCAAAGTATTCCCAAATATTTCTAGTTTTATTTTTTAATAAGCCATTATGGTTTTTACATCTGTGATTTTATCTAAAGCCTTTGCTAAGCTGTATGCATCATAGCTATGTGGCCAAAGAATCGCTTCTTTCAAGTTAGAAAGTTATCTTGTCTTCTTAGTTGTTATTCTCCAGATGGCCTATTCTCCCATAGCACACCTGTAAGCCTTGATCAGAAGCTTTCCAAGATTCATCAACTTCTACTCACTGACTGCTAACCCATTCTTTTTCTTTTCTTTTTTTTTTTTTTAATGGTACGTGGGCCTCTCACTGTTGTGGCCTCTCCCGTTGCAGAGCACAGGCTCCGGACGTGCAGGCTCAGCGGCCGTGACTCACAGGCCCAGCTGCTCCGCGGCATGTGGGATTTTCCCAGACCAGGGCACAAACCCGTGTCCCCTGCATCGGCAGGCGGACTCTCAACCACTGCACCACCAGGGAAGCCCCGCTAACCCATTCTTGACATGCATGTGGGGATTAAGGATGCAGCCAGAAGAAGTCTGGAATGGGTTTCTAATAACATTAAAGTCCTGGATGGGGAAAAAAAAAAAAAAAGTACTCCTTGGGGGGAACAGGTGGTGTTTTTACATTTTCAGTTGGTTTCATGAAGGTTCTGACCTTTGGCTGAGAAAGAAGGACATGGAGAATAAACAACTGGATAGTATTAAAAATAGGTTCTGGATAGGGCCTCATGGCTTAGGAGATCAGAACAATGGGTCAGGGTGGGAGATGGATGTCATTAATGCCACTGCCCTGATCCAGAAGGTTTAAGTTGAATTTCGAGGAGCAATGGTGCATAAAATGCCCTAAGGCAACCATAAAAGCATAACATATATGACATCAAAAAGAAGAAAAAAATAGTAAGAGATATAGCCACTGCTTCTCAAGAGAAATATAGTGAAATAGACCAGGAACAATATTTATGGATCCAGAAAGGTCTTTCCATTGATGTGCAGGGAATGGTTGCTTAAAAAACTGATCTTGAATCTAATGGCAGGAAAGTAAATGTAACACCATAGAACACACCAAGAATTGGTAGAATGACACATATTTATTGAAATGGCAATAAAGCGTGTCCAAAGGAAAGAGATCTAATAGAAAAATGGAAGCATGTGGATCTGATGAGGGAGTTCCACTCTGAATTCAGCAGGTGTGGTTGCATGGGAGTCTGCGAATCTTAAGGCAGACACTGGGTGGAGGAAAGAGAATTAAGGTAAAGCTATTGGGGGAGTGTGCCACAGACCTCAAGCCAGTTAGAAGATGTAAAAGATGCTTTCTTCAAACCAATTACCTCAGAAGACAGCTTTGATCGAGATGGATAATTTCTGCTAATAGTCACCCTTTGCTTATAAAGCAGATCATCTGATACATTATTGATTCAATCTTTGACAATTTCATTTCTCAAAAAAGATAAAAGGAGCAACAAACTGTTACTCTGGGATCTAATTCTGACCTTCAGTAACTATTTACAGATATGAAAGCCATAAGAATCTTAAGAGAATATGATCCTGTTATCTTATTATCTGTAATAACAGCACTGGATATAGTCAACATGTTATCATGCCTCTAGGAAAGCAGATTTCAAAACGTCAGAGGAAAGATGGATATGATCCCTCAGTCAGAGAATCTGGATGCTTGGTGACTAATGTGGGAGTGGAGATAAAAAGGCAGAAATGGGGACTTCCCTGGTGGTCCAGTGGTAAAGAATCCACCTTCCAATGCAGGGGATGCAGGTTTGATCCCTGGTCAGGGAACTAAGATCCCACATGCCGCGGGGCAACTGAACCCGTGCACCACAACTACTGAGCTCGCATGCCTCAACTAGAGAACCTGCATGCCACAAACTACAGAGCCCACGTGCTCTGGAACTCGTGCGACACAACTAGAGAGAGAAAAAACCTGCACACCACAACTAGAGAGAAGCCCGTGCGCAGCAACGAAGAGCCCGCATGCCTCAACGAGGATCCCACGTGCCGCAACTAAGACCCGAAGCAGCCAAAAATAAATAAAATAATAAATCTTTTTGTTTGTTTGTTTGTTTTAAAGGCAGAAACGACCTCAGGGAGAAGTGAAGGGAGAGATCTGAAGTCACCAAGGTGACAGCACATGCTGCTCTCAGATGAGCCCAGATTTAGAGGACGTGGACAAAAGATGGCAAGATGGCTCTAGCCAAGGACTAATTCCAAGAAGAGTACAACCTTGTCATGTCTGAACAACAATAAAGGCCAGAGCTGAGATTTATGGAAAGTTGTGTAACATTAAAAAGGGCAAGAATAACAATGGCAGGGTTGGAGGAGAACAGAAAGAATGGAGCCTGGCTTCTCTTTTACTTCTGTTATTTCTATCAAACACAATGATCTGCAAGTTGGAAAGGCTGAAAATCAACAGGAAGATCTGAAGATCAAAGTGATGACGTGACAGTCAAAGGATGAGCCGATGTGAGCGTCTCGCCTTGTTTCAGGAATGGTTCTGGGAAGCTAGGCCAGTGTATTTCTTGACCTTCAACTTCCCCATTTTTATTAGGGCAGGAAGCATAGCTTGTTATCTACCTACACGCTTTTCTATTCCTAAACTCATACATATTCTCTCATTTTCTACGTTGTATTACATATTCTAATTATTAGGAACATGTCTTATACTCTTGGATGGGTTAATGAATGTTTATTAGTTCACCAGGTTGTTATTTACTAAATTAGAAGCAAATGGTTAGGAAGAGCTTTGCAAAGAGCCTAACAATCTATTTGACTTTTCAGGTTTCAGAATCAAGCTGTCTGCTGAGAGAGCCATCAATGGACACATGGAAAGAAATACGTGTCATCTCTCATGTCTATAGCATTACACATGGACTTGATGTACCAATGCAAACACCATTTAAACACAAGGAGTAGAGTAGAAGAAACGAAGTACAGAGGTGGAGAAAATAATCATTATTTTTCATTTCAGAGTATTTTAGAAAAAAATAATTTATCCAATAAACATTTATTGTGCCCCACTATGTGCCAGTGATATGAAGATGAATAAAACAGGGTCCTTGCCTTCGAGTTACTCATAGTCAGATATGTGAAAATATAAACTCCTTAAACTTCCCTTAAGGAGCCCAGTTTTCTAGATATGGAAACGTTCACATGATCTAGGACTCGACACAGGCAGGAGTCCCTGCAGGGGGTCAGGTATAGCTCATCTGGGTCTCCAGTGCCGGTATGGATGTCTTATGATCCCACTTTACATATGGGCCAGATGAAGCCCTGGTAGAGTGATAACCATCTTAAAGACAAAGCTGAGCCATCCAGACAGCTTTGGAGAGAGACCTACTGCTCTGCTCTGAAGGCGCGACCTGGGCCCCTGAGACATGTGGGGAAGCATACAGAAGGTGGGGGTGGAGCAAGGCCACTTAGACTCACCGGTGGATGAAGTGATTTTCCTCTAGATACTGGCAGCCACAGGCGATGTCCCGAGCCACGTGCAGGAGGTCCAGCATGGCCAGGGAGGAGGGCTGATTCTGTGGCAGACAGAAGTGACCAGCTGATGAGAAGCTCTTGGGGGAGAGAAGATCTGAAACGCTCACTTCCATGCTTTGCTAGGAGGCCACACAGGTGCGCCACCCCCGGGGTCTCAGCCCTGGCTGCACATTCGAAATCACCTGGTGGCTTAAAAAAATGCAGATGCCTGGGCCTCAGCCCAGACCAAAGACTCCATCTCTGCAGGTGGGCGCAACATTTACAGGGTCACAGCTCCCAGGTGAGTGGGGTTGGAGCCCTAAACCACAGGAACCGGGACTGGCAGACGTCCTGTCCCTTTGCATTTTTTCTGCCCATTCTTCCACCTCAATCTTCATAAACATTTGGATCCCCCAAACGTACAAACAGGCCTGTGGGGAAATAAAGGGGGCTAATATTGTTTTAGAAATGCTCTAGTTAAATGCTTAAAAATATTAAAAAAGAATAATTTTCTTCCTGAAGACCTAGATCTGAAGTGGATTGAAAAAGGAAAGCTTCCAGAAAATGATGGGCAGCTGAAGAGCCATCTCCGGCTTTTCTGCATGATTCTCTTTTGTGCAAAAGTTGCTGCTGTCCCCTCACCCCCGCTGCCCCCGAGATGCACCCCGCCTTTGCCTCCCCACAGCCTGGTGGAGCCCTGGGAAGTCTTTTCTGAGGGCTATGCCCTCCTTGGTGTCTTTTAAATTCCTAAACCCCCGAGTCTGCAGCAACATGTCGTCATGCAGTGTCACATTCACTGCGCTCTTCTGTGCCTATCTTACCATGTCCCCAAGGAAACTTCGAGGCACCTGAGGCAGGGCCCTCAGCGTCCACTTCCGTGGTCTCCAACACGACCCTTAGCTCGCTGCTGTGGTTCAGTGAACAAGGGGGTTCGTTGGTTGATTACAGCGGAACTAGGGTTTACCCAGATGCCGGCCACAGACCAGGGCCTCCCCGGGACTCCTTGGAGAGACAGCAGGGGTCTGGAGGCAGAGAGGCGTTTGTCTAGGGCATATGCTTCAATTCTGGGGGGGACGACTCAGGGAGGGGCATAGTCTCTGCCCATGGACCATTGGGCAGTGCCTTACATGAAACAGAGCAAGTCCCAGGACATGATCTCCTTTGATGCAACATCCCGTGTGGTCGGTAGGGAAGAGAGGTTACCTCTGTATTAAAGATGCGAAGGCTGAGGGCTCAGAGAGGCTCAGGTCACACAGTCAACAGGGTGGAGCCGAAACTGCCCTGAACTGGGCTTTAAGGATCTGGGTTGGGGGAAGTAGGATCCTAGGAGTTAAAACTGAGTTTCTCGGGAGAGTGTGTCCAAGAAGGGCCGGAGTAGCCACGGGCGCAGCGCACGGTACCCAAGTGAATACGGATGCAGCACACAGATGCCGTGAGGGCACATTTCGGTGCTCGGTTGAGCTGAGCTGGGCTTCATCCTGCTCGTCCCTTATTGGCTGTGTGAGCTGGGGCTGACCGCTTTGCCTCTGTCCAAGCCACCGTGTCCTGGTCTGTGAAATCAGCATGACACTCTTGGCCTCACTGGATTGTTAAGAGCACCTACAGTCAGAGGTACAGAGTGAGTGCCTCACAGAGGGCTCTGCGGTTATGGAGGGGGCTGCTCCTGGGGGGTGCTGTGGGGTCTTGGGAAATGGCTCTTGTGTTGGGCTTCTCCCGGGACCTTGTCAGGCTGAGAAGTACTGGGCACTGTGAGAGACAGTTCCCTTTTCCTGGGGAAAAGGAAAGTAATATATTTCCAAGGGGACTATGCATCCATCTTGCTATAGTATTAGAACAATCTTTTCTCTCTCTTTCTTTCAAATTGCTTTCTGTTCCTGCCAAAGAGGACCCAGTCCTAGCTCCCCCCGGGTCTCTTTGTGTCTTAGCCCCCATCACTCAGGATGCAAGGACCACTGACGTCTCAAATGCTCCATGAGTCTGGTGTGCTGCAGGGACTAAATCTTCCCATGCATTAACCCACGGGCCGGGATTATCTGGGCTCCCTGTCTTTGGCTGCTCAGAGCAAATTAACTGCACCGCTAATCAGTCTGAACAGAGCAGACAGTCGGTAACCCATGGGTGTGTGTGTGTGTGCACGCGCGCACGCGGTGGGGGAGGTGTGGATGCTGTGGCAAAACCTATACTTAAAACTAGCAGTGCAGAGTGTAGGCAGTGTGCTCAGCGTCATTTCTACCCATCCTGGGCAAAGAAGGACTTGGAACCAGGGTTTCTTCCCCCTATTTGCCACTGAATGCGGCACTTCCTTTGGCAACTCGGGCAGTCATGGTTATGGGTGTAGCCTGCCCAGTACTCAGAGAGAATTTTGTCCAGTATTTCCCAAAGCAGGCTGTGGGATGGAATTCAATCAAACAGGCATGGGAATTCCTGGGTTAAATAGGCTCCTTTATCACAGAAATTATCAGAGTCTTTGCTATACGCTAATGTGTGTTGAGAATCAGTAAGAGAGGAGTGTGCGTGGCTCTGATATTTGCTTGACCAAGGAATTCTTTTGAGCATGTGTGTGAGTGTGTAGCACCTCAGGGTACCAGAGTTCCCTTCAGGGACACTGTTTTGACCAATATCCTACTTTTACACGGGAGAAAAGAGGCCCACTGAAGTGGAATAATTTCTTTGCTCGCAGTTTCTGAGGGGCTATTTCCAAAGGATAATGTATACACTAATAAAAGACAGAATAATATTGATATCTGTTCCTTCCCTAAGTAGCTTCTGCAGTTAGAGATGAAGGGTCACAGGGCATGGGGGAGGAACTGTTTCACCAAGTGAAAAACAGACTAGGGATATATTTTAAAATTGACACATATGAGGGTAAGAGGGAAAGATGAAAGGAAAAAGCAAAGAATGCAGACAGGGGACACAAAATATTAAACGTGGCAAAAATCCATTTTGAAAAGTGATGAGATGTGAATGGTGCTGGGCCCTCATATTCCTGGCTCCTGACATGGCCGAGAAAATACCCCTCCACGCATTTTGGAGGCAGCATTGGTATTTGGCAAAGTTGAAGCCAAAGATGAAAACCTAAGCATTAGTTGCAATCAGAGGTTCTCACCTCTGTGCTGTTCACCTCTGACATCCAAGAAGCCGTCTTGTACTGAGCCTCTTCTCTAGAGCCATTACCTACAGGATTACCATGTTCCAAACAGCTATAGACACTATAGCGGTCAATGACCGCCACCTTGAATAAAGAGATTACTGACTCCTTAATGGTCTTTGTCATTATTGACTGAATCAACTGATATTAAAAGACAGCTACTAGGGGCTTCCCTGGTGGCGCAGTGGTTGAGAGTCCGCCTGCCGATGCAGGGGACACGGGTTCGTGCCCCGGTCCGGGAAGATCCCACATGCCGCGGAGCGGCTGGGCCCGTGAGCCATGGCCGCTGAGCCTGCGCATCCGGAGCCTGTGCTCCGCAATGGGAGAGGCCACAACAGTGAGAGGCCCGTGTACCACAAAAAAAACAAAAAAAACAAAACAAACAAACAAACAAACAAAAGACAGCTACTAGCCTACATCTGGCATATACTAAACCCTCAATAAAAATTTGTTCAACAAAGAGAGCATCTGCAAAGTTATTTTGACATTAAAAGGGTCCTTCCTTCTTGAGGAGGTGGGGTCCTGGGACCAAATGATGTTTTCCTCTGTACAAATGAATTTCATTTCCATGATAGACATGGTTGGCCCAGGCACCCGTTCTGTCTTCTGAGTCTGTATATCCATCATTACTTCATGTCCTTCTATCCTGATGGTCCATGGAGCCACTGAGCCCCGGGGATGGCAGGAAATGAGTACAGAGTGCTCGTGTGACTCTGAGTGCCCAGCCGGGTGCCTGCACACATCCGGTCATCATCAGGCAAGCCCGGAGACTCAAGGACTTCAAACAAATGAATCAGGTGGACTTCAGGCCTTTGAATCCAGTGAGCTCCACAGGCTGGAGGCACGACTCTGCCCACCCTCTCCTCAGGGCGTGTATCTCTCCGGCCCTGATGTCCATCAGCCAGCCCCTCCCTTCTTCATCACGTGTAGGATTTGCTGATATTAACCCCCTCGGTCCACTTCTAAATCGCACTCCTTTCTCACAGTCAACCTGACCCCCACTCCACTAAGCTGGATTTTGTGGTTCTGAGAATCATGCAGGACACCTAGCAACCTCCTCCCCACCTCTCCACCCCTTCCACCCACGGCCGGAAGTTGCTGCTACAAACACATTTGCACGGGGTCACTCTGGAGGCTGTGATCCGACGTTTTAAATCACCCATCGTGGGCAGTACCTCAGGAACGACCAGCTCACCTGAGACGAGTGGGTGTGTAAAGCGGTAAGGAGGAGGACTGGGGTGCTACCAAGACCTGGGGGCACGGTTGGCAGGGAGAGCCACACAGAAGAGCAGGGTCAAGGGTTAACGGGCAGATTTGGTGGGGGGGATCCCAACCCTTAGAAGCGGCTCTCCCAAGCGGAGTCGACCTTCTGCTGGCTGTGGGCATCCCTCGGGTGGTGCCTGCAGCTAGAGGTCGGAACTCGGCAGCACGCTCCTGCTCTGAGCCTCCTTGGGGTGGCACTGGGGCTGGAGGTGGTGGGAGATATCAGTGACCTGCTTTTCCTTGCTGGTGCTTCGTTCTTTGAGACAACATTCAAATCCTCTTTCATCATCAAGGGAGAGAGATACCTTTGCCTGCAAGTCCTCGGACTTGCCAAGTGAAGGGTTCCCAGATTCCCTTTACAAGGAGGTCACAATACTTTCTTGTCCTCAAGCCCCAGGAATCTCCAGTGGGAAAGCCAGAGCTATGCCTCTGCCCAAAGTGTGATACCATGTGTTCCCTGTTTGACGTCTGCCAGAGGCACTGCTTCCCAGCACCGCTTGGCCTTGCTGGGTGCTGGTGGGAAAGCCAAGGCTGGTGCCCAGACCTGGCAGAGATGCCTGCATAGCTGGCGGCATTTGCTCTGAACAACCCCCCCCCCTCACCTTGGCACTCAGGGCTTCTCGAAGGGGACCATCTGGATAAACAGCACAGCAGGCTGGAGAGAGCATGGAATCAGGATCCACCAGACCTGAGCTCTAGCCCCAGTTCTTTCACTTCCTGTGCACCTCGGCAAGTCACATGACCACCCTGAGCCACTGTTTTCCCGTCTCCAGAATGGGGTGAGATCTGTACCATCTACTTCATAGGGTGGTTGTGAGAAACGTGAAAACTCCGGGGAGGAGGGTGATAATGCAGACGAGGATTACCGTGAGGTGGGGTTAGTTCTCTCTGCCCCTCCCCCAGCCCCCTTCCTCCTGCCAGGTGTGCTCAGGTGCATATACACTCATCTTCTCAAGGCGTTAGAGCGGATTCCTCTTAGATGCCGAGAGAGGTCACCCAGAGGCTTGCGGGAACGGTGTGGAGGCTCCTAAGGATGCGGTTTCTAAACTGAGCCTGAGTGAAGGTGTGGACTGGAGTAGGCGTGACCTTCCGAGGTTTCCGCAACCACTTGGGGTCCTCGTGAGGAGAGTATTCCATTCTGGTCTTGCTGTGGCAGAGCGGTTGTCGGTCTTTCTCTGCTGTCCTGGGGGTGGGGAGGGTACAAGTCTTCCCCGTGGTTCTCATAGTCCAGTGGCAACCAGAGGAAGTCAGGTCCTAACTCAGAGGTCTGCTCTGCTCCAGTTTCCAGGGTCCAGGCCTCTTGAAGAGCCCGGCAGTGACAGGAGTGGACAGCTGGACCCCGGGCTCGCCCAGTGTGCTGTATTTTATAAATATCTCTGTCCGAGATGCTCTAGCCTAGCCCGAGGAGTTCACGTTGATGCTGAGGTTAGAGGGGGCTGGCTGCCCTAAGCAGGTTGTCCAATGGCCAAGCAGGGCTGGGCGTGGGTGGGTCACTTAGGTTTCTTCACTCCCCCGAGCTCTAGCCCTTTAACCATAACATGTATGCAGCACCTTCCTAAATACCCCAGCACTCTACTTTGATAGTAAAACTACAAGGTCAGGATGTCCACATTTGAGAGATGAGGACAGTGGGGTTCAGAACGGGTGGATGCAGAGTGACCTGCCCCAAGTCAGTTGGTTGAGTGAGTGACACAGCCGGCATGAAAGTCCCCCCACTGTGCTTGTCCCTAGTTTTGGTTTTCCACAATCAGCAGGCCATAAAAATAGATACAGCCTGGAGAAGCTGTTGCACAAACCTTGCACAAGCTCCCTGGGGCTGGGCTCAGCGATCAGCCACCTTCTGTCCCCTCTCTCCCGCCTTTCCCCCAGATCCGAGCCCATGGGCCGACTCCCTCGGTCCCACTGAGTATGTTGCTTCCCAGGCTGCCCACCCTGGCTCCTTCCTCCCCCTGCTCCGTCCCCTGGCACAGCTACTGGGAAAGGCTGGTTCTCACTCACCGGGCGAGGGCGCGTCTCTCGGAGGAAGGACTTGAGGTCTCCTCCCGCCATGAGCTCCAGCAGGATAAATCGGGGCAGGGCTTGCAGACTCACCCCGATACAGCGCACGATGTTCTGGTGGTTGAACTTGCTGCAGAGCAGAGGGGAGTAACCGAATTTAACTGAGCTGAGTCTGGGAAAACCTTAAGTGGGCAAAGCCGGGTACAGATTTATGCTTTCAGAAGCCACATTTTGTAAATGCTTTCTGTAAATGTGGGAAGCAGGGCTCCCAGGCTGGGCCTAAGCAGAGGATAATCCGGCTGCTGAGCAGCTGGGAGAACCAGAGGGCAGGTCTGGCGGGAGCTCAGCCTGCTTGAAAGAACTTGCTTGGGGGCGAGGGGGTGAGGAGGAACTTGGGTGAGCAGGTGGGACGGGGGTGGGGAGAGGAGGGCTTCGAGGCTGGGGCACGGACTGCTGGCCAGGATTCACGTTTGGGGTTTGGGTTTTCAGAGGAAGGCCTCAGGCGGAAGCTGCAGGAACTGCTTCCCCGAGGGACTGCGTGAGACCTGCCAGGTGACCGTGTGTGGAAGAGAACAAGGAAGAGGGCCACGGATCCCACTGTGGACTCCTCATGGGGGCTCTGAGATTCGGGTTTTCTTGTTAACGTGATCCTATTGGGACACGTGAGGCAGCGGGGCCAGGGAACTCCACATGGGTGCACGCGTGCAGAGGTGACACACCGGGTGACTGTACACCCAAATATAATGCTGCTTAGTTACTGCCAAGTACGGAGATGGAGTGATTCGGGTCTCCTTCCATCTACTGTCCTACTTTCCAGGTTTTATTCAATAATCACATACTACATGCTCAGTCAGAAAATACGTCACTTTTAAAGCAGGAGCTGAGCCTGCTGCTATCCTCCTATGGACCCAGTGCACCACACGTGCTGCTCTGGACTCGTTCCACTTCTGTCAAGGGGAGACCTCGGGCTGCCCCAGCCTTCAGGATGTTTGAGGTTCCCCAGTGCACCAGGAGGCCATGAGCCTGGCCAGATCTCAAGGTCCAACATCTGCTGTCAGAGCCCCGGCCACTGAGACTCCCAGTGGGGGGCCCCAGATCCACCAATTGAAGGGTCAGGCCAGCTGGGTGGACCAGGGTGGGTGCCTTCTATCACTTGGGGGCCCATTTCCTTTACATGAGAGCTGAGAGCTGGGGTTGGCGAAGCACCTGGTGGAAGAGATACCTGGAGGAGGATTGTATCTTCTACTGTCAACAACCAGCATGCCTGTTTCTTAAGAAAAGGGGGAAAAGAACCAGTTGGTGACACAGGGATGCGGATTGAAGGTGGAGCGCTATCGATTGGATTCTTTTTCTAAGACAGCCATCTGGGGGCTGGTTCCACTCTGGTAAGACGTGCTAAGAATTTACAGAGTCTCCTGTTGGAGAGGGAGGGGTATGCTGCCGGACAATCCTGTTTCCCTCAGAGATGTGCCTGTTAGAAACATCTCGTGTCCCTTACAGGCTTGGGGCAGTGGTGTGGGGTGTCTCCCTGTATCGTTACCTGATGATCAGGGCTTCCATGAGGAAATCCAGTTCGTCCTGTTCGGAACACACCTCAGGCAGCGTCTGGGCACAGAAGGGAGGGTGGGAAGGAGAAGGAGGCTGTGAGCCGCAGAGGTCAGAGGCTTTCAGCAGAGAGCCACACTTACAGAGACCCCTGGCCAAGGTCAGGCCTCTTACCTTTACAGCCACTTGCAGGGGGCTCGGGTCGTTGGGCATTCCAGACACCTGACCTTCATACACCTCCCCAAACGCGCCGTGGCCCAGACCCCTGTTCAAAGAGAAGGCGAGATGAGACAGGGGCACATTTAGTGGATGCACATGGGAGCCAGGGGGGTCACACACACCCTCAAGGGTAATGCCCTCAGTCTGGCTTTGCTCGTCGGTCCTGGGCCTCCATTGCTTTACCCGGCAAGAAAGTTTCCAGGATTCAGGACACTGGCTGGACATTCCTTCTGTGAACACTTACTGAGCCTCTAATATTTGCCAGGGACCTAGAGGGGACTAAGGCTAAGCCTGCCAGGGAGGCTTGTGCTCCCTGGGGCCGGGGGTGAGGGGCATAGACAGCTGGTGGACACCCCCTGGAGTGTGCTTGATGAGTGACAGACACGTGCACAGGGTGCTCTGGGAGCTGGGAGTGGGGAGGGGAGCAAGGTCTGGGGAGGGGCACTTGGGTGGATTTTGAGGAGAGCCCCATTCCTCCCATCTAATCCTCCTCTCATTGTACCAACCCCATGTGTATATGGGGTGTTGAACAAGCAAACACCCCCCCAATGGCCCTGAACACTGAACCTTCTCTCCCTGGGGGGGGTGGGGGGGCTCCGAGGGGTGGCTTTACTGGCTTCTTGCTGCCGGAGGAATTCGTGGTGCAGGGATGACATCCGGCCCCCTGGAGCTCTCCCTTCCCTGCCTCCCCCACACCCCCCCCTGCCCCCCAGGACAGTGATGGGCACTCACCGGATGAGGGTGATGTTTTTCCTGGGCACCTCCTTCAGGTCACTGATGGAGGAGGTTTTGCCGGCAAAACAGTAGTTGGGGTTGTAGTCGGTCATGATGGTGGAGGTGCGGAGCTTGCTCAGCTTGTACTCGGGGCTCTGCAGCTCCATCTGCATGGCTTGCAGCTCCTGGTGCTTCCGGCGGTACACTGCAGACACATGGAGGTCAGCGCAAGGTGGCCTGGGCCAGGCAGCCAGGCCACCTCCTCCAGGAAGCCTTCCTGGATCTCCAGCTCCTCCACAGGGATCTAAATCTTTCCATCACACTTAGTCATACGAACAAAATGATTACAGATGTGAAAGTGTACCTTTAATTGAAAGATGAAAGTAAATGTAAAGCTTAAAATCATATGAATGGAAAACATTTATTGTATCATGCGGGGCAGAGGCACATTAGTTTCGGTCCTCTGAGAAGCAGACCCAAGACAGGATTCAACAGGCAAGGATTTTATTAGGGGAAATGCCTGTGAGAGATAATTGGGAGGGAACCCAGGAAGGCTGGGAAGCCACCATACTGTGTTGAAAGTCTGACCCCATGTGAAGGACAGGGTGAGGGAAGGTTGAGCAAAGACCCTAGATGGCCATTCAGTCTAAAGAAGTTCCAGCAAGGCTCTTGCTAGGTTCTGGATCCGAAGTCGGCTGTCAGAGGAGTCCCATGTCTCCAGGAGGGGGCCTGCCTTAGCAGCTCTGCTCTGCCCAGGCGCTGGGTGAGGCAAGCATGGCAATGGATTTGAGAGTACAGCTGGGATTCTTGGTCACCTGTGTTTCCTACAGTTGAAGAACCGCCAAGCCACATAGCTGGAGACCGTCACAGAGTGAAAGGTCTCTAAACTGGGTCTAAGCTGGTGCCTGAGTTCTAATTCTGCCTTTGTTACTTACAAGCTGTGACACTGACAAGCGACACGTGACCTCTTTGGATCTCAGTCTCCTTCTCTGTAAGCAGGGACAATAACTCCTGCCCTGTCTCTTAAAGCCCCGCTCCCCGTCCCCTAGGTTTGTGATAATGAAATGAATTCACCAACATAAAATGGTTTTGGAGGGAATTCCCTGGCGGTCCAGTGGTTAGGACAGGGTGCTCTCACTGCCGGGGTGTGGGTTCGATCCCCGATCGGGGAACTAAGATCCCACAAGCTGTGCAGTGCCACGAAAATAAACAAAGGAAGGAAGGAAGGAAGGGAGAAAGAAAGGAGGAAAGAAAGGAAAGAAATGGTTTTGGAAAGTTCTAAACAGCTTTCCCAGTACAAGTGACCACTATCACTGTTACTACTATGTGTGAGAACATTCTATATATAAGGCAGACTCCATGGGAGGTGATTCACAGGGCGGGGCCGGGGCAAGTGAGTCAACTCCTGTGCGCTCAGCTCCTCCTCTGTGAAATATGCCAACCGTGATCATAGGGTTCTTTGAGGGTCTGGTGAACTAAAATGTGTCGGTCACCCACCGTGTGGTAAGCGTGCAACCAGTTAGCTCCCGTCATCCTGCCCTTTGCAGGATGGCATCGTGGGGATCACAGTAGCTGCCACCTCCCTGTCCCCCCCAGATTCCCTGCCCTCGAGCGGCTGGCCTGAAAGTGCTGTCCGGAGCTGAGCCTTTCCTTCTGCTTCCCCTCAGGTCCCTGCCCACCTGTCCCGGGCATTTCCAGCAGGAAGAGCCTGGCTGGACCATGCAGGGCCCTCTGCGACCTGCAGGTCAGCACCCCTTGGCTCACTGGCCTAATTGGAAACACTCAGAAACCAGCTCTGCATTCTCTGCATGGAGTGGGGAAGGGCGGGCTGGAGGCGTGACACAGGAAGTGAGCCAGACTAGAAGAAGCCCAGGTCTGATGAGAGCTGAAAGGGAGGCCTGGGGTGGGGCTGACCTTTAGCACTCTGAAGAGTGCCCCCTCCTTGAGCAACCAGGAGGCTATGCACAGGGCTGAGGTCCAGAATCATGGGCTCCTAGGAACCAGGGATGTGCCGGGGGGTGGAGTGAGGGGCCTTCTGTTTTGGCTTGGCGCGGGCTGCCCTCATCACTACCCACCCAGAGTGAAACCTCAGCATCCATGGCACAGCCTGAGATGCTATTTCTTTCTGCCAGATCTGCCTTCCCTGCCCCGCTCTGGAAGTGCTGGGGCTCTGGGACACTCACCGATCATGATGCCGGAGAAAGCCAGGACGAGGGCGGCCACGAGGGCAGAGGTCACGACGGACAGGATCAGCGAGAGTGGCAGGTGGGGCTCCGGGGTGGGCGACACTGGAAGACAGGTCCCCACGGGGCACCAATGACCACACGGATTCTCCTCTGAGCTGGCCCCAAGTCAGAAAGACCCTCCCCGGCCTTGGACACCTGGACCACCATCCTTTTCAGAGGACCAGGGCATGAAGCAGGTTTGTCCTGGTTTTACAACTTTCAACAGTAGCTTTTGTGGGGAGGGAATATGTAAAAGGGATAAATATCAAAATCTGGACATTGATCCAAAACATCAAATGTGCATGACAGGGTGAGGATGAAAGGTGAGCCAGCAGTGGCTGTAGAAGAGATTCAGGCGCCGTAGGTGACTTCAAGCTCAGTACGACCCAGCAATAGAGTGTCCCGGTCAGTTAGACTGTAGAGGCTGAATTGATTCTCTGTCCACGAGCGCACCGGGCCCAGCGCATGGGAGGGAGGGCCCGGGTGCACACTGGCATCGACCACACCGAGGCACCGTGCCTGGGCCTGGACACTGCATTTCAAAAGGGACGTTGACAACTGGAACACCAGGATGGGAAGGAGGCATAAACCTGTGTCCCATATGAATGGATGGAAATAAACGGGTTATTTAATGTGGAGAAGACTTGAGGAGGAGGACGGCAGCGCTGTATTCAGATGCCATGCCTGAAGGGCCACTGTGAGCAGGGAGCCCAGGAGTGGAGGAAGCTGGAAGGAATGGGTCTGGCGCTGTGACTCCCCGATGGGATGCTGTGCCTTAAGAGTACTGAGGTCCCTGGCGCTGGGGTGTCCAGTGGAGATGGGCCGGTCCCCTGGTGGGGATGTGGGGGTCACATCCGGGATTAGGGGTGGGACTAGGTGACTTGCGACTCCTTCCTGGGCCGTGACCCACCTTTCACACACAGGTCCCTCTACCCATCAGCAGAGCACTGATGCTGGAGGCAGACAGGGGTGTCAGGAAGTTTACAAAACTGCATCTGAGGTGTCCCAGAACCAAAGAAACCAGCTGTGGCTCAAGCTCTGGGCTCCCTCCCCCACCCCCTTACCTATGCAGGAGACGCCATCCTCGGCCAGCACTGTCCCGTGGTCGCAGAAGCAGATGACCCTGTGGCTCTCGGGGTCCAGGTGGCACTCATCTACCTCACAGTGGCTGCAGTTCAGGTAATGCTTAATATTCACTTCCCCGTGGCCCTCCATCACTGGTGAGAAGGAGGGAGGGTCAGCCTCGGGCGGAAGCCGCCCTGCACCCCACCCCCAGGCTCTGCGCTCTGTCTCCAGCTGGTCAGGGTGGGTTTTCTGGTTCCTGCTCCTACGTCCCATTGCCGCCGGGAGCGCTGCCTGTGCAGGAAAGTCCACAGCGCATCTGGTGAGGGGAACTCAGACAGAGGACAGGCAGGCAAGTGGGAGGGTCCACACGAGGGTTACTTAGGTTGGTACAGGTACCGGGCCTATTACTGTTGCATTTTCTAGGCCTGGCCAGTCTTCTCCTTCTGTGTCCAAGTCAGACCACGCATCCTGATTTCCAGGAAACTTGGTGAGATGACCACTAAGTAGACTTGCCTGCAAGGGACCCACGATCACACCTTTGTGTCCTGGACTCACATCAGTAGCCCTGGAATTTTAGCTGGGAGGGAGAACTGGCCTAAGGAAGCTGGTTCTGCCACCTGGCAGAGGGGGTACCTTTTAAAGCCGGGGTGTACAGGATGCCCAGTGGATTGATGAAGGAAACCCCATCCTCCCCGTCCATCTCGGGGTCATTGTTTGAGGCTGCATTGCCACCTGTGGCAAACCAGAGGAGAGTTGAACGCAGAGGTGGGTGCCCACGTCTGGACACACGTGCGCATCAGTAGGGCAGGCAGCGGGGTCAGGGAGGGGCCTCGAGGGCGGGGCGGTGGGGGGGAAGGGAGGCTCAGGGCACAGGGGCTGCACTTGGGACTCGGCTCAGTAGAAGCCTGGTGTGCGGGCCACTTTCTCCTCCAGGTCCTGGCCAGCTCCCGCTGGGGGGTCTCCACCACTCTGCTGGGCCCCCCCAGGAAGCAGTCCGTGTTAGCAAGAGTCGGAAGAGTTCTAGTCTCCCCGGGCTGGGTTGGCCCCTTGGCCCCTCTTCCAGGACTGGCTGGGCAGTAGCACCGAGGAGTGGCTGTCCTGTCCCATCTGGTCAGGGTTGGGGCAGGGGGGATGGGCCCCTGTGCCTCTAGGCTCCTGTCCCTCCTTTCAGTGGGGGTTGGGTTATCTTTGGGCTCCTCCCCTTGGGCTCCTCCCACCCACCCTCGGCTTGGAAAAGAAGAGCATCTGGTCAACACGAGCATCTCACACACAGCGTAAAGCAAAACACGGACAGCACATCACAGCGCGGGCATGCATTGTGTCCTAGTCTGTGGGGATGCTTCTCAGCTTCAGAAGGCTCTTCTGCTCTCCTCTGAAACCCAGAGGAGAGATGGGGCCAGGGGCCTGCTGCTTGCTGAAAGGCTGGGCTGGAACTGCCCGCAGCTGCCCTCAGGACAAGCACCCATCAGCAGGGGGAATGGTGCCCTTCTGGAAGCTGGCGGGCTGGGGCAGGAAAGGGAGTGTGGGAGTCCGTGAGGCCAGAAGCTGCACACCAGGCCCTCAGGGAGCGGGCTTGGCAAGGACTCGGGCCTGGCCATCTGAAGGGAGGCACGGGGTAGAGGGGTCTGGCCTCCAAGGCTCTCAGGCCAGTGCGTCCTTGGGGGAGGCCCAGAGAAGAGGCTGGGAAGCCAAAGCCCCTTTATCATTGGCTTTGGGGGAGATCAAGAATCATATGGGATCTTCATGCTGTCCTATCGAAACCTCGAGGCAGGATGCTGGCTCGAAAGCCAACACCCTGCCTCTGGCTCGTGTGGTGGGGCTGGGAGGAAGGCGTGCACGGTCACATTACAGTCCACACTGGGGGTGGGCCAGGGGCGTGCAGGCAGGGGCCGGGGGGCGGACAGGGAGGTGAGGTGCCTAGGACTAAGTGGGGAGGGCAGTGACACCTTGAACGCGAATCATCTTTACCTATATATCCTCCGCCTCCTCCACCTGAGGAGCACCCCCCTCCACCCCCTCCGAAACCCCCTCTGGTCTCCCACCCCCACTTCTTCACGGCCTGGGGGCAGGAATGTCCTCCGGTGGCACCTTCCAGCAAAGACTTTCCAGACCAGAGCAAGGAAGTGTTATCATTCCAGCCACCTCCGCCACCTGTGGGAAGAGACAGAGAAACGCCTAGGTGAGGGTGCTGGCTGGGTTTGGGCAGCTGCTGGGCCTGGCGAAGGAAGCGGGGCTCGATGTCTTCGAGGGGTGCTTGCCCCTGTCCAGTGCCCAGGGGCCCTGTCCTCAGTGGGGCCTGGGGCCTTCAGAGTCCACGGCCGAGCGTGCCCTTTGCCCGAGGGGGAGCTGCTCCGGCCACAGTCGTGCATGTCCTGATGGGAGCCCCTCGTGCCCCAGCTTCTTGTCAGGCCTCTGACTCAAGAGCCCGGCAGTGTGCTCGGTGAGGGACGGGGGAGGTGGAGGGGACAGGCTGCACGACTACTAAACTCTGCCTCTGCCTTCCCTCTATGCCTGCCAACTCCTGAAGCGCCCGGCCTGCGTTTCATTAACTGCTTCCCATCTCTTCCCATCTCAAAGAACCGGGACCAACTGTCAAAACCCTGCCGAGCTCACGGCAGTGAAATTCCTAGCAGGAGCCCTGGATTAAGGCACCAAATAACCCAAAGTGCTTTAATTGTCTGCTAGGCAAGAACTTCCCCGGTCTGAGACTTGGTTTCCTCACCTGTCACTTGGAGATAATGAGACACCTCATGGGGTGGATGTTAGGATCAAAGAAGACAGGGAGTGTATGAAATATTTTACAAACCGCCAAGTGGAGGGATCGTTGGGCGTTTGTCAGGCAGGACACACACAGGCAGAAGGCCTCATGCTCTGAAGCTCAGGCAGTGTCTTGCCTGCCTGCTTCTAAGGAGCTGCTCCGAGGTCAAGAGCAAAGAGAGCTGTGGGCGGAGGCGGTGATGCTCTGGCTACAGTGGCAGCAGCTGGAGCTGTGCTTCCCAACGCCTGGGCCTGCTCTGAACTCTTGCAAACGAAATGCTCTTTACAGAGCTAGGTTGAACGTAACTGTATCTTAAGGCCACAGGCAGACCGCAGTACATCTCTCCCGAGGCCCTGGAAATTCCAGGACGCCCACCTTGTCTCCCCATATTGTTTTGTGTGGCATTTCAAGAGGCAGTTTACTCCAGAAGACCCCAAAGCCCTTTCTGCTCCAGCAGACGCTGGCAGGTGGGAACCGGGAGAAACAGCTGTGCGCGTGTCTGCTGGAACCGTAAGGGTTAACCTGCCCGGAAGGGTCCTCTGGGAGAACTTGTGGCCAAGGTTCTTCTGGACCCAGAGGGGGCAGCAGAGGGACGTCTAGGTGGGGAAAGCTGCAGACAGGGATGACTATGGTGCTAGAAAGAGGGAGACAGGTTTCAGGAGATGAGGTCGAGGTCAGGAAGAAGCTTGGGTCTGGAACAGAGACAAGCAGAGCTGAAATGAGGTCCTGGACAAGTCGTGAGGACCTTCTGTCAGCTTCGGAAGCTACAGGACTCCAAGTGTTTGGCCTCCCTTTGCCAGCCAGAGGGTGGGTATGGGGCCAGTCAAGGTGGTTGATGTCACGTGGTGGAGGGAAGGCCCCGCAGCGCTGTTAGCCGGAAGTGGGCTCTGCTGGCTATTCGGGGCCGTGAGCTTAGTGAGTAAGTTAGGATGAGATGGGCCTGATACCAGGTCTGCCCTCCTGCCGGGAGCACCCTACCCTTGCGTCCTGCACAGTCCCCAGCTAAGTTGGTTTCCGACCCCCACTCTTTCTTGCAGCCTTCAAGCAAATGTGTGGAAAAGAAAACAATGGGCATAAAAATAAAAACAGCAACAACAGTGTTTTAAAAAACGGATTAAGTACGAAACAGCTTGGCCATCTTGAGAAAAAAAATCCACCAACTTTCCATGAGCTTGTTGACTCTTCTGTAAAATGAAATGATATGTTTGGAAAACCCTACAGGACTGTTTTGAAAAGCACATGTATAATAGATGTGGAAGTGCTTTGTAATTTATTACATGCTGGACGGATGTAAGGGGCACTGTATCACTGCGGTAATTCCTCGCTGTGACCGCTTCTCCTCTTTCTTCTAGCTCTCTCTCAATTGAAGAGAAAGTCTGAGTGTTTATTTTAATTAATCTCAAATCTTAAACGCCTTCAAAAATCCTCCTTCGATCTGATTGTGGAAAAAAGAAAATACAAAGAGGAACGGCTGACTTCGGAGGAATCAGAGAATTCACATCCCCTTTGGTGTCCGCCCCCGATTTCTGCGTTGCCGGCTCTCATTAAGGAGACAGAGAGCCCAACCATGGAGATTCCAGAAAGAGATTTTCCAGCAAGGAGATGTGTGCACTGGCAGCCTGGGGCCCGGAAGCACAAAAAAGCCACAGGGGCCCGGGGGCCTGACTCTGCCCAGATTCCTTCCACCTGCTCACATCCAGTTGCATGTGGTAAAACCCGGGGACGGTTGGGTTGGCGGTCAGACTGCTGCCGCCTGCCTCATTTTCTCAGTGACCTTCTGCAAGTCCAAACCCCGTGCTGGCAAGGGGGCCTCTGGGTCCCCAGCGTGTGGCCTGCCCTTCCTGTCTTGATCCCGGTACCAGTATCCAGAGCTCCCAGCATCTCAAGGGCCAGCGACTAAGATGCCCACAGGTGTGTGATGGCGCCCGGCCGAGCTGAAGCTCACACAGTCCCGGGAGAATGTTCTGGGAGAGGGTGGGCTTGCAGCGGTTTACCTGCGGCTCCGGAATTGCCATTCAGCCCTAGAACTGAGGAGTTATTCTCCAGTCTCTCTGGGTGGAACGTGTCTGTCTTGGCTCCGTAGGCCCTGCCGCCACCGCCGGCCGCAATGATCAGGGGCACTGGCACTCCATCCTTCATCTGCCCAGGGGAGACATTCAGAGATTGAGCAACCGAGTGAGGTTCCCACTCTGGAGACCCCTGAGCAATTTAAATGTGGCCGAGTGTTTGCTGGGCAGTGGGTGACATCTCAGTGGTCTGAGGGCCCTGATCTCATGTTACAACAACCCGTCAGCTCTTCCATCCCCTCCAGCCCCGGGCTCGTGTATTAGTCCAGGTTCAGTACATGAAGCAAAAGCACTAGGAGATAGAAATGTTTCTGAATACGAGGAGGCTATTTCTACAGCCCCTTTCCTGAAGTTCCTCTCTAGCCTCAGGGGTCTGGCAGCTGGTGTGCAGAAGCAGGTCTCTCTCCTCTCCTTCCTCTCTCCTTCCTCTGCACACTCAGGGGTCTCTGCTCTGATCCCCACAACTTCAAGATTAAGCCCTCAGCATCACCGTCCCTGCAGGAAGACCCAGCAGGAAACCTTTGCCTATTTTCGATGACATCAGAAAAGTCCACCTTAGGACAGAGGAGGGCACAGTGGGACCCTCTGGGACTCTGAAGCAGGATGGCAAAGGTCTGTGTGGTGAAATCCAGCTGGCATATCAACATGAGAAGGGCCTGTCCTTTCCTGAACGGACAGGGAACCTTATATTCCCTCTGGGCCTCGGTTTCCTCAACTTTAAATGGGGCTAAGAGCACCCGAGGTGCTTCATTCCCAGGTCTGTCCTGAGGATCCAACACCAGGACACAGAGAAGGCGCTGCCCTGGGGAAGCTGGCACCCAGACCTCACCTTAAATACGTAGGTGGCTCCGCCCCCTCCGCCGCCCCCTCCTGCCCACTCGTGCACACTTTTGTTCACGCGGATTTCTTCTTCTATCACGTTGTTCTCTCCAATGCAGACTTTCTGGATTAGTTGGTTTGTCTGGAGAAACAAAAAGCACCTCAGGTTTGTGCCCAGGGTTCTCTACCTCCCAGCACACAGACCTTCTATGTTTAAAGATAGGGTCTGACGATCTCTCAAATAGTTTGCCGTTGAATTGAGGAGACAAAAACTACACACAGATAACTGTCACTCTGGGCAGTACTGGAGAAGGACCACAGGGACAGCTTAGAAGAAAATGCATGGGAAGTTGAGGAGGGACAGTGAGGCCTTGTTGCTGGACTGGTGAGCAGGGAGGACTGCCTGGGGGAGGTGGCATTCACTTGGGCCTTGAAGGATAGGGAGATTTTTAAACACTGAGAATGGGAGAAAATTAGGACATTACAGGGGAGGAGATCAGCATGAGCCCAGAGGGAAGGAGGTGAGCGTGGTATTTGGGGGGAAAAGTATAAGGAGTCTCTCTGGCTCGGAAAAGTCCATCTGAGGACAGAGAGGTGGTCCAGGAGGACCTGTTAGGATCCTTTGGATTCTGAAGAGGGGGTGATAAAGGCCCCATGGGGTAAGACAGTGCTGGCGGGAGTGTAAATGGGAGTGGGTAGAGGGAACCTAACTGGACAGTCAGATCCTGGACAGAGGCCTTGAATACAAACAGAGAAGGAGCTGGACTTCATTCTCTAAGCAGTGAGGAGCCACTGAGGTTTTTTGAGAAGTTGCAGTTTGAAGTATCTTGTAAAGAGAAGAGAACAGTGGGAGGCCAAACTCGGATTTTATTCCACCTGGTGTGGGCCCAGGCATCTGGGGGTCTCTGGGGACATGCTGGAAATTCCTGTGACCCAGAAGCCTGGAATCCCTGAATAAAGAGGGCAGCGTTTCAAGAATAGCCACCCTTCTTGTTGGTCACAGCAGCTGAGACGAACTCTCCACGCATTGGCCTGACCTTGGAGGAAAATGACTGCTTTCGCTTAATAGAAAAAAGGCCAACAAAACATCAAATTTTCATCGAATGTTGCTGTGTAACCAGCCAGTGGACATGGCAATTCATCTTGAGCCACTCCTTATGCTAAAGCACTCAGGGGTGCCAGGAATGAGTACTAGAGAAATTTCCAGATAAATAGCTGAGAGGCAATTTGTTTTACGGCATTTTGGATTTAATGATGGAAATAATTTGATATGTTTTAGAGTGCATTTAGTGTGGGTGGAAGGGTCTGAATTGCTACTGTGGACAGCTGACATTTCTCCTGTGTATGTGCAGTGCCATCCAGGGCTGGGGCGGGGGCCGAGTGGCATGGAGTCTGCTGGAAGGAAACCCTGCCAACCGCTGCCTGGGGAGGGCCTGAGATGCAAGGGGCATGCTCTGAGGGCAGAGCCCGGGACGGGGCATGGAAACGTGTGCTGCCAGCTAGGCAGAGCAGGGCACAGAAGACAGTGTCCAGTCTCACTTCCTGACTGGAGCTTTGCTGGGCCATCTGTCTGGATCTGTCCTCCTCTATTAACTGGAGAGCTGCGGGACTGCCCCGGTGGCCCAGTGGTTAAGAATCGGCCTTCCAATGCAGAGGACGCGGGTTCGAGCCCTGGTCGGGGAACTAAGATCCCACATGGCACAGGGCAACTAAGCCCGCGCGCCACAACTAGAGAGAAGCCCACGCGTCGCCACGAAAGATCCCACGTGCCGCAACTAAGACCCGATGCAGCCAAAAAGTCTAAATAAATAACTAAAAAAAATTGGGGAGCTGCCCAGTGCGAACCAGTGGTGCTAAGAAGGTCCATCCCCTCCGACCACGCTCCCTTTCCTCCTCTCCTCTGCCTGGCAGCAGTGGGGCCCCCACCCCTTGGGCATGCCCTTTTCCCTTGAACGGAACTTGCCGATGGCTGGAGATTGCTGGAGGGAGCAGTTGGGCTGCAGGATGGCCTTTGTCTAACTAGAGCCCAGCGTCAGCGCATTACCCGCTGCCCCGACTCAGGTGTCTCCTTTGAATGGGGTGGGGGGAGGGGAACAGTTGATTCGCTTCTCAGTCTGCATCTTGCTGGGTCCACAGCTGCATTTGGAGGAGCTGATCCTTTTCCATGATTCACTTTCTTGACCTGACTTCTGGAGTCTCCTCCTACATCCCTGGCTCCCCCCTCCCCGCCTCCTTTGTTGGTTCCTCTTTCCTCCATTTCTAAGTGTTGGGGGTCTGCAGGGTTCAGCCCGTGGTCCTCTCCATCTACACCACTCCCCAGACAATCTTAACCTGTCTCAGTTTATGCTGACCTCTCCTGGATTTGCAACTCCTTTCCAGACCTCTCTCCTGAACTCCAGTGGCCTGTCTTCCTTGTCCACAAGCAGCCTCCACTTGGCCATCTACCAGATCAGTTGAGCTCAGTGAACTGGCTCCTTCCGCAGCGGGCCCCAGCTCTCGTGAAGGCAGCTCCCTCCTTCCAGTGGCTCGGGCACAATTCTTGGATTTTATATTCTAAATACACCCAGAATTCAGCCGCTTTTCACCACCTTCGCTGTTACTGTCTTTATCCAAGCCACCATCATCTTGCCTGGATTAATGCAATAGCCATTAGATTCATTGCCCCCGACTCCTCCCTTGGGCCCAAGTGGTCTGTTCCCCATATTGTAGCCAGAGGAGCTAATATGCAAATCGCTTCAGGTCACTATTCTGCTCAAAACCGTCCTATGGCTTCAGTATGTTCTTCTGATGGCCTGACCCGGTCCCCATCACCCCTCCCTCATCTCTCACCTACTCTCCCTCCTGTTCCACCCACTCATCCTGGCTGCTCCTTGAGCACACCAGGCATGCTCCCACCTGGGGACTCGGCCTCTGCTCTGCCGCAGTCCCCACTTATTTTCCTGGTTCAGTCCCTCAGCTCTTTCAGGACTCTGCTCAGCTGTCTTTTTCTCGGTAGGCTTCCCTTCACCACTCTATTTACGATTGCAACCTGCCTCTGAACTCCAGCACACCTGACTCCCCTTCACCTATTTCTATGCATCCTAACCCTGTCTCTTTTGGGTGTCCTGAGGAACTTACGTTTACTGGTTATTGTCTGTTTGTCCCTCTTCCCCTGGAGTCAATGTAAGCTCCATGAGAGCAAAGGATCTTCCTTTTGTTCACGAATATCTCCCCAGTTCCTAGAACAGTGACTGGCGTGTGGTAGGTACTCAATACATATTTGCTGAATACATTTGAAAGACTTGGGAACTGGGTGGGTGTGGGCTGGCCCTTCACAATACTTGCCTTGTGAGTGATGGTAGTGGTGGAAGCTAACATTTAGACCCATGGTTTTGCTCCCCTGGGGATGTTTGGAAATGTCTGGAGGCATTTTTATTGTCATTTCTGAGGGATGCTACTGGCATCTGGTGGGTAGAGGCCAGGGATGCTGCTAAACAGCCTACAGTGTACAGGACGGGGGCTGAGGGATGTGTGTGTGTGTGTGGGGGGGGGGGTGGTTCCAGCAGCTGGAGCCCATTCCAGGCTTGGGTTGGCCAGGCACACGGGAATAGCCACTCCACGCACAAATCCAGTAGAACCAGCAGAGCTGCCAAAGCCTGCGAGTTTAATTCTTGGGGTCCACTTCGTTCTCTAGTGAAGTCCATTTTTCGGCCTAGGGAGGACTGGAGATTGAGGTAGTGCCTGTAAAAGGTCTTTCTCCCTTTCTCAAATGACTCCTGAGGGGCGGAGGTGTGGAGCAACTGGGAAGAGCAATTCTTTTCCCCACGCCCATGCTATGCCCGACCCGACCAGCAGAGGGGGCTGCTCTCTGTCCCTGGCTTCTTTGGAACTTCCCTGGCACATCCAAGGTTTGAGAGCAAGTAGGTTGATTAATAAAATGATAAAATGTAGCAGTCCAGAGGAACAAGTAGATTACAATTGAATTAAAAAAGAAGGACTCAGTCCTGTGAAAAGACGTAATTGATGACAATCCAATCAAGTAAAAGTTCCTTGCGGAAGTCAATGCAATCTTTCTGCTTAGATGGAAGAATTACATTAGCACTCAATAAATTCCTGTGAAAATTACAGCGGCTTGTAATGTAATGACTTAACAATCAGGTTGGAAAGTCCTGACTATAGTTGCTAAATAAAAGAGTCCAGACATTTCTCACGCACAAGGTTGCACCTGCGCAGCTTACTCCTGTTGCTTGGTTTTCAGCCTCTAAGGTGGGGTTGGAGGTAGGGCACATACTTTACTCCTGGCTCCCAGCCTGGGGCCTGGCTCTTAGGAGCCTTGAGGTTATTCTGTGGAATTGAACTGCTTTCTCATAGCTCTTGTTCCCACACCTGTCTTCCAACTCTGCTCTTGAATAAGTTTCTGGGGAAGGAGCCCTGGGTCCTGAGACCTAGAGCCCAAATCCCTGCCCCGGTCCCACTCAGTGCAGAAGCTCACCCTCAAGTGAGGGCATGGCCTGGCCCAATGCGGAGAACCCCCTGCAGAGTGCTGAGTTCCCATCAAGACAGCCAACACCACCAGGGTCCTGCGTCCCCCAGCACAGGCAAGAGACATGGCTACTGCTTTATTAGTCCCCACTGTCTCCCCTTCCTGGTCATTTTAGACCACTACTGGCTTTTTTAAGTACTGCTGTTGGAGCGCTCCCTGTTTGACGGCTGGACACCCCCAGTGGGGTCAGGAACCAGAATGAACTACTGGCTTTCTTAAGTACTGCTGTTGGAGCGCTCCCTGTTTGACGGCTGGACACCCCCAGTGGGGTCAGGAACCAGAATGAACTACTGGCTTTCTTAAGTACTGCTGTTGGAGCGCTCCCTGTTTGACGGCTGGACACCCCCAGTGGGTTCAGGAACCAGAATGAAGGGTTGTCTCTGGGGCTGCGGAGGGTGACAGTCTGGCTTGTCAAGTGATGTGTTATAAGTGGAAAAGGGAAAAAGGCTGTAGAAACTGAGCCCCAAGCAAGTTTGGGGCAGCAAAAATAGGAGCCAGAGTCTCTGTGCTGCATTACGAGTGACTCTGGACAAGTCCCTTCACTTCTGTGGTCTCCATGTTCTCATCTGTGAAATGGGGGTAGTGGATTACATGGTCTTCCAGCTCTGAGTTTGTGCTTAAAATACTTAAAAAAATTTAATCACACGAATAATAAATAATATGTGAATGCATTATTTTTGTAACAATATCAGACATTACTGACAAAGCACCCTCAACTCCAGTCCCCTCTCCAGAAACAACCACTGTTATCTGTATCTTTCAGAACTTTTTCTATGGTTTTATATGCATATATGTGGCTATGAGTCTGTGATTTTGAGCTGAACAAGACATGTTTAGTCTGGTATTTTCCTGTTTATGATAATATGGCTAAAGACAATGGTGCCCTTGCAAGAAAGCTTAGGCAGTGGGCTTCAACTCACACTTGTGCTAAGAGGAACCACCATTTTCCCATTTTAGCAGAATTCAGCTCTTCAGTTTTAAAGATTGCTCATAAAACCCATGCCTCAGCCTCGGTGCCTGTAGGGATGTGCGACCCCCAAAGCCACACCACCCACCTTCTCATGCACCCAAATGGCCCTGGAAAGGGAGGAGCGTTTGCAGGCAGAACAAAGGGTGAGTCCCGCCATCTTTGAACGTGAGGTCTCCAAAGGCGTGTGTGCAGTGTTTGTGTCCTCTGAGGGACCTGCCTGGGTCCTGGTGAGTGTGGAGGAGAAACCCCTGCTCTGGGCACTTACACTGGGGCAGGCATCTTCCCCCTGCTGCCCGACCAGGATGTACAGCACGTCGTCCTTCTCCAGGTTGAAGATGCCCAGCACAGACACGCCGTGGGATCGCATCATCGTGTTTTTCCCGCCTTTCCCGCCAGCGGCTCCGTAGCCTGATATGCTGCAACAGGACAGAGCGCATGGGCTCCTGCCATGGTATGAAGACTGACTCCCCTCCTGCCAACCCAGCGGCTCCTAACAGGCCGAGCACACCACCCTCGTGCTGGAGGTCTCTCCCCTGCATCAGCCCATGAAGTCAGCAAGGAGGGTCCTCTCTCCGCTGTCAGGAGAGGGAGGTCAAGTTCAGAGAGGGGCAGGGAGATGCCTCATTCACAGAGCTAGGAAGGTAAAGAACTAGTAAGGGGTAGAAGAGAGGAAGAGAGGGAGAAGGGGGGCGGGGAGAGAGAGAGAAGAGATGAAGACAGGGGGAGTCTGTATTAATGTGGGCTGTTGGGGTGATGGTGTCCTGAATACCTGGGGTTTCCTGTTATGGACTTCTCTCCCTGTCCAAGAGGAAAGGACTCATGTGGTCAACCTTAGACAAATAATTGAACTTTCCAGTTCCTCATCTGTAAAATGGGGATAAGAAAAACCTACCTTCTAGCCCATGTGTGTGGTGAAGATTAACGAAATGAAGTGTTGCTAGTCTCAGAATTGTGGCTGGCACGTAAGAAGCACCCGCTAAGTATTTATTATTATTCTTACTGGTTGAAGGAGCAGTAATTGACTTGGTACAATGTTTTAAAGTCTCCCCACGGGGTCCAGATACAAGGAGTCCCACATGGAATGATTGAGGAGAGCAGTGTTTACGAGCACAGACTGTTTATTCGCATCCCGCCAGCAACTCCTTCTGGAGCAATGTGTGTGCGGACAACAAACAACCAATCAGGACGAAAATAAAACCAGCAAGTGGGGATGCGGGAGTATTTCTGCTGCCTCTTAGGTTGTTGAGTTGAAGTCAAGCAGGGATGGGGGAGAAAGGACCCAACTGATGAACCGTATCAGAAGAGCGGTGTGCCCTGAAGACAGCTCGCGTGCCCAATATACACGCCTCCCCAGAGACCGGCTGCCAGGGAGAGGAACTTGGGGGGCTTTCAAGACCCTGCATATTCAGATCCAAGGTCCTTGAAGAAAAGCTTCCGGGGAGAGCTGCAAGATGGTTTTGCACACGTGCGCACGTGGCGGCTTCTCCACCTATACTTCTAGGAAATGTCCTGTGTTCCAAGCATGGGAGGGGCCTCCTGGAGGCCTGCCTAAGGCAGAGCCTAGGCCTGTTCTGCAGAGACAAGCCTGGAGGGCCAGGTGATGGCTAACGTGGCAGGTGAGGACCTGAGGTCTCTGTAGAGAGCGAAGGAGAATTGAGCCCACTGTCCTGTCTCCGGGGCCCGGCACTGATGGGAGATCATTGCAAACTGGTGTAAGGCCACGTGCCTAAGACGAGGCGGGAGACGGGCTCCAGGCCCTCGGGGGGCTTCCAAAGAAATTGGGGAGACAGAGTTATGACATCTCCCTGGGGGGGTGGTTATATCAGGGAGGCAAAGCGGAGGCACCAAAGGGCTCTGGGGTTCCATGTGAGGAGTGGACCTCTCAGAGTCCCAGATCCTTCCCTCGTCAAAGAGGGACCATTCTTTCCTTTCCGAACTCACAGGGGCATGGGAAGGTTCAACATCTGAAGGAGATAATGGGTGAAAGCCCCGAGAAAGTGGCAGGTCTCGGCACAAATCAGGGCCATCAGGTACTCGGGGCCCGGGAAAGAGGCGGAGGACTGCGACAGACATTGAGGCAGCGGTGCTGGAGGCCTTGGCTGGTTTGGGGAATGTGGGGTGTGGGTCTGAAGTCGGCTTCATGGTGGAGATGATGGTTGGGTAGGACCCAGACAAGCAGAAAGAGGTGGAAGGTTCGAGTCAGGCTTGTGTGAACGTGAATGAAGAGGCAGGAAACCTAGGCGCTGGGGTGGGGGAGTGGGGCGTTGTAGCTCTGCAGAGGGAAGTAGGGCCAATTCCTGAGCATCCTACAATGTGCCAGGCGTGAGTGCATATGGCATCCCCCCAGTAGCCGTAAACAGTAGCTGTTAGCAATCTCATTTGGCAGATGAGGGAACCGAGGCCCAGAGGGGTTCATTTGGACCGGGCAAACCCTGGTCCAGAGCTCTACATTTCCCCTCATGGAGCCCATTTCCCCTCCGACAGGATGCTGCCAGGTTATATGATGCACGAGAGTGGTGTGAGAAGCTACTGGCCCATGCTAATTCACTCAGACCCTCAGCCAAACCCTCGCTCCTGACCCATTGGAAAAGGAGAGGTGATAAGGACAATTAAAAGGCTGAGGAAGAAGGAAGGCTCATTGGTGAAAGGAAAGCAGCAGAATTATTTAGCTCAGAGAAGGCAAGCCTGGGGCCGGGGTGGTGCTGGGCATTCCAGAGACTCTGTGGAGTGTAGAGACAGCAACGTGGGCGTAGACGGGCCACATCTGTCCTGCCGGCCCTTCCAAGGTTCCAGGGCTTTGGCAGGTTACCTAAGAAAGTCATTTCAATCTGAAGGTGTTGTGGGCTTGGAAAACTGCGGCCCAAGAGGGAGTCCTCACTCTGCCCACTCCTGCTATGTCTGAGAGGTAAGCTGTACCCGGCTCATCCTTTCTGCCTCATTCGCATGCATTATGAATCATTCTGAACTCTTTCACATGTTTAAATTTAGCCAAAGCATTATATTTTAGAAGTTGCTTGTTCCTGACATGTTTTCCCCTCTCTAAGCCTTCTTTCCTATTTCTCCTGCCCCCAACCAAGTCTGAAATCCAGCCCCATTTGGGTCTTGACCTAGCCCTTGGCAGTGAAGTGGATGGAAAGAGCCCTGAGTTCTGAGTCATACCCTGGCTGTGAATTCGGGGCCTGTGTGACTTGGGGCAACTTGCTTAACCTCTCAGAGCCTCAGCTTCCCCTACCAAGGAAAAAAATAAGGACCCCCACCCTCATGAGGGTAAGTAGTGGGTTTGAAAAGATTACAAACTGCTTCCAAGTGCAAGGGGGACTCTGGGCTGGGGTCAGCTCTACAGACCCCAAAGGAGACAGTAGAGATCGGCACCCAGGTGTCAGCAGCTGGAGTTTGCTTTCCTGCGTGATGGCCTCAGCCCCACGTTTCTACCTAGACTATTACTGGCTTAAAGACACGGGACTGGCAGCTGCCCACCTGGGCTACTGGTAGGAGGCAGTGCCTCCCTCATCAGCCCTGTGAGGCCTGAAATCCCACCACAGAGCTTCACTCCTTTGGAAACTTCTAGCTGCTTCTAGAAGGCCCATCTCCTCCTGAGTGGCCTGTGCCACAGTGAAAAAAGCACAGGCTGGATGCAGACAGACCTGGATCCAAATCCAACTCTGTCACTCAGGGCCAGGAACTGGGTTAGACATCTGCCCAGGTGTTGGCCTTGCACTTGGTCAACCTTGAGAGCCAGAGCCTCCTGAACTTTTGTGTCCAAGGCACTTTGCTTACCTCTCCTGGTTCTGGCCCTGTTACTCGCCAGCTGTGTGACCTTGGGTAGTTTATGTACCCTCTCTGAGCTCCAGTTTCCTCATCTATAAAAGGGGGATAAGAATATTTACCTTAAAAGGTTGTTGTGAGAGTTATATGAGATAATGCCCCTTATAAGGGGCCTAGTTCAGCCCCTGGAGGGTAGCTAGTGAGTGACAAATAGTAACTACTGTGCTAATGTACCCCTGGGGGAGCCTGTCCGCTCCTCTCCTGGGGTGGCTTCTGAGAAGCAGAAGGGGGTGAGTGAATAAGGCCCCGAATTCTAGACAGCAGGGCAATAGGTGGAGCAGGGTGTGGCCGAGGAGCCAGGGTCAAGGGTGTTCAGTTTCACCCAGGACCTACTTCTGCAGGGAGCCCGTGGGAGCACAAGGCCAGCCCTGGCGCTTCTGAGGACCCCCGAACTGCACGAATCATGTTACACAGACTTGCGCCAGAATAATAACCTCAGCCTGAATCTTTGAAGCCTTTTCCCATCCCTCGTAAACAACCTATTTTGATGGTTGACAAATGACAACAAATTAAAATACTTGCCACTCAAGTGGGGCAAATGCCTCGCAGTGATTCCAATGTACTGGAAGTTACAGGATACTGTTCTCAACGAGCTGATGCTGTAATTTTTTTGTTTGTCTTCATCTAAATCCACCTCCCCTAGTCAGAATGGATGTTTATTGGGTTTGCGTTTTTGTATTATTGACTGTGAGCTATTGTTACCTGATGTAATTGAGTTGTGAATCTTCTTAAAATAAAGAATTAGCCGCAAATCAAAGTGGCTGCCTGCTGGATCCTGAAAGGAGAGCACAGCTGGTGGGCGGCGTGATGGCGGTGTCGGCGGCACACTTGGTGGGGCTGCTGGGGGCGGTGGAGGGGGGGAAGGAGTGAGAGGACCCCACCTGGGGAAGCAGGAAGCACCTCATTTCTCTTCCACACCTGCTCTGGGCTCTGCCTCTAACACCCAGTGGGACCTTGAGTGAGTCCCTCCCATCCTCTGTGTCTTGGTTTCCTCCTCTGTGAAATCAGAATAGTTAGGTCCGCCCTGCGTATCCATCCTGCCTCCAGGGCTGCTGTGAGAGCACAGGAGACGTTGGGTATGTGCAGGGCTTGGTCAGGGAGAGAGCTCTGTGCAGGTACATAGTCGTATGATCCAGATGGGTCACGCGAGCCATCAGGCGACACCCCCAGGGGTCAGCGGTGGAGGCATGTGCTCCTTGCTGCCCCAGTTCCATTCCAGTTTTGCACCAATGAGTAAGACTCATGGTCCACTGGTTCCCTACCACCTTCCTGACCCAGGAATATCAGAGCTGGAAAAGATGTCAGTGACCTCTCTCTCCAACCCCTCCATCGACAGATGAGGCCCTTGTAGAGGAGGGGCAGCACACTTTCAAGGTCACACAGTGTGTCAGAAGTTGAACCCAAACTTCATTCTGCCTGCGGCTCATGGATGTTTGCTCAATGCTGCCCCCCTCCCTCCACTTTCCCTGCTCTGTGCTCTTCGTGGCTATGGCTACCTGCACAACTACTCTGGCAATGAATCATGACTTGTGACTCTCTTCTACAACTGTTTAGAACTTTATCGGCATTGTGGACTGTTATTGAACTCTTC